TCTATATCATTGCCCGCAGTAACTCATCAAACAAGACGTACCAAATACCCCCATTCTGATTGCCGGTATAGTAAACAATAGATGACGTGGTATTGTCATATTACATTTGCACAACATACATAGTGTCTTGACAAATCAATATATACCGTATCTTCAAGACAGTATATGAACAATGTCAAACAATAGAAGCTGTACAAATCAATTGTCACGATGGTTATCAATCATGTGGTTCTGTAAATATACTATATAGCATGTTGTGTCGCTAAACAATGATCGGCCTTGTTGCTGTGTTGATATAGCGACTGTAGAAACTGGCCACATTCTGTCATGTTGTCTATTACCATTCATGTCATCTTCAACGTTAATGTTGCTTAAACGAGGCAAGCTTAGTAGAAGGAGGTGGAGCATTTAGGCTTTCTGGAGATGGGAAAAAATGAACAAATCTACTTGGGAAGGCAACTGGGTATGAAAAGCTCCAGAATGCCCCCATGAAAGTCAATAAAGTGAAGAAAATCTAGAGCACAGAGCTCAACGCTGTATAAGTGTGTCTGTCATGTCTTAATGAGACTGGAACAGTACCTCCAAGTGCTGAGATGATCATAAAACCCATACTTTAATATTGAGTTACGACAGTAAGTAATACTAAGATGACCATAAAACCCATACTTTAATATTGAGTTACGACAGTACGTAAAACTAAGATGACCATAAAACCCATACTTTAACATTGACTTACGACAGTACGTAGTACCGCTTAGTGCTGAGATGATCCTAAAACCCATACTTTAACATTGACTTGCGACAGTACGTACTACCACTTACTGCGAGATGACCATAAAACCCATATTTAAACATTGACTTGCGACAGTACGTAGTACCGCTTAGTGCTGAGATGATCCTAAAACCCATACTTTAACATTGACTTGCGACAGTACGTACTACCACTTACTGCGAGATGATCATAAAACCCATACTTTAACATTGACTTACGATAGTACGTAGTAGCACTTATTGCTGAGATGATCATAAAACTCATACTTTAACATTGACTTACGACAGTACGTAGTAGCACTTATTGCTGAGATGATCATAAAACCCATACTTTAACATTGACTTACGACAGTACGTAGTAGCACTTATTGCTGAGATGATCATAAAACCCTTACTTTAACATTGACTTGCGACAGTACGTAGTGGCACTTATTGCTGAGATGATCATAAAACTCATACTTTAACCGTTGACTTACGACAGTACGTAATACCACTAAGTGCTGAGATGATCATAAAACCCTTACTTTAACATTGACTTGCGACAGTACGTAGTAGCACTTATTGCTGAGACGATCATAAAACCCATACTTTAACGTTGACTTACGACAGTACGCAGTACCACTTAGTGCTGAGATGATCACAGGGTTAGAACTAACAGTTTTCGTCCACTAGTCCTTATAATGATAACATATAGCAAAACCATCAAAAAGGGCAAAATTCTACTAGTCCTTATGATACCTTTACCATTGGGCAGTTTGGCAAGGGCTATATGACTAGTGCCAATTTCTAACGCTGGATCATAAAACCCATACTTTCACATTGACTTACGATAGTACGTAGTAGCACTTAGTGCTGAGATGATCATAAAAGCCATACTTAAACATTGACTTGCGACAGTACGCAGTACCACTTAGTGCTGAGACGATTATACAACCCAAACCTAACAGTTCTACAGCCGTAGCGCTACCATCGCTTTGTGGAACGGGGCCCCATGTTGGAATGCAGACATATCAGCGACTGCCTAAACTCGAAATGGCTATATCGCAGCACCATATGCAGGCAAATAAAACCCCATCACAACACATTGTTTAAGTATCTGTCCTTCTGAAAAGTCAACTCGTGACAGCCTGAACCACCTCCATATAACTTAACAGATCATATTGAGCGACAAGTGAGTGCATTTTGGACATATATAGCATATTGGACTTTCCTGACACATTAAGCTACAGGACAGAAATGGTAAGTTTCTGACCGACTCATTGATTGGAATATCTCCGGTTCCATCAAGTTTGCTGACGTGGCTGCAACTCTGACTCTTTCACACATCAGGTTTCTCCATAAGCCTGTGTGTGTTGGATATGCATGTCTGTAATACAACCACGATTGCTAGTCCGCCAGGCAGGAGTGCAGGGACTAGTTACTATGTTCCATACGTTTTTACACCAAGAATATCAGTTACTTAGTTAACAATGCAGGATCTGGAATCGATCACCTCTTCTCACGAGCGCTCAAGTGGCATGGCTTGATGTACACTGATAGAGGACAGAAAGTAGATTGAATCTTGTGTCAACAACGCTCTCTCACACAGGGAGAACATGAGAATAGCGTTGTCCCTACATCACGGAGAGTATGAATCATGAGAATAGCCTTGTTCCTACATCACAGGAAATGTATGAAACATGAGAATAGCGTTGTTTCTACGTCACGAAGGACATTTAAATAATGAAAATAGCATTGTTCCTACATCACAGAGGACGTATGAAACATGTGAATAGCCTTGTTCTTACATCACCGAGGACGTATGAAACATGAGAATAGTGGTGTTTCTACGTCACGAAGGACATTTAAATAATGAAAATAGCATTGTTCCTACATCACGGAGGACGTATGAAACATGAGAATAGCGGTGTTCCTACATCATGGAGGACATATGAAACATGAGAATAGCGGTGTTCCTACATCACGGAGGACGTATGAAACATGAGAATAGTGGTGTTCCTACATCATGGAGGACGCATGAAACATGAGAATAGCGTTGTTTCTACGTCACGAAGGACATTTAAATAATGAAAATAGCATTGTTCCTACATCACAGGGAGCGTATGAAACATGAGAATAGCGGTGTTCCTACATCACGGAGGACATATGAAACATGAGAATAGTGGTGTTCCTACATCACGGATCCGGAGGACGCATGAAACATGAGAATAGCCATTTTCCTACATCACAGGGAGCGTATGAAACATGAGAATAGCGGTGTTCCTACATCACGGAGGACGTATAAAACATGAGAATAGCGGTGTTCCTACATCACGGATCCGGAGGACGCATGAAACATGAGAATAGCCATTTTCCTACATCACAGGGAGCGTATGAAACATGACAATAGCGGTGTTCCTACATCACAGAGGACGTATGAAACATGAGAATAGTGGTGTTCCAACATCATGGAGGACGCATGAAACATGAGAATAGCGTTGTTTCTACGTCACGAAGGACATTTAAATAATGAAAATAGCATTGTTCCTACATCACAGAGGACGTATGAAACATGAGAATAGCAGTGTTCCTACATCACAGAGGACGTATGAAACATGAAAATAGCGGTGTTCCTACATCACAGGGAGCGTATGAAACATGACAATAGTGTTGTTCCTACGTCACAGAGGACGTATCACACAATAGAATAGCATTGTTCCGACATTACAGGTCACGTAACTACCCATAGTTATCAAACATTGTGGAATGTCGTCAATTAATTCCAGAAAAGCAAAAACATAATAGTAATTTCACAAACATTTCTGCTTTTGGAACAAATATCCATGTTCTATATCCCTGTTTGTATGCTGGCCCCTGTGTACAACCACAGCTCCAACAGGGGCAAGATGACAGTCTGGGTTTCTGTGTTAATGTTTTTCAACACTTCACAACACAACACTGTCTGTCTTAACCGCCCGTGTTTACTGAAGGTATAAGCCAGGCCATATGATATGTAGGTGATTGAAACACATATGAAAGCTCCAAAAGTGTGATCATTTATTTATACATGCAGTCCGCTCTACGTCTGATTGTCCCACCCACGACCCTGGGGACTTGGTAGTCAGTACAGATAAACACACGTCTCAGTTTCCTCAACTGTTTTGTTATTATAAATAGCCAGCATGTTTGCACATGAAAACATAGCAAAATGCATTCAATTAAAATTTCTGACTGTGCAATTGCACAAGTACTTTAAGACTCTGTTAAAGATCTGGTAGAATATTGTGGTTAGTACTTATAATTGTTTTTAACAGATTTATCTTCTAAATGGTTTCCACGAGTTTGCAAGGAGATGGTAGACATGCTCAGTTGTGTACCATACATCAAGTTCCATCTCATCACGGCAGCCGTGGCTCAGGTGACTTCAGTCAATATTACGCAGTCCACAAAAGGCGCAAATCACTGTTCTGAGTTGCTTTTCTTATACCCCGTTCACATGCACAACTTTAACTAACGTGGGTAATTTTACACGTGTAACTATACATACGTGCATATATGTAAATTTACTATGCGTTCACATGAAAAGCATCTTAGGTTGTAAATAAAGTATGTAAATTGTGTAAGGCACACATATTCGTCAATCTGTTCAAGACTTTCAACACGAAACAGGTTGTTTTCCAATCAAAGTTGAATGAGGAGAGAGTTACTTCACCGAGAAGCTACAAGTGTTTGATTTAATTTGTACACAAAATTTTGACTCCTTGAAACCAAAAGAAAACACTGTCCGCTCAACTCTGTATATAAGCATAAAAGTTGGCAACTGTTGACAGTTTGTTTGGTGTTTGCAAAAGAATAGATATTAATTAGATCATCCTCTTACGTTGGCATAAACGTTCACATTGCAACATATGCACGCAGTGCAAATTTACATTTACATTTGCACCTGCTCCAGACATGATGCAAATTTGCTCCTGGTGTAAATATACACACATGTGTAAACACGTTCACATGACAAGTATACTCATGTATGTATTTCTACACATGTATAAACATGTACACACATATGTGTGGGTATTAGTCGTGTCAAGATCCGCTGTTGTTTGGTTCGAATCCCAGATTAGCCCGAGTTACGTATCTTGGTCTGTCAGTACCATTCCTTGTAAGCTTCAAGGTAGTAACAACCTCTGCACTTCTGGCTTTCCTCCCACACACAGCCGACATGCAGTGATTATATAAAATATGACAGCATATTAGTAAAGAGTTCAAACTTTATTTTACAAATGTGGTTTAGTAAGTACAAAACTATTTGTACAAATATGAGAATGTACGGCACAATGCAATTCTTGGTCAAAATAGTCGTCATCACAATCTGTATCCAAAAGATCACAGGGACAGTATTTATAAACCTTTGGTTCAGTGTCACAGATTTTCACAAGAGTTTCATGATTAGAAGTGAAAATGTACAGTACAGTGAAGACAAATCAATGGTACTTATGTGACATCTATGGAAGAATATTACTTCAGGAATTTCTTTTTTTTCACCAATATGAAATACATGTACGTATCTTTGGGTTGATCCGTACATATATACAGTTCATGGGTATTTACGTTAGACAGCATTGACTTAATATATTCTGCACTAACTTTGATACTATATGAAGAAAACAGACCACCATTTAAAACAGAAAACCAAACCTTACAATGACTTAATACTACAACAAAATGAAAGAAAGAACAAAGAATGAATTCACCAATACACTGTTAATGCTGATCTAGTTACTGTAGAATGTTAATGAATTCAATAATTTCCATGTCAACATGAATGTTTCAGAAAACTTGTCAAAACCATATGCACAACTAAAGGCCACAATAAATTAAGTGTCAGGTTTTCCCTCTGCACACTTCACTCTGAAACACATCACTTGATTTATTCAGTATTCAGCCACCTTGCTTCATGATGTTAATACATATCTTGAAAGTAGGTCCTGAATTTTAATTCTTCAGAAATGTCCATGCATTCACATTTTTCTCTTTTTTTTTTTATGTCAAAACAGATTTAGATGAAAAAGGAAAGGATCCAAATGTAACAATCAATTGATTGTGGCCAGACTGGGAAATGCTGTCTGTGTCAATACAAGGTAAGCGTTGACTAGATTCCCCTCCCCCCTCCACGTAAAGTAATCACACTATCACACACATGTTCGACAGCACTCACCATGCTAACACTTCAATACATGTGCATACACACTAGCACTTCAATACACATGTATACACACTAGCACTTCAATACACATGTATATATACACTAGCATAATGGTCTTCCAGTATCATAATCATCATCATCATGAGTCAATGTTTAACAATGTTGGGACCACATACACTATAGGCTTATGAAGATGAAAACTGCAATTGCTTCACCTTAATCCATATTTCTTACAGATATAACATACAAATCTAAAAGATAAAAAACCTGTTAATTTTAAAAAACAAATGCTTAACATTAAACACATAGATCTAGCTGTACAGATACCCTCTAGCAGAGTAAATAACGTATTGCCTGCTGTATGGACTGTAAGACTAGTGGTGTGTTGAACAAGTCAGATGCAGAGTACCCTGTTTCAAGACATCTCTATACCCGCTACTGCAATTTATGAAACAAATTTGGTCCATCTCAAATTTAAGTATGAGAAAACAAGTCCTTTTCAAATCGAAAAAAAACAGTTTTCCAGAAGCTGTTCAACTTTTTCAAAACTATAATGCTTTACATATTTTGCCTTAACGTAAAACTGGGATCTCAGAGATGTCTAGACTAGAATATGAATGTGCATATCATAAGATTGTTGTAAACACTAAATTTCAGGTCAAAGACTTAACTTGAGAATGCATCTGATTTCAAAGAGTGAAATGAAAGTCAAGCTCACAACATTGGTAACTGCAGATGAAAAACACTATGGTATCTTAACCTGTCTCTAGCTAGTGTACTGCAGAGTTGAGCCAAGTCAACGAGCATCACTTTGTAGACGTCACAACAGCAAAAACACTGTTGGTTCTGACAAAGATAAAGTCTTTGTTGCTAATACCCACAGTAGTGATGGTTGGCACACTCAGGAAGCTGGGACTCACAGCAGCAACACTCAACACTGAATCAATCAAACGATAAATGAAATATTGCTGAATCAAACACATACAAATATAACAGCAAATCGATGTGCAATTAAAGCCACAATACATGGAAGCATACAGAGAAGGCTACATGGCATAAGTAAACAATACATGGCAGAAAACTGTTGTAAAATCAGGACACAATGACAAATGAAACAGATATGAGATTCATGTATCTTTTTATGATTCATCGGTCCTCCCCAAGGACGGTGGGGTAGCCTAGTGGTTATAGCGTTGTCTCGTTGAGTCAAAGACCCGGGTTCCATTCCTCACATGGGTACGACGTGTGAGGCCCATTTTCCAGTGTTCCCTGCTGTGATATTGCTGGAATACTGCTTAAAGCGGCGTAAAACATACTCACTAACTCTATACAAAACACAGTAATGCCATCACTTGTGGGGCCACAAATCACTGCTGTATTTTCTTGGCTGTACCATTTAATCCAAGCAACCTTGGTGAAGACTGTTAGAAAACCTGCCTGAGGTCAAAATGATCATGATTTTGGAACACATTGAAGCAGATTTATGAGCTGTTTAGGAAGTTGTTCCGACATGGCAACACTGATGTGAAGCTCCTCAGCTGCGCTCTGTCCCTGTTTGGAGTTCATTTTAATTAACATTTCCCCAATACTAAGATCAGTCATGTTTTGTTGAACACACAACTAGAAACTCTTCACCTCGCTCTATCAGAGATGGGAACAGTAGAGCCAAGTAGGACAGCAGCATGGATGAGTGGACGTGTGAATGCCTGCACACTGCTGGGTATTGAAGAATTACTAGTGCCTCTATTGAAAGGCAATAACACTTATGGAATACATTATAATAATAGATGTATTAAAAATTATTTTGGGCCTTTATTCAACATAATTTCACTAAAGCATAATGACACAGCTAATACTCAGACATTTGTAAAGATTCTCCAGACATTAGTCATGACTGACCTAAATTGTCTGCAGTGACAACAAGCTTGTTTCTGAAGATGCGATAGAAGATCTGAAGATCAGATATTTGTTGATGAATGGAAGCTTCATAAAAAGGACGGTTTTCTTCCTCATATCTGGGACTATTAAATCTGTTCAAATTTGGTTGTTCTTTATTATTTACAGTTCTCTATTTCATCCAGACTAACAAAGACATGATGGCCTCGCAATCATCTCCATCAAGACAAGTATTAGATTTGATGCCAGACCAGCATGTAAAACAAAAGCTGAGCATTTAGTACATATCAAACATATTTCAAGTAAAACAAACCATGAAATAAACATGGATGGCCATAAAATAGAGTGGTTCAAAGTGTGTTGTCTAGTAGAAGGAAGTCATTAATGTCTGGTTGCTAGGTGACAGTCCTGTGACACAGTCCCAGTGCTAGGCAACCATTATCAGTACCAATCAGCTGTATTGACTGATGAGACAGTAACACAACAGTGTTCTCAGTGTTCACATCACACTGACAGCGGTCACATGACAGTGTTCACACTTCGGTGATCAGATCCCAGTGGTCACGTCAAGTCACATCATTCATGGTGGTCACATCAGAAGAGTGGTCACAGAGAACTGGAGTCCTGCTGTTTCATGACCTGATCGGTGCGGCTGTTGGACACTGATGCCGATTGGGGCCACTCATGATTCAGTTTAATGTTGATGTCCATCAAGTGACCGTACAGCTGATTGAGGTCAAGGTCAACTCGAGTTAGAACAAAAATACCTGAAAGAAATAACAGTAGGAACTAAATGTGACATATTATTTTTTCACCTCAGGAGAATTTCAAGAAATATCTGAAATATAAACTCTTGATTTACAAGATCAACCCACTGACAACTGGCCATATTGGCTCAACCTAATTAAAAACATGTATCAAGCTTTCAGCCCTCCTATTTTCTGACAATAATTGAAAACATCACCAGTCAAAAATAGATCAGCAAATATGTATCCCTTCAGGCAGGTAGATCTACACAGAGAAATGAATGATGTAAAAGCTGTGGTGACAAGAAGTTCACTAAGTCAAATAAACAAATATGGCAGCTTCACAGACTCTCTACAGCTCAGTCAGACACTCACCAGCTTTCTTCTCTGCCAGACAGCTACAGAAGATGTTGAGCAGTGTGAGGATATCGTCTTCAGATGACATCCCAAAAACATCATTGGGCCAGATAGATCTGAAAACATGACAGGCCAACATTTGAATTATTTAGACATTTGTAGAATGATGTTATTCTTCAGCTGTAAATGCAAAGTCTAACCTAAAATTCATCAAGATTCAAAAGAATGTCTCCAACCTGTCTTGACCAATGATACCTTGTATGTCTTTCTTTCAAACTAAACTGTTAAGATTTTTTATTTGTTTGTTTAACACCACACTCAGCAAATATTCCAGCTACATGACAGCAGTCTGTAAATAATCAGTCTGGACAAGACAATCCTGATTGACTTCATGAGCATCGATCTACCCAACTGGGATGCAATGACATGCATCAACCAAGTCAGAGAGCATGACAACCTGATCCCGTTTGTCGCCTCTTACGACAAGCATGGCCTGCTGAACACTAATTCTAACCCAGATCTTCACGAGTCGACCTGTTAAGACAAGTATAAGGTTTAAGTTATGTCAAATATACGGTAAGTAGTGTTTCATAAACATCATAATTTCATCATTCCTAACTGATGCCAGGAAGAATGAGATCATATCACCAATTACATGGATCATGTGTGATCAATGTGTGCACTGTCTGATCATGTGTCATCCACAAAGAGGGTCACTGCTGCTCAATACATGGTTTGTCTGGTCCAGACTAAACTGAAGGTGTTTGCAAGTACAACACAGAAGCAGCCTCTTCATCCCCATCTTCCCGAGGCATGGGAGTTAACTCACTGTAGAAGTCCAGTTCAAACCCTTGTTGAACTGGGCAGGAATTATGGAGGTATATTCTGCATAGACTAAAGAGTCTATGCATAGTCCAATCAAAACTGCATAACAAAATCAGGTTTGCAAAGCCTGAGTACCGTCAACTTAGCGTCAACAGATATTTTTCAAATCTTTTCACGTTTTTAATCAAGGTGTTCACGTGATTTTCGCAAAGTAATACCCGTTGATTATCGATCAGATCGTCTTCACTGGGCGTCACCATTCCCTTTGAATCAAGTGCAAGTGATATGAGAGGTGGAATCTGATTGGCCAGTGGGAGGGACATAGAAGGGACATAACTTGTAATAAGCCACTGTTGGTACTACGATCGAGCCAAGAAATTCAGCCTAGTTCGGCAAAGGTGGAAACTGGACTTAACACTCAGTTAACTCCCTTGCCTCAGGAAGATGCTTCAACACCATTTTCCCAATGTTATCAAATACCACATGCGCTTCCAGTACAATAGCATTAATTCCTGACCATGACCTCGATCAAGACAGCTGCGTAAGATTCAACAATTATCAAGTGTCAGGACTGTACAGGTACAGTGCAACAGCAGCTGGCAATGAATGATACAACCATATTTAACAACAACTTCAGAGATGACCTTGACCTTTGATAGATATAAGCACCATTTCAACATTCAGTGCGGTAGGATTTGTTAAGATACACGCAAACATCAAGTCTCATTCCTGTCGAGGTAAACATGACTCAGAAACTGACAATAACATTGCCATGTCTTCGCAAATTCCTGAATGATGACCTTGACCTCTGACTAATAATTACTAAAACCTTTTCAGACAATGGACCCATCCTTGAAAAGGCATACACTAAGTTCAATGACAAATGCATCCATAACCTTTTGACTAAGTTAACTATAAACTTTTTACGAAAAAGAATTTCAATCTCATGAACTTTAACATTGACCTTTTCATGACATGTGCGAAAAGAATTAATTCCACAGGGAAACTTGGAAGAAGACAATGGAAGCATCATCCCTATTGTCAATAATATTTGGATTCTTATTATGTTTGCTGCACAAACTCCAACAAGACCTTAGAGCAGTCCCCATCATAGGGCTGCTAGTTATCAACTGGCTACAGAGACATTCCTGCTACATGTCAGACTGCAACAATCAACATTCTCCCCCAAGCAGAGACTGTCCACCCACCTGAATGACCGCAGCAACTGGATGGCCTTTGGGTACTGCTGACTGTGGATGTACTCGGCCAGACTGGACACTGCCTCTTGTTTGCTGACCACCTTGCAGTCCACATTGAATGGCGACGCTTGTCCGTTCTCCAGCTCCTGCATGGCGTGAGACAGGGAGCTCTTCACCGATGTGGCTTGTAGCGACATATCCGTCACCTGTACAGACATGGCACATGCAGTCAAATCCAGAGACTTTGCTTCAGTTACCTTATTGCTAACGAGGTGTTGTCCTACCTGTGTATACCAGGTGATAGAGCTAACAAGGTGTTGTCCTACCTGTGTATACCAGGTGATGGAATGCTAATGAGGTGTTGTTTTACCTGTGTATACCAGGTTATGGAATGCTAACGAGGTGTTGTTTTACCTGTTCATACCAGGTGATGGAATGCTAACAAGGTGTATATCAGGTGATGGAATGCTACCAAGGCGTTGTCCTACCTGTGTATACCAGGTGATGGAATGCAAACGAGGTGTATATCAGGTGATGGAATGCTACCAAGGCGTTGTCCTACCTGTGTATACCAGGTGATGGAATGCTTACGAGGTGTATATCAGGTGATGGAATGCTACCAAGGCGTTGTCCTACCTGTGTATACCAGGTGATGGAATGCTAACGAGACGTTGTCCTACCTGTGGGGACTGCGTGACAGAGTGGAAGACCTCCAGAAGCTTCAGGTAACTCTCAAACAGCAACACCAGCCCGAATACCAGCTTGTACAGCCTCCGACACAGATTCACCTTCTGCAGTTAAAACAAAACTGTACTGACTGACACCTTCAAATGTAGACAGACTTTCAACGACATATCACACATTTATTTACACTTCAGATCTGCCTCCCTGGTGGACTAACCTGTTCCTCCCCACACAACAGAGCTGTCCCTCCACCATCTCCCAGGGACTGTTGTTTAATGGAAGACTTGAGGGCTTCAAGGCTCTGTCAATACAATCAGAAATAACATCAATCAGATGAATAACAACGCATCAACAAAGGTTGAAAAGATAGTGAAATTAGCAGAGCATGATCAGTAGAATCACATACCTGTTCTGACTGGTCTTTTCTCATGCAGTAGGTCTCAAAACATTCCTGTATCTCCAACATACAGAAACGGTGGCGCTCCAACACTCGACTGCCTATCAACTAAAAATCACAAAAGGCACATCAAAATCACTTGCATACAACTGTAGCAGGAAAATAGATTCAGCCACAATGAAGACAAACACAGCACAGCATCAGCCATAACAAAGGCAGATCTCCTAAACGATGCCAAAAACTATAGAACCAACGTAAAACTTGTAATACAAAAGGCAAAAGCTGTTTATCTTTTGTATTTACAGACAAGCTTACCCTAAAATTGAAAGAGCTATTTAAAAAACCCAATGCAAACTGTTGGTGCTGAGGGGTTTTCTTTTGGAAAAAAATTGAAATCCAAAACATTTCCAAGTGAGACCACCTCATCCATTCAGTCAGCTCCCTTGACAAGCATAGGCTGCTAGAAATTCCATGAAACCCCCATGGGCTGTGTGTAACATGTATCTTCCCAAGGCAAGGGGGTTAACTGACCAGTCCAGTTTTCACCCTTGCCGATCTGGGCTTGAATTTCAGAGTTATTTTTTGGCTGGACTAATGAGTGTATGCATAGTCCAATCACAATCGCGTAATGAAATCTACTTCCAGTTTGTAAACAACACAGCGACTGCTGAGCAGATTACAGTCTATTGCTGGCATGTCAACTGGGCATCGACAGATAAGTTCCAAATCTTCTCATATTTTTAATCAAGGTGCTATAGTGATTTGATGCACTTCGCCAGGCAAGACTCATCTTATTACAATATCTATTACATTATCTCACATCGTCTTGACTGGGCGCCACCAAGTGATATGAGAGATGCAATCTGATCACTAAATAAGAGGGGCATAGAAGGGGCAGAACTCATAACAGCTATTGGTGGCACTATCGATCGAGCCAGGAAATTCCAGCCTAGTTCAGTAAGGGTGGAAACTGGACTTTTATAGTCAATTAATACCCTTGCCTCAGAAAGATGGCAACAGTACGTACGCATACTGTGAGACACGCTAGCCATACTCACACTGTCGGACTCAGCAAATATGAAGGGACATTCCATCTGCACATACAGCATATCCAGAACCGTCAGTGATTATGTCAGGAAGATAACTTTCTTCAGTTGCGAAAACATTAAGCAATCTTTTGCTTTACATTACAGAATGTTTGAGTTTGTGCTGCAAAGGATTTGCTAAAAACACATATTTAGTAGATCCACCACCAATGTGTACTATAGTACCTAACAACATACGGATACAACTAATACTCTAAATACTGAGTTCTTCCTATCACTGTACAGAAATTTCTTTTCAGTTATGATATTGGCCATGACATTAATTATTTTCTAAACTATATCACCCATAGATAGGGGAGAAAATGTGTGAATAGCTGATAGCCATTTCCGGCTTATTTTACAAGACAAATACACATGTAAGCTTAATCTCTGCATATGAAGCATTGTCTGACATACAGTACAGAAAAATAATTGAATTTGTAAATCATCATGTCTAGTGATGTTTTATCGTAAATTACATGTTTTCTTTGACCAAATTTGCAAAAAACAAAACAAGCACACAAACTCCTATTGCCGCCATGACCATAACCAGAGATGCGTAGTAAAGCAGTGTGCATGTGAAGGGAAGTAACTGCTCGCTATATTGGATTGCATTGGTTTTTTAGTATTGTAGCATTTCACTGCCAAGGGGTTGTACATTTGAGATGTGGAATATTTAAGGGTTTTGTTGTTTTTTTAAATGAAAATAAAAGCGAAACATGTAACAGACTTTATGACATTATGCGGGCGGTGCCTGAGAACCAAAACCATTATTTTTTTTAGCCTTAATTACAGACTTGCCTAACTATTACAGACTTGCTTGGGATTATGGAGATATTGTGTTTCTGGATCTGTACAAGTAGATACAAGTTGGGGAATCAAACCCAGGTTTCAGTGTGAGAGAGAAAGTTTATACCACTTGACTACCCACTGCCCACTAGTACATAGTGTAATAAAGGATATTGATCTGTGAGGCAATAGTCTTCAGAGACTCAGTCTTGGAGATGTAGAAACATGCTTCCTTTGTCATCGTCATCAACCGGCGTCGCAGTTCCTGAAGTGGACACAAGTCAGAGTGAGTGTGGGCTAATGCTATAGCATGATCAAGATATATCACCAGGGCCTGTGCATGATGGAGTCTGACCCAGACAAACCAGTGGTTGATAGCATGAGCAACTATCCACTCATGGGGATACAATCATGCATTATCATACACTTCTATGACAACCATGGGGTACTGGGAGCCTATTCTTCCTAGCATCCCAACTGGATGATCACATGAAAATATATAGCATGCTTACTAACAGGACAAGTGTATCTGTTCACAAGATTATTACCTTCTTTGTGTCACTTCTGTATTTAGCAATATTCCTGTAAAGTAGGAGCTTGGCACAACAATGATTAGGTTTCACAAATTATGCCCATGTGGGTGATTCAAACCTCAGTCATCCACCTAATGAGCATTCACTTTTCCCCCTGACCTACCCTATTGCCAGTAATGAGCAACGCTCTTCCCACTGGGCTACCCTACTGCCAGTAATGAGCAACGCTCTTCCCACTGGGCTACCCTGCTGCCAGTAATGAGCAACGCTCTTCCCACTGGGCTACCCTACTGCCAGTAATGAGCAACGCTCTTCCCACTGGGCTACCCTGCTGCCAGTAATGAGCAACGCTCTTCCCACTGGGCTACCCTGCTGCCAGTAATGAGCAACGCTCTTCCCACTGGGCTACCCTACTGCCAGTAATGAGCAACGCTCTTCCCACTGGGCTACCCTGCTGCCAGTAATGAGCAACGCTCTTCCCACTGGGCTACCCTGCTGCCAGTAATGAGCAACGCTCTTCCCACTGGGCTACCCTGCTGCCAGTAATGAGCAACGCTCTTCCCACTGGGCTACCCTACTGCCAGTAATGAGCAACGCTCTTCCCACTGGGCTACCCTACTGCCAGTAATGAGCAACGCTCTTCCCACTGGGCTACCCTGCTGCCAGTAATGAGCAACGCTCTTCCCACTGGGCTACCCTACTGCCAGTAATGAGCAACACTCTTTCCACTGGGCTACCCTACTGCCATTAATAAGCAACGCCCTGTCAGCAATAAGCAACACTGTTCCCAGTGGGCTATCTTACTGCCAGCAAGGACTCCACTCACCCGGAACAGCCTGGGGAACACCTGGAAGGTGCTGAAGGTGTGGGCCAGGGACACCTCCCCCATCACCTTGGTAACGTGGTTCTTCCACACCTCCTCTACCTCGTCACTCTGCAGGTTTAGACTCAGCGACTGCAGCTGGGAGAAGCTAGGCGACGACACCGACGCTGTCAACTCCACGATGTCCGTCTCACTGGGGTTGCTGCACAGACTACGCCTGCAGGGATACACAACATGGAGTATTAGACTGTGAGAGTAATGGTATCAGTGGGATATCTTGCAATGTCAAAGATGACACATTTACACGAAGTACATAATCATTTAAGAAATCATCTTTCAGTTTTGTAGGTTTGATAGTTCTTCCACTAAGCATTTACATTCCAAACCAAGAGAAGGTGTGAATGCTACTTTATCATATGTCAGTTAAAACAGGACTGTCTGGACCAGAAAAACAGTAGTTGGTAGCATGACCTACCTGGTACACAATGCGTGTACACTACAACTGTTGTTCAGAGTATATGACCCGAGCCATGCGTGTACACTACAACTGTTGTTCAGAGTATATGACCCAAGCCATGCGTGTACACTACAACTGTTGTTCAGAGTATATGACCCGAGCCATGCGTGTACACTACAACTGTTGTTCAGAGCATATGACCCGAGCCATGCATGTACACTACAACTGTTTTTCAGAGTATATGACCCAAGCCATGCGTGTACACTACAACTGTTTTTCAGAGTATATGACCCAAGCCATGCGTGTACACTACAACTGATGTTCAGAGTATATGACCTGAGCCATGCGTGTACACTACAACTGTTGTTCAGTGTATATGACCCAAGCCATGCGTGTACACTACAACTGTTGTTCAGAGTATATGACCCGAGCCATGCATGTACACTACAACTGTTGTTCAGAGTATATGACCCGAGCCATGCATGTACACTACAACTGTTGTTCAGAGTATATGACCCGAGCAATGCGTGTACACTACAACTGTTGTTCAGAGTAAATGACCCGAGCCATGCGTGTACACTACAACTGTTTTTCAGAGTATATGACCCAAGCCATGCGTGTACACTACAACTGATGTTCAGAGTATATGACCCGAGCCATGCATGTACATTACAACTGTTGTTCAGAGTATATGACCCAAGCCATGCGTGTACACTACAACTGTTGTTCAGAATATATGACCCGAGCCATGCATGTACACTACAACTGTTGTTCAGAGTATATGACCCAAGCCATGCGTGTACACTACAACTGTTGTTCAGAGTATATGACCCGAGCCATGCATGTACACTACAACTGTTGTTCAGAGTATATGACCCAAGCCATGCGTGTACACTACAACTGTTGTTCAGAGTATATGACCCGAGCCATGCGTGTACACTACAACTGTTGTTCAGAGTATATGACCTGAGCCATGCATGTACACTACAACTGTTGTTCAGAGTATATGACCCGAGCAATGCGTGTACACTACAACTGTTTTCAGAGTAAATGACCCGAGCCATGCGTTTACACTACAACTGTTGTTCAGAGTATATGACTTAAGCTATGCGTGTACACTACAACTGATGTTCTTAGTACACAACCAGAGCCATGCGTGTAAACTACAACTGATGTTCAAAGTGCACAACCGATACCATGCGTACACTTCAACTGTTGTTCAAAGTATATGACCGGAGCCACATACAGTACAACTGTTGTTCAGAGGATATGACTGGACCCACACAGTACAACTGTTGTTCAGAGGATATGACTGGACCCACACAGTACAACTGTTGTTCAGAGGATATGACTGGACCCACACAGTACAACTGTTGTTCAGAGTACACGACTGGACCCATACAGTACAACTGTTGTTCAGAGTACACGACTGGACCCACACAGTACAACTGTTGTTCAGAGTACACGACTGGACCCACACAGTACAACTGTTGTTCAGAGTTCATGACTGGACCCACACACAGTAAAACTGTTGTTCAGAGGATATGACTGGACCCACACAGTACAACTGTTGTTCAGAGTACACGACTGGACCCACACAGTACAACTGTTGTTCAGAGTACACGACTGGACCCACACAGTACAACTGTTGTTCAGAGTACACGACTGGACCCACACAGTACAACTGTTGTTCAGAGTACACGACTGGACCGACACAGTACAACTGTTGTTCAGAGTACATGACTGGACCCACACACAGTACAAATGTTGTTGCTTTGACACCTACGTGGATGCTGTGAGGGGACTGGATCTCCGTCGTCTCTCCAGCTTGGGGTTGGTCACCACGATGGACTCCGAAGCCGGCAAGTCCTGGGGGATGTCATCATTGTCATCCATTGCAGAACTCTCCGACTGAAGGAGGGAATACAAGACATGGAAACATCTTCCAAGAAAATCGTGGTCACAAAAACCTGTGAAATGTCAACACAAACTGACAACATCTGCCTTAGTAACTCAGCTACTTTATCAAAGCATAATTTTCGACATCAACCCATGCTCACATCAGTTTTCAATGTCCATTCATATTATCCCATTGTATCAAAATACTTCATAAAAAACTAAACCACTGGTGATGACTATATTTGTTATGTATGTGCTCAAATCAACGTGTTGATTTATTGTATGATGGGTATCTCCCTTTTAGTATTATTATTATTATTATACATAATGAGTAATGAAACATAGATAAACAGACTTGTCAGTATTATGCCTGTGTTTGTATCATATCAAATTAGAGACAGAATCCATGTTTTACTGTCACTGTTGGAAACAGGTATACATCAGTATGGTACAAGTGTATGTGTTAGTCTCCACAGGACCCACCTCATCCTCAGAGAGGGTTTCCTTGACACTGAGACTCTCGCTGGGGGAGATGGTGATCTCTGTCAGACTGGGAGAGCCAATCAGCTTCAGATCAGGCACGCTACCGAAGTGGGGACGCACCGTCGTCGGCGAGTCTTGGAGGTTCAGGGAATGACGCCTGTCACCAAATTGCGAGAAGAAGTCCTCATTCTGTCAAACAGAAAATATTCAATGAAATAGCAATTCCTGTTTCTTAATGACAACACATTGAGAGCTGTGAAGAAAATGGAGATAAATGGCTGTTTAAATAGCAGAATTGAATGGAGCTGACTGATAATATCCTTACAAAACAATTTGCAACATGAGTAAACCTGCAGCTCCCTCAATGATAAAATATGCAAACAGGAATAGATATTCCAAGATGCAGTGATTTCATTCTTTTAAATACAAACCACTTTCACCAAAATTCAGATCACAACAGTGACAGACTAAGTCCCCACTTTGAGTCCCAACTTACCTCCGATTCCTCCAGTTCATTGTCCAGGAAGTCGAATCCCTTGAATGTGACCATCAACTCATTGCCACTACTGTCATCCAGCACATTGTCTGCAACACATACAACATGGCCGATTGTCCCATTGTGTACAGTCACTACTCCTGCTTGCATCATCCAGCGACAAGCTATACAACATCATCATTTATCACAGCTCTTTAATATTACGGACTATATCAACCGTCAAAATGATAGTGTTATCTGAATATGACTTTCCCTTGGGATAGTAAAGCCTTATCATATCTTATGTTATCTCTGAGAAGATATTATTTTTGAAACAACGTGAACCAAAATTATCAGAACTTAAATTAATTTGTTCAGGATTAATGTGCAAAAGGTCAGTGTCACATGTTTGACTACCCATCCTTATGACATGTTGGCAGAAATCCTATACAAACAACATACTACAATTGCACACAACAAAAAGAGTTATTAGGTACAATGTCCCTCAGATTGTCAAGTCTTACTGGAGGAGGGGGCTTCGGGCAGGGAGGCTTCCTCGCCACTTGACGCCACGCTGTGTTGGTGGTCCAGCGTGTCACTTGATTGGCTGAATATGACCTGGAAGTAAATGCAAGGTCATGATTCACCCCAATCATATGGTCCTACACAAAGATTCCTGCTTCTCACCTACGGTAGGCTGTTTCAGATCACAATCGTATGAGTACAAACTCAAACATAGCTTACAACAGTCATAACACTACGATTGTGTTATGTGGCCCAGAGTATTGATCTTGTGATCTATGATAGGTTACAATCACAAACAAAATAGGAGAACAATATATCACCTGACGCCATCCCAGTATTATGATGGATGTGTTAACGTGACTAGTACCTGAGATTCAGGGAGTATAAGTTGTGTTATCAGCAGTTTCTGGATGTACTTGTGTACAATGAACATACAATCACACAAAACAATAATGTCATATAAACTTATGAAATGATGGCTTCAGATTATCAAAGTATCAATATAAATACGCAAAAACTAAACTAGATTTGTAAAAAATGTTCTATTTTTTGACACAATAATTTTCTCTTTTCCAGGAAGATAAGTTTCAGTGTGAGCAAACTGGGGTTTAGTGCTGCTTTACCAAGTATTCCAGCTACATTATCTTGTGTCTGTTTAATTTGGAGATAAATTACTTAAGACGTTCACCACTTGGAAACCCAAGGGTACAGGTATGGTGCTGATACAAGGGAGGCAACTATGCATAGGCGCACACCCAAGGGCCCCTGAGCACACAACCCCCACCTCCCCTAATGGCTTGGAAGGAACCTTAGTAATTCATTTGAAATTGACCCCAAACTGAACAAATTAATGTTAATGGAAATATTATTTGTCTGGTTTTACTTGAGTTCAAAAGCCTTAAAAAGGCAAGTAATTTCTTCGAAAGAACTAAGAAGTGTTCTGTTTTCATAAATATATTTATACATATCATGAAGTATGTCACACATGTTTGTTTGTTTGGTTTGCTTGGTTGTTTAACGCCACACTCAGCAATATTCCTGCTATATGACGGCGGTCTGTAAATAATCAAGTCCAGACCAGACAATCCAGTGATTAACATCATGAGCATCAATCCATGAAATTGTGATAAGATGACATGCATCAACCAAGTCAGAGAGCCTGACCATCGGATCCTATTAGTCGCCTCTTACGACAAGCACAGTCACCTCTTGCTGCAAGCATGGGTTGCTGAAGACCTATTCTACCCCGGATCTTCACGGGTGTGTCACACATGTTGATGAAGTGTCTGGTGCACTAGGTATATATGGCAGACACGACAGTGGCAGAAATTGAAACATCAAAAACAGCTAGGCATCATCACCATATATCATTTCTGTCACTGTCACACAAATCAGTATCCAAATAGATATAAGCAATACAAACTAAACATAGTAAGCAAACATAATAAGCAAACAAACACATGTATCATGAACTGACTGCAACATGATGGTACGCATATCATGTAATATTTGTCTTGCCAGATACACACAACTATTTCTCTAGCCATATTCAAACAATGAGTAATCTAGTGATACAATATATATTACTGGATCCACATTCCATGCTTTACAGAAGTTTTGAAAATTCTGAAAGAAATGAACACCCATCCCACACAAACTGGAACAAGGTGATTTATAGGGGGAAGACAGGCAATAAATATTTTATAATGCCCTACTATAACTAAATTAGACCAATTAGAAGTCTTTAAATGGAAATGGTGGGATTGAGATAGGGAGGATGAAAATGACCCATGTACCATGATGCAAAGCCTGTGCATCATCCCACATAACAAAGGGCGTCTGAAAGAGAAGGACGTCAGCAACAGAATGATGAGAATGTGCAGCGACCAAAACATGCCCCTCGGAACACACACCTGGGAGCCCCCTGGGACTGGACGTGTCTTAGCCTGATGACACAAACAGTACTGCTTAGAATGGTGTAGTGAGGGCGGGGAATACTGGCTGGCTGTTAGTATAAGATCTGGAGCAAGCAGATCAATGGTAATCTAGGCCACACAGTGTTGTGAGGGGGCGTGGTTGTGTGGCCAGTATTGTTGTGATGGGGCATGGTTGTGTGGTAAGTATGGTCGAAGGTGGCATGTTTGTGTGTCCAGGACTCATGTGGTGGGCCTGGTTGTGTGGCCAGACATGCTGAGAGGTGGCAGGGTTGTGTGGCCAGTACTGTTGTGGCGTGCAAAGGTTGTGTGGCCAGTACTGTTGTGGCGGGGCAGGGTTGTGTGGCCAGTACTGTTGTGGCGGGGCAGGGTTGTGTGGCCAGTACTGTTGTGGCGGGGCAGGGTTGTGTGGCCAGTACTGTTGTGGCAGGGCTGGGTTGTGTGGCCAGTACTGTTGTGGCGGGGCTGGGTTGTGTGGCCAGTACTGTTGTGGCGGGGCAGGGTTGTGTGGCCAGTACTGTTGTGGCGGGGCAGGGTTGTGTGGCCAGTACTGTTGTGGCGGGGCTGGGTTGTGTGGCCAGTACTGTTGTGGCGGGGCTGGGTTGTGTGGCCAGTACTGTTGTGGCGGGGCAGGGTTGTGTGGCCAGTACTGTTGAGGCGGGGCAGGGTTGTGTGGCCAGTACTGTTGTGGCGGGGCAGGGTTGTGTGGCCAGTACTGTTGTGGCGGGGCAGGGTTGTGTGACCAGTACTATTGTGATGGGGCAGGGTTGTGTGGCCAGTACTGTTGTGGCGGCGCAGGGTTGTGTTGCCAGTACTGTTGTGGCGGGGCTGGGTTGTGTGACCAGTACTGTTGTGGCGGGGCAGGGTTGTGTGGCCAGTACTGTTGTGGCAGGGCAGGGTTGTGTGGCCAGTACTGTTGTGGCGGGGCTGGGTTGTGTGCCCAGTACTGTTGTGGCGGGGCTGGGTTGTGTGGCCAGTACTGTTGTGGCGGGGCAGGGTTGTGTGGCCAGTACTGTTGTGGCGGGGCAGGGTTGTGTGGCCAGTACTGTTGTGGCGGGGCAGGGTTGTGTGGCCAGTACTGTTGTGATGGGCCTGGTTATGTGGCCAGTACTGTTGTGGCGGGGCTGGGTTGTGTGGCCAGTACTGTTGTGGCGGGGCTGGGTTGTGTGGCCAGTACTGTTGTGGCGGGGCTGGGTTGTGTGGCCAGTACTGTTGTGGCAGGGCAGGGTTGTGTGGCCAGTACTGTTGTGGCGGGGCAGGGTTGTGTGGCCAGTACTGTTGTGGCGGGACACTGCTCCAGTCACAGGGGGCATGGTAGGAGAAGAGTGGGGACTGTGCGACACAAGCAGCTCAACACAGGAGGACATGATATTGATAGAAATGAAGTATAAAGTTGTTGGTGGATGTCGACGTCCTGGTCAACGTCTTACCTTATTGATTACAGTGTCCTAAACACCAGGACAAAACATAGTGATGTTATAGTTTGTCAATATCTCATGTAATAAGGACAAAGTGCGGTAGTTTCACACCGTGTGATGTCAATATCTCATGTAATAAGGACAAAGTGCCGTAGTTTCTCACCGTGTGATGTCAATATCTAATGTAATAAGAACAAAGTGCCGTAGTTTCACACTGTGTGATGTCAATATCTCATTTCATAAGGACAAAGTGCCGTAGTTTCACACCGTGTGATGTCAATATCTCATGTAATAAGGTCAAAGTACCTTAGTTTCACACTGTGTGATGTCAATATCTCATGTAATAAGGACAAAGTGCCTTAGTTTCACACCGTGTGATGTCAATATCTCATGTAATAAGGACAAAGTGCCTTAGTTTCACACCGTGTGATGTCAATATCTCATGTAATAAGGACAAAGTGCCTTAGTTTCACACCGTGTGATGTCAATATCTCATGTAATAAGGACAAAGTGACGTAGTTTCACACCGGCATGAGTGAGTGAGGGGGTAAGAAGGGTTTGCCGCTGTATCAGCGGTATCTCAGCTACAACAGGGCTCAGCATACACGGCTCACAGTAGCTGGTAGCTCATGCAGTCATTCCTGCCAGACAGACTGTGGTGGCAATGTTCATGCCTGCAGGAGAGTCACATCACACACAATGAACTAGGGCTGCAACGATACACCTAGGTCACGATACGATACGTATCACGATACTTACATTACGATTCGATACGTATCTCGATACGCTACGATACATATAGTGACGAGAAGAAAAGAGATAAATGAATTAAACTTAGTTTATTAAAATGAAAAATTGAATGAAAGTGAATGAATGTTCATGAGTCATAAAATATATACTGGTCATGAGCATTTTAACTTAATGAATCATCTGCCATTTCCATGTAATGGCTAGCAAACATAAAAGTAACAGTCCTACATATTTGTGAGTTGTGACCAGATGGTAGATTCTAGGAGTAAATACTAAATGTACCAGTGTCCAGTAACTAATGATTTGCCATTTTCATGTATAAAGGCAAAAAAACAATTAAAAACAATTGTAGCAACAGCCATGTTATACACTATTTGAAAGGTCTAATCCTGGTGTTTATAAATATGAAAGTTATGTTTATAACATTATTTACAACTTGACAACTTAATTAAGTTCGTTGTAAATATACAAAATGTAAGCTAACGCATTCATAACATCCAGATTAAGGACCAAGGAAGCGAAAATTTGACGATTTGGGGCAAATATAAGATTTCAAAAGATCTAGATCTACTTATTTCCTTTTTTATTTTCATTTACGTAATTGGAAAATTATTTTAAAAAGAATTATGAATAGTATCTGATTTCACCCATTTCCAGATAACAGCGGCTGTCCGCTAAGTAACATGAAGAAATACCTCCGTTTTCGAAAGCTTCGTATGAATAAAACGTTCTTCGAAGACTGACATATGACACATCGTTAGAAAGCTTGTTGTTTCATCGTAACAACACGCTCGTAACATTGCCTGGAGTCTTTTCGCAGGTATAAAAAATGGTTCCTAATGACGCTTTCTTGCCGAAGTCTGCTACAAGGTTCATGATTGGTCAGAGCTCGTGACCTGAGGCAGGCAATCAAATTACAAATCCTTGTGTACGATGAATTTCAGATTTTTATGAAATATTTTGGTTAAATCGTGTTATTCTGAACGTTTTAAGCAGGAAATCGCGATCTATATTAAAAATATGGAGCTTCGTGGATGTATCATACTAGGTTACAAGCTGTGACAAAGATTTTTCATGCATATATTTTGGCATCGAACATCGTGTCCGAGCCGAGAATTCGAGGCGCCAAAAGCAGAGATGTCATTTAAAGAACATTACACGTGATCGCACGAAAAGATGGAAATAATAACTTAGCTGTAAGTTTGACCACTTTTAGATATATTTTTGTTGATTTTATTTATCACTTTGAATAATATATTTTAAGATTTGCTTGAAACGTCTTTGTTTTGCTCTTTGACATGTTTGATGTGCACCCGTTGTCGAAGTGTGCGATCGAGAATTATATTTTCAATAACATTGCGGGAAATAGTGAATAACTTTTAATCTATCGATAAATAATGATAAATTGAAATAGAATTCGTATTTCAGACATTGTGAGATGTGATAGATTTAATAAATGAATGGTATGACAGGTAGGTCCATAAATATATATACAATTTTGACGTGACTAAGGCTTGGCCGGTGCCTGGGGACTCAGTTCCTACGGTGTTGAAAGAGTTTAAACACATTTAAAACGTATCTGTGATAAAAGTTTATGTACAAAAACAAAGACGTACGTATATACGACTTTGAAAAAAACGTATCGTGAAAAATCGAGATACAGCACCTCACAAATCGCACAACGTATCGTATGGAGTGAATTGCGATACATCGGTGTCCCGGGATATCGTTTCAGCCCTACAATGAACACACAACACTCACAACCAGCACACAGCATACACACAGCATGCACACAACATACACACAACATACACAAAGTATGCTCAAGGTATGCACTACTTGGCTTCAACATGCATCAGGACATAATCAGCTTAATAACATAAAGCTGAAATCTGACACAAGTCATAGCACAGATTTCTTTGTGAAACCGGACAATTTTGAAATTCATCACCACTATGTAGTACTAAGCATTATGTCAGAACTATTGAACACAAAGACACCTGCTGAAAAGGATCAATGCATGCAGTTTCTCAACGTCATAATGTTGACAAATAAAACAGAACATATGCAGAACTTATAATATCAACTTTCCCACAACAAATATCTGCATGTGCATTAGTAAAGTTCCAATACATTCTAGTAACACAAGACTGAGACGTCAGGAGGCAGTGCCTACTTACTGAGGGGCTCTTGAGCAGTCCCACGCGGGGTCCGAAACAGGTCAGCAGGTTAACAAGGCGCTCTCGAGTTCGAGCCTGAAATTCAAAAATAACATATGAAAGTGCAAAATATCCCAAACAAGATAATAGTGAAATTCAGTGAAATTACAGTAAGCAGTTAGTAATTTGTTAGTAATCTATTAAAAAAACAAAAGCAGTGTTATTTTTATGTTACATCATAAATGAAAGAAAACAATTGTCAAACACAAATTTGTGTACTTGAATTTAGCACTAAAACAAGAGAATATTGAATCTATTGATGTATTCCGACCAGGTGTGGCTGACACTGTGTCAGAATGACCTTCACCTAGTACAGTGACTGACCTGTGAAGCCTGGGGTCGGCGCCACACAGAGTCAATGTCCTGGTTGTTGGATGGTTTCCTTGACAACGACACACCCGATGACGAGCTGCTCTGTACAGGACCACCAGTAGCACCGGCAGTAGCACCAGCAGCTGCAGCAGCACCTCCGGCTGATGACTGGTCATTGACGAAAAACTTCCTGCCTATGATGGGCGTCTTGGACAGGTCAACAGAGAAGTCCAGAGTGCGACCTACAGAACAATATTGAGTGAGCCTCGGTTTACTCATGTTTTGAACAGCTTTCCACTCCTGGTACACCAGTTCATTGCTTACAATAGGTAGAAGACATTATATAAAGTACTCTTGATGAGGTCAATATGTGAAAACAAGGACCACCCGACCCATGAGGTGGTCTGACATCATGAATCATTTGTTTTGTTATACCGAAATTCACTTTAGAGTTTATGAAGTCTTTAAACCATCTTCTGGTTCTTTACAGTAACTCAGCTGCGAAACATAAAATGTTCGTACAACACGCGACCTTCTTTTCTAGCAGACGAGTCAATATTCATCACGTTTCAGGTCAATACTAATCATGAGACAAGTCAATATTCGAGGTCCTTGTCATTAATCACTAGAAGGAAATCCATGGGCAGGAGTACATTGCCAGACCTGCAGCATTATCTGGCAAATCAAACCACTGACTAGCGGATACTGGCAGCTAAGGGAAATAACTTTGCAGGGTCAAAGATCAACAGGTCATCCAGCCTCTACAAAAACATTAAAGTTTGTGTGCAAGACAACTAATACACCCAGGTGACATCAAGAGATCACTGTGACCTTTCTGACTGCCCTGACCACAGATACACAACGAGCTAAATTTGTTGTCAGTGACTGAGCGGTAGTGAACAAACTTAGTTCAAATATTGATGAAGCTAACATTTTTTCGATGATAGTTACTAAGCACTACCCATTCTATGCTGCTGTTTTCTGTAAAAAATCTGTAATATACACAAGAATATAGAGACTGTCATGTAAATTATCAGCTATAATAGTGGGCGTTAATAAGAATTACCTACAGATTGGTCTAGAAATTGTTCAGGGGATGCCTATTGCAGTAGAGCTCTTTATACAGCGATTATTGTAAGTCAAATCCAAAAAAACCTTTGTTGTTGATCAAATATAGATAGAGGGTGAGCTATCTTGACAAAATGGATGCTGCTGTGATGCAGAACTAACAGGATGTGTCTTGTACACATGGCCTTCATCGAACAAATGTGATGTCCCGGCAGAGATTACCTGGCAGTTCCTTGTGAATCTTGGTGTATATCTCGGCCTCAGCGAAGGAGGTGTGGGAGTACATGCTGAGCTCGGAGCTGACGGAGAAGCTGAGTGAGGGCGGGGCTGCAGCCAGGGTGGACGATCTCGTTACAGCAAGCTTCAGGATCTTCAGAGCCTCCTTCCAGTGGACACTCTAAACACATGGTGGGGAGTGGATTAATGAAGTCTGCATCAGTACAATGTGTGTCCACCAGAGTACCAGAGGTTCAAAAGCTCACTATCATTGGATGAAATTATCACCTGATTGCAGATGTGTCAAACTAGAGTCATGTTCAGTTCTAACACAGAAAGGGATGGGTAGATGGTGCACAGAGATGGACAGAGAGAGGGAGGGACAGACTGGGAGAGGGAGAGAGGAAGAGAGGGACATGGAGAGCTAAAACATGTTTAAGTTAAGTTAGTCCTTTTGCTGTTTTCATAATATCCCAACAATACTTCAGCATTAAACACCAGATGTGTGACGCAGACTGTACCCATATTGTGAATCATACCCAGATCTCAGATATGACTACAAAACACTAACATCATTAGGCGAACACACTTCCCCTACAACATATCTCAAGGGAAAGTTTGAATCTCAGTTTTACACTCATCACTCTTAAACAATTTCACATAATAAGTTTCAATTGTATGTCATAAGAAAGTGAGAAAACAGTATATATGTTGTATAATATGGCACAAAAATACACACTTTCAGTCTCACCACAAAGAAACACATTTCCTATCATCTGAAGAAAGGGAGGGCAAAGGTAATGGCAGACAAGTTTCCCCTCATGACTTAAACTTAAATTTGGATGAGCTGTCTTAAAAAACGACTGCACAGATGTCATCACTTGTGGAGAAACTTCAGTTTAATTGTTCCTGTTTTTTTGCTCTTCATAATGCCAAACCAGACAAAGGACTTGAGGTCAGCCAGACACAACAGCTCAGGTTAGATACAAGTAACATCTCAACTGAAGAGTTGATGTTCCCAATGGCGCCCTGACCTGAATATACTTGGTGGCAGTGTGGAACACCTCTGTGTTAAGGACCGAGTTGTGTGCTGAGCTGTGGGTGGAGTTGATGTCCACATAGTGCGTCATACAGTGCAGTATCTGCAGCACTCCGGGCTGGTTGGAGGCCGGACCCTTCTCCAGCACCTGCAACATGTCAAACATCAAACATCTGCAACATGTCAAACATCAAACACCGGCTACATGTCAATCATCAAACACCTGCAACATGTCAAACATCAAACACCTGCAACATGTCAAACATCAAACACCTGCTACATGTCAAACATCAAACACCTGCAACATGTCAAACATCAAACACCTGCTACATGTCAAACATCAAACACCTGCAACATGTCAAACATCAAACACCTGCTACATGTCAATCATCAAACACCTGCAACATGTCAAACATCAAACACCTGCAACATGTCAAACATCAAACACCTCAACATGTCAAACATCAAACACCATCGACTCACATCAGGATCATAAATCCAAAATAAATATCATGATCATTGACTGCATTAACTTGTCAAAACATGAGTCCGACTGACCTCTACAAGGAAGGTGAGCATGCTGACGGCAGCGAAGGAGTTGACGTCCAGCAGGTACTTGACCACACACTTGGTCCACTGGAGGCTGTCCTTGCCGAAGGTGCCGCGGCTGTACAGCGACATCACTGTGGCCAGGTTGGACAGTCGGTCGGTCTGCTGGCTGCACATCTGTCACACAAACAATATCCTGTGATGCTTAAATCTTGAACAATATGCACAAAATCCTAACATCATTCAGTAACCTTTACAAACGTTTGAATTGTTTTTGAATAAAAGGGTCTTATCAAACACTCAAAAAATGTAGGTATGCAATAATTGCATTTGGTTTTCAAATACAGTGTTGCTCATGGGCTTGAAAGTAGGGGGTAATCCATCCTCAGGCTACCATGCAGCAACTTTATTGGTTGCCTGATCATGAGTAAACATCCTTCAAGACTACCCTATTGCTTATTCTTCACCAGGGACCCTTTCGTTGGTTTGTTGTTTAAAAATGACACACACAGCAATATAATATTCCAGCCATTTGACAGGGGCCTGTAAGTAATCGAGTCTTGACCAGACAATCCAGTGAAAGATATAGTGCTCAATAACACACGCCTTTGAGGTACGAGGACATGCTACCAACCAAGTCACCGAGTCTGACCATCTGGTCCCCTCTGATGAGCAGCTTCGGTTGCTTGGGACTAGTTCTAACCAGGAATCCTCATTCTGGTACAGCTGTTGTAAGTCTATGCAAAAGTATCTGCATCAGTCAGAGTGCTACATTACACATGTGAAACAGGACAGATAAGACAGATGAAGAGACCAACCTGTGCGATATGGTCAGATGCTTCACGACAGGTCTGGTTGGGGTTTTTATAGTTGGCAACCAGGTATGGCAGCATGGCTATTGTGTTCATAGGAAACCCTGCACATACACAAAACAGTGACAGTTAGGAAACATTTAACACACAGACTCTAAGAAATGACAAACAACTTTTGACTCATATCACAGATGAAAAAAATTCAGATAAGTTTTGATTAATTCAGAAATGGAATGAAAGTGAACAAACCCCATTTGCCGGAGGGATCAATGACAGGTGCCTTGATACACAGGATGATCTTTGACAGCAGGGACCAGGTGGCCTCCGCTGTTACTGGGGACGTGCAGCCCTGGGGACAGAAGGGTCATTGTTAGAAGTTAGTGAGTGAGTGAACATTGCCTTATGCCACAGTCAGCAATATTCAAGCTATGATTTGAGATGGCAGGCCTACTCTTACCTTCAACAGAAGCGTCTGTAGCCCGGGGAAGTTGGGCCACTTGATCTGTTGCTGCATCTTGTCCAGCTTCTCCTTCCACTCAGGGTTCTCGGGCTGCAGGTGACACAGGATCTTGTCGAGGAGTCGCACTGCCAGGAGGAACTCATACTCGTAGTCTGACTCCAGCAGCGACACTGCGATCCAGAACATCTGCGTCACCAGGGTCTGTTTGTCCTCTGTCCCGTTTTGGTCCAGGTTCTTCAGAGACTGGGCACTGCGAGACCGGCCAAGATTTGTTCGACGATGGTCAAGGTCAGTGCTTGCTCTGTTACGTGAGTCATCTGTGAAAAGAAAGCTTTTCAAGTAATCAGCAGGATGTGGAAGAATGGAATGTTTATTAGCTGCATCAGCAACACTTAAGCAATACCAAGTGTGGGCGTCACAAATCACACCCCTGTGGGACATGAACCTGGGTCATTACTGTGACAAATGATCACTTTAACCAGTGAGTGAGTGACTGACTAAGTTTGGTTTATATGCCACTTTGAACAGTATTTCAGTGATATCACAGCATGTCAGCTTTAATTTATGTTTGAGGAAAGCCCGAAGTGATGCAGGTGTTAGAAGTTTACAGCTCTGGTGAAACAAAGGAGCACAGGTATGGTGCTGACAACCTAAAAACATAATCTGGGCGAGATACGCGATTCAGTCCATGATGCCTAAGGGAGACAACTCTGATCATTGAGTTGCACCACCTCAGACAACTGGGCCACCCATGCAATATGAGAGCAGCCTGTTACAAATTGAGTCTGAACCTGAAAAATCTGTGATTGATATTATGAGCAACTCTACCCACATTGGGGCACATTGGCACACTATCAATTAAGTCAATTCTGAGAACTTTTAAGAGATCAATTGAATTGCCTTAAGACAAGTATAGGTTTCAGGGGACCAATTGAAACACAGCATCCCCTCGCGACCCCGGTCTAAAGGAAACTATGCAGGACACTAACTGGCAGCAGCGTGAGCCCTCTGGATGATGACGGACACGGAGTAGCTGGTGCTGCGGGAGTGGTGGGGCAGCGATTGTTTGGGGGCTGTCATTGCTCCACGGCGACCATCCGAGTCTTTGGCAAGATTGGGCGTTGACATGAACAGCTCTTTCATGAAGTCGATTGGTCGGAATTCAAGGTCAAGGTTATCAATGGCTGCTTCAAGTGTCAGCATTATCTCTGTCACATAGCCCTGGAAGAAATCAATGTTAAAGTGCTGATGTACTGGTCGATCATGGTGTGTTCTGTCCATTCGTCAGGATCATCGAGATATGGTCTCATCATTGTCATTATGGGAAAACACATGTAAAGCATTAGTTCTGTGACTTCTACAGGCAGAACCCATACTAATGTGGACCAGTTCCAGTCCATGTGAACCAGTTCCAGAACTCAGCCAAATTTGAGGATTAAAGAATCATTGGTATAGGATAAAAAGATTAGTGATAGGAGATAAAAGATCAGTCCAAAATGACCTCTGATCTAATGTTAACTAAAACTGTAGTGTCACAGGCATAGACCCATCTTCGACCCCCTCATTAGGATAATTGAATAGCCTGTATCACATGTAAGTATTTCCAACAGAACTAATCCATGAACACACAAAGCCATTTAGAAAGTGGTCAAATGTAACAAATGTAACAAATGTAACATCTGGCATAACGCTTTCTTAGTAACGTACAGACTCTAGTACTATTTTGGGTTGGGTCCCATCAAGGATTTGAACCCACACTGGCTAAGTTAGGCACCTAATCACCAACAAACAAAGTCAGCAATCTAACCCACTCAGCCTCTGGCACTTCCACAAAAATGAAAGTCTGTGACAACTGGTTGTCTAGATCACATAGTTTGTATACCCCTCTGACAAGTGTAAATTGGCACAGCTCCCATGTCCGAAACCATAAACACACAAAGCCATTTAGAAAGTGGTCAATCGTAATGAATGTTACATTTGGGATAACACTTTCTCAGTAAAGTATAAATTCTAAATGTACTTCCTAAATGGCATCGTGTGTTCATAACTTTCCCCCATGCCTCCTCACTTTGGCAGTGTGGGTTCAAATTTCAGATAGGACTCAACCAAAAAAAGTACTAGAATCTGAACTTTATCAACAAAGTTTTAGCCCAAATTTAACATTTGTCACAGTTCTAATCCAGATCAGAAAGGTTCTCTCGCATGTTTCTTTGCCATCCTGGGATCAGGTTTACCGTTACTGTCAGTTGTCATGGTACTGCCCTGAGTGCGAGTTCTGCCTGATGGCAGCTACTGAAGCCTGCTGGCCATGGAGCATGTGTCTTACCTGCATGTCATCTCCTTGTTCTGCCACAGTCTCCACAAGTCGAGACAAAATATCAGACAACATCTGCGTAGATGGACGGATTCTAAGGGCTCGAAGTATCTGAAAGAAAACAAAAAATGCAAACCATAATGTTTACCTCCAGCGGTGTCAAAAATTGTAGAATTTTCCTATTCGGAATATTCTATAAGTAATACGTTACCACTGTTATACCGAGGCTGTTGTCTCCCACAACTGCTGCTATAGCGAAATCTACCACAGAGATCTCAATTACCTCATGCAGCACGTGCGTAGCCACCTAGCTGCCATGTGACACCCTTCACTCTTGTCTCTTGCGAGAGCAAGTGCTCGGGGGACGGACGGGCGGGCAGCAGCCCAGTGGTAACGTATTACTTATAGAATATTCCGAATAGGAAAAGTCTACAAATTACATTAAGTAATACGTTACCACTGTTATACCGAGGCTGACTACCACAGTAGGCGGCGGGGAGCACCTACAACCCGAATCCTGACTGCTAGCGTTTCTTCCGACCAGCGGAAGTAAACACCAAGGCGGAAGCACTCGATGCGCATGCACCTAGCTAGGCGTTACCCTATAGGAATACCAAAGCACTGGCAAGCGCATACCGTAAGGCTCAATCGTCATTGCCAAAACGGCCCCACTGGATTCCAAACGGCCCCACTGGATAGGTATTTCATCGCCGCAGCGGATGAGAACACTGTATCCGCGTGAGCTTAATCTTAGATCAGGTTAAACAGTCGAAAAGAGGGAAATTAATTTCATTCAGACCGTATATCCCAGAGCAAGCCTACTTAGTATGCATTAGGCGCGTGACCTAATTCCAGTATTTGTAAGCATACATCACAAGGTTGGGATACACGACAGACAATTAAATACATAATTGTCAAAATACAAATAAGGACAAAGCACACAAAAAGCCGCCCTCACCTGTGGTGTGACCCCAACTCCTGTAGCCACGGCAGTGAGAACAATGGAGTCGACCCAGATTGACCACCGTGCAAGGTCTGACGCCTGAGGAGTTCGGAATTGCGCTGGGCACACCCCTTAGGTGCCCGCTTGCGCCGCGATCCGAGGGCCAAGACGGTGCACACTCTCCACGACGGCATCAGCGACCTGTTTGAGGTAATGATTGGCAAAAACCGAGTCAGAACGCCAGTAACAACCTCGTAATATTCTGCGAACAGAGATATTCGAGTGTAGGGCAAATGTTGCCACTAGCGCCCTGATCTCGTGCGGGTTTGACCCCGCTACCGGTAACCCCCGAGACCGGTAACCCCCGAGACCGGTACGCCAGATTGATGACAGAACGAAGCCACAACACAATCGAGTTGCGAGTTATGTCAACCGTGCGATTAGGGTTACACGATATGAACAGACGGTCACGCCCTTGTCTACGTTCATTCGAAGCCTTAAGATAATACTTAAGGGCCCTAACCGGACACAGCGCTCTGTCCTCAGTATCAGCAGGATGTAAGATTTCTTTGAGGGATCTTACAGTGAATTCTCTCTCCGTTTGCCCGACTCTCTGATTCTTGGCGACGAAGCCCATGAGCAGGCCCAGGCGGACCGCTCCTTCGTCACCTCTTTCGAATCGTACCTTGGCAGCATCGAGTGCATGAATTTCGGATACATGTGCCGCCGTGGCAAAGGAGAGGAGAAATGCTGTTTTCCAAGTCACATGCCGGAACGAAGCACTAAGCAAGGGTTCATACGGAGCTTCCGTAAGTGATTGCAACACTAGGGAAAGATCCCAGGCCGGTGCCCGAAGGCGGCCCTTTTTAAGATCGTGCTGTTTGAAACCCTTGATAATACCCCGTATCACCGGCTCTTTGGAGAGACTGGTACACATAGCAACGTCCCATACCGTAGCAACGGACGAGACATAGTTGGCAATGGAACCCCCGGAGAGTTTCCGGGTCTCTCGCAAGTGAGACATGAAACGAGCAATATCCTGCACAGATACCTTATCTGGCGAATGAATGTGATGTTTACAACACCACTTCGTGAAAATAACCCAACGTGCATTATACACCTTCTGGGTAGAATCACGATGCATACTAACGTATGCCCGAGACGCCCGGCGAGAAAAACCTTTACTCCTCAGACGCTCGGTGACAACATCCACGCGTGCAGATTGAACTGCCCTGCATTTGGATGAAGCTGACGGGTGTGAGGGTGGATCAAGAGATCCGGTCTCACAGGCAGTGGAAGTGGCGACTGCGTGACCTGGGTCACAAGTCGGGGTACCACGATCTGTTCGGCCACATGGGCGCGATCAGTAACATTCGACAGCGAACTCCTCGGAGCCGGCTTAGAATGTGTGGTATCAACGCTGTCAGCGGGTAAGCATAAGCGACCAAGCCCGTCCAGTCTAACGCGAGAGCATCGTGATCGATGGCCCTCGGGACCGGGACTGGTGATACAAACAACGGGAGTTGATTGTTGAACCGCGTTGCGAACAGGTCGACCATCGGACGACCCAAACATTCGCACAGCCACTGAAACACTACTGGGTTCAGCATCCACTCTGTGGGGCTCGGATCCTGAGGCCTCGATAGAGCATCGACCAGTACGTTCCGCACACCTGGGATGTGACGGGCGCGTATCTGGCACGGGACACTGTCCACCAGAGCGTAAAACTCTAACGTGAGATCGAGTAGCGAGTGACTGTGGGTTCCCCCCAGTTTGTTCACATAGGACACTACCGTCGTGTTGTCGGTCGCCAGCATGAGCCGGGCGTCGACGAGACGATGCTTCCACTGATTGACTGCGTTGATCACTGCCTTGAACTCGAGACAATTGATGTGAAGACCTTCGTCTACGCACCACAGCCCCGAGCTCACCTCCCCCTCTAGATGGGCGCCCCAGCCCACTAGAGAGGCGTCTGTATACAGGGTCAACGTGGCCCGGCAGGGCCGCATAGAGACTCCTGATAAGACAATGTAAGGGACCGTCCACCACTCCAGATGCGGTCGGAGCCGATCCGGGAGGGCGACGGTCGCACTGTTCACCTCCGTTGCTAACAACTGGATTAAAAACCGTTGCAGCGGGCGGAGTTGGAGACGACCCCGTTCGGTGCAGTCCTGGGCTGATACAAGTAGCCCTAACAGCTGTTCCCAAAAGTGAACAGTCTGTTGCACCGCTAAGACTTTGGCAATCATCGCCTGAATTTTGTGCCACCGGTCTGGGGGGACAAAGAGGCGATGGGACACCGTGTTGAACCGACCTCCGATGAACTGCAAGTTCTGAGAAGGGGTTAACTCGCTCTTGGGGAGATTGACAATCCACCCCAATTGCTCCAAGAGCCGACATGCGAAAACGAGATGACGTGACAGGGTGTCCGTCATTCGATTTGCTACTAGCGAGTCGTCCAGGTACGCGAAGTACCGGACACCCCTCCTGTGGAGGAACCCCACTATGGGGGTGGTTAACTGGGTGAACAGCCAGGGAGCGGATGAAAGACCGAATGGGAGTACAACCCACTCGTAGTGCCTGCCTTGAAAGACAAACCTGAGATACTTGTGATGATCCGAGTGAATCGGAACATGCAGATAAGCATCCTTCAGGTCGATCGAAGCTAGCCAGTCGGCCGGCATGATCAGTGCTTTCAGGTCCGTCAAGCTCAACATTCTGAACTTGGGCGGTTTGCGCAGGTAGAACTCGTTGAACGATTTCAAGTTGTGAATCATTCTGAGTTCGGCACTGTCCTTCTTGGGAACGAGAAATATCCTGGAGTAAAACCCCGGTGTTATTTCTGGTAGAGCTAACTCCCGAACTGCCCTCTTCTCCACCAACCTGCCGATGGCATCGGCGAGGAAGGGAAGATCGGTTTCCGAATAGAAACCTGCCGACGGGGCAACGGTGAGCGGCGGATTCGCTTTGAGATCGAGCCGATAGCCGTACCGAATCGTGTTGACCACCCACAGGTCGTCGAACACTTGTTCCCAATTCTCCCAGTAAGTCTGGAGTCTGGCTCCCACTGGGGAAGGAGAGGGGGCCCTGACAGGCTGCGGCAGGCGCAACTGTCCAGGGCCAAGTGACTCGGGTTCGCCTAAGGGCCAACCGAAGTTGGCGCTGTCGGCATACGAACCCCTCCAATGAGAGTCACCTGGAGGGGCCCTTGCCGTCCGTCGACGACTTGGGCTTCCCCCAGTTCCCCGTCTTCCCGGGAAAGGGCAGCTGATTGCCCATACCGGAGCCCTCAGGGCGGGGCTACTTCCCAGAGGAAGAAGAACCCGACCCCTTAGACCTACCGGCCGAAGCAGCCTGGGGCGCGCTCCGGTTAGGAGCGGCACCCAGGCGCCTATGCAGGGACCCAACAAGAGCAATTGTGTGCCGAGAGTCCTCGGCAACGTACTCCAGGGAAACATTTAAACTGAGCAGGCAGTTGTAAATGCGCTGGTCACGGTCTGTGGGAGAACCTTCGACCAGGCCGCCGCGAAGGCGTTCTCCAAGGAAGGCTTGATACCGCGCAGCAAGGTTGATGCGGGGAAAGCCGTGTCAGAAGACTCATCGTATACCTCGGAGGAACCCACAGTCGTGGATTCCCCGCGGTACCGGCCGGGGCATGTCCTCAAAGAGGTCATAAACCATGGCCACGCGGTCCTTAACCGATAGCGGGAGCAACGGTTCGGGGGAAGGACCGGTGACCACGGGAGCCGCCGCCGTACCGGTGGACCCCGCGTCCGACCCCGCGGCCACCGAAGTGGCCGGGGACGGAACAGCCAGCGGCCTATCCTGAGATAAAGCCACCAGCTTGGAGTCCACAAGTTATGCAAGTAATGCAGCGACGGAAACCCCGGACAGCCCACGGGCCGCCAAGGGATCCGCCGCAGCCGTGGTGGTGGTACCCGCAAGGGGACCCCGACCGGACAAGCCGGCCACCACAGGGGTGGAAACGGACTGCACATACAGCCGGTAGCGCTCGCTTGCGTCACACCCCGCAGCTCCTGGTTGCGGGGGTAGAGGGGGTGGAGGACGGCGAAACATCCATGTCAGACATTTTGTTTGTACTATGAACAAAGAGCAAAACATGGTTACAACACACGCACCACAAATAGTCACAAACGAGTATTTTAAGAAGAAAATAAACGAGCAATGGGAATATAGAACATACACATATAACATATAGAGGAATAAGTGATGTAAAAACCCCAAGATATACTAGAACAGGGGAACGTAAGACGCAACATGCATACGAGACACCCAGCAAGTATATAGAAAAAAAAGGGCGGGAAAAATATTTCCTTTTGGCGGGAAAAATATTTCCAAGCGTAGTTACAGCAAACGCCCCGTAAAAGCACAGTTTATTAGAGAGAATAAACAGTAATAAATATCACAGAATGGTCGGAGAAACAGGAACACTGGAGCAGTTTATTGTACGTCTTGCTAGAGCAAGCGAAGAGACAAGAGTGAAGGGTGTCACATGGCAGCTAGGTGGCTACGCACGTGCTGCATGAGGTAATTGAGATCTCTGTGGTAGATTTCGCTATAGCAGCAGTTGTGGGAGACAACAGCCTCGGTATAACAGTGGTAACGTATTACTTAATGTAATTACTGCCCATATCTTCATGAAAATATCTTATATTTCCAACAACAACCCCCTCAAATAATTCTTCCAGCTGCATTTTAACACAGCTACAAACAATGTACACAAAACACAGCAGATATAGACCTAAAAAGACAAATGTTTCTGTGACCGAGCTGTATGAATCCAAACTTGTTTTGTCTGTTTTTAAAGAAGCGGCAACTCACCTCACTCCAAATAACTCAGCGCATAAACACAGTGTTCACACTCACCTGGAATGAGCGGCCTGCGTAATGCCGGGAAGAGCAGGAGAGAGCAAGCTGAAGAGCTGTCTGTGACCACCGCTGCTCCACCAGGGCCAGGGGAGATAACTCCTTAAAGGACTTGACAACACACTTGAGGAAGTACTCCAGCAGTGAGGAGCTCTGTGTGTTGAGTGTCTTGGGTGTGATGTCTTCACAGCTCCACAGTGACTTGCACTTCCTGCAACACATCACGATTACCTGTAACCTCCAGTCTACTTGTATCTCATGTACCATCTTACACACAGGCAGTACTGTTATTTGTCACTAGCCACCTAGTAAACTTCACTCTGAGGAAAGTTCAAACCACTGTTTACAAACTATTCAAAATGCATGTTTGGAAATATCTACTATGTTGTTTCTTAATAGGACTATTCTCTGAAGGTTATAAACATTTCAAGTCATTATTCAGTTTCTACACGTCTCCCAACCTGGCCTCCATGAAGTTCAGTATTGCCTTGATAACCTCCTCCACTGAACCAAGCGAGTCAGGGTCGGTGAGGTTGCTCATGGTGTCTGGGGTGATGGTGGCGCTGCTGTCGATGCTGAAGGTGGACTTGCCGATGGACAGCAAGGTGTTGTTTGATATGTGGGTGGGTGTTTCTATGAAAAGGAAACAAGACACATAAATATTCATTGGTGAGGTGAGGTGAAATTAGGTTAAAAGTCACGTCCAAGATTATTGCACTTATATAGTGACGTGCATGCTTGTGTGTGTGTTTGTGCATGTGCGTGTGTGTGGCTGCTTGTACTAGTCCGGACTGATGCCGATTTATAGTGCTAGCTCACTAAGATACCATGCCGCAGTTTAACATGAATCACCCACTCAGACACAGTATACTGACTTGTTTTAGCCCCTTAATGCTGAGGGACAGACAGGTAACATTGATTGATTCCATCTAAGAGAGTGAATTCTGCTTTAAATCATCATAAGCATAATTGCAAGCACAGTCTGGAGGAGCAAGTAAGTGGTTGACTACATTGCACACTGTGACAACATGATCTCTTCCGACCAACATGTGTACTGGTGATGTATTCTATCCTAGACTCCAGGTTCCCCTGAGAAGAGACTCACCTGACGTCAGGGGCATGTCCCTGTCCTCTGAGTTGACCTTGACAGCATCTGCCTGGCTACTGCGGTACCCTAGCAGCACTCGGGAGGTGTCGTGGCGGTCTTGTGACGACGCCAGCAGCAACAGGTTCTGCAGCAGCTTCTTGCAGTGTTCATACACCAGAGCCCTTGAGTGGTCCAGACCTACACATGAGTGGGACAGTTACACACGTCATGCATATAGAAATACCCAAACATCTGACAAACATCATAGGACCCAATCAACATAAACATATCCCAGAGCCACTCTAGCAGAAGCCTATCAACTATAACATCACTTGGATAACAAGCTGAATTGTAGTACAATCTCAAGATTGGAGTACAGATCCATAGGAAGATGATGTTATGATTAAGAACTGACCTAGGAAGATGATGTCATGATTGAGAACCGACCTAGGGAGATGATGTCATGATTGAGCACTGACCTAGAGTGATGATGTCATGATTGAGCACTGACCTAGGGTGATGATGTCATGATTGAGTACTGACCTAGGGTGATGATGTCATGATTGAGTACTGACCTAGGGTGATGATGTCATGATTGAGCACTGACCTAGAGTGATGATGTCATGATTGAGTACTGACCAAGGTAGATGATGTTATGATTGAGTACTGACCTAGGGTGATGATGTCATGATTGAGCTCTGACCTAGGGTAATGATGTCATGATTGAGTACTGACCTAGGAAGATGATGTCATGATTGTGTACTGACCTAGGGTGATGATGTCATGATTGAGCACTGACCTAGAGTGATGATGTCATGATTGAGTACTGACCTAGGAAGATGATGTCATGATTGTGTACTGACCTAGGGTGATGATGTTATGATTGAGCACTGACCTAGGGTAATGATGTCATGATTGAGCACTGACCTAGGGTGATGATGTCATGATTGAGTACTGACCTAGGAAGATGATGTGCAGCATGAGGGGGAGATGTGGGGACCAGTCAATCTCCAGCCCATCCAGGACCAGGTCTGACAGGAACATCACTGCCAGGTTGCTCCTGTTGTAGAAAGGGCAGTGTGCATCATTCAGCAAATTGTCAGTTATAAGCATCTTTCTCGCATTCATCTAATTTACATTATTAACACACATATATTACACTTCTAGCTTTCCTCTAGACATATGACAGGTGTGTAGTTTGTTACATTGAGTTCATCTTAACTGACTGACGTTTTATGAACGTATCTGAAATTTTTACAAACCTGTAGAGGTTATGAATTCTCTGATGAAATCCTCCTTGGGGCACTTATTGCATTTTCCTGGCTCAAGAAAATCTACATGACATAGTTGTAACCATTTTCCTTAATAAAAATTGTTACCACACAAAAAACTTTGTTTTTGTATGATATACGTCCACCCTTATGGTGCCTCACCCTCCACGGCGCGTCACGCCAAGGGAAGCAACTCTCACCCAAATCACTTTCCATATGTCTAATGCTGACGGAATGTGGGGAGGCGGGTGGCCGTGCCCCAAGGAGGATTTCATCAGAGAATTCATAACCTCTACAGGTTTGTAAAATTCTCTTTCAGATTAAATCCTCCTTGGGGCACTTATTGCATCAAGATAGACTCCTAAAGATAATCTAGGAAGTGGCATCCGTCAGCAACAAGCGTGCATAAAATACATCGTATTTTGATTATTTCAATGAATAAACAAGAGTTCAATAAATGGAACCAACCTTATCGTGAGGCACCACCGTCGAAAGGCGGGGGCTGGAGACAGGGCGTTATCGACCATACACAATGAAAAGAGCCATTCTTTGTGGCTCATCATATCGAGAACTCGAGACACACACACCCCCCACCCCACCCACTTTTTTGAACAAGTGATATTGGGGGCACAGATCACGAGAGACTATAAACCCGCACAGAGCTAGGCCAGAGGGTCCCCGTAATCGAAGGAGTGCATGTGCAATTACGATGATTATCGACTAGTAATGGCTGGTATTGTATCGACCGTAGAAGATAAAATCCGGACCGTTACTGAGCAGTGTTATAACCGGTCCGGGCGGTCTAAAATCTCGAAGGCTCAATCGGCTAGAGATGTAGTACTTTGCCCAGTTCGGAGAACTGACTGACCAAACCGAGCACGCTCGCTTGAGTGTTTGTCGAGTTGGTAATGTTTGATGAACGTGCTCGGCTGGCTCCAAATAGCCGCGGAGCAGATCTCCTCAATGGGCAGAGCCGCAGCATACGCTTGTGTCGTAGCCACTGCTCTAACCGAATGAGCCTTCAACTTGGTAGGGGGGTCCCTGCCTTGAAGCGTGTACGCCGTACATATAGTAGAGACTATCCACCGCGAGATAGTTTGTTTGCTCGCAGGTGAGCCAGCCTTCCTACCGCCATAACAGCAAAATAGTTGATTATCCTTACGGATACCCTTAGTTCTGCTGATATAGGACTTAAGGGTCCTGCGGACATCCAATACATGAGCATGTCTTGTAGTGGTCCCCGACGAGGAAGGCTGTGAAAGAGCAGGTAGCTCAATAGGAGCCGTCACGTGGAAGGCGTGTGCGACCTTAGGACGGTAAGAGTCCGGCAGGCGAATACTGACCCTGTCCCGGTGAAAGACAGTTAGTTCGGGATCGGCTGACATTGCGTGAATGTCGCCTACCCGTCTGCCGGACGTTACCGCCACAAGGAACGCCGTCTTCCAGCTCAACAGCTGAAGAGAGAGAGACGACAGATCCCGAAAGGAAGGACCGGACAGCCAATCAAGAACGATTGACAATTCCCAAGGGGGACTGATCCGCCGGACAGGCGGTCGGATCCTGTCCACACCTGCTAAAAAACGCTGCACTAATGGGTGCGCACCCAAAAGTGCCCCGTCGACGGGGACGTGAAAGGCAGCGATAGCTGTAGAGTACCCCCGGACTGTCGATGCGGCCAGGCCGACATCTAGTCGCGACTGGAGGAACTCAAGTACGGCTACGAGATCTGCAGAAAAGGGATCTGCAATCCTTCTATCGACACACCAGCGCGCATAGCAGGCCCATCTATCCTCGTACTGAACGTTTGTCGAATCCCTCCGCGAAGCCAGTATTGTGTCTGCAACTCGTGCAGGAATACCGCTCTCCTGGAGGCGATTCCGGACAGTGGCCAAGCCACCCACTGAATCCTGGGATTCGGGTGGAGGGCCTCGTTCTGGGATAGGAGGTCCGGTCGTAAAGGTAATAGAACAGGAGGCTGAGCCAGAAACCTGAGTATGACTGGAAACCAACTCTGCGCCGACCAAAGGGGTGCCAGGAGCACAAGTAGTCGCGCAGGCTGAGTGGCTAGCTGAGACAGGACCTTGGAAATCAGAGGTACTGGGGGGAATGCCCACAGTATTCTGTCCGTCCAATCTAGCTGGAAGGCGTCCGGTGCCACCGACCTCGGGTCGGGGACTCGGGAGCAGAACGTTGGTGTCTGGTGATTCACCCCAGACGCAAACAGATCCACCTGGAACGACCCGTATAACTGGGAGATAATCCCGAATATCCCCGGGTCGAGCCTCCACTCGTGAGGAGCGAGGATCCGGCGAGACAGAGCGTCCGCACGGACGTTGTCTACCCCCGGGAGATAAACAGGTAGCACCCTGATAACGTGTGAGTCGCACCATAGGAGGAACTGCCACGTCTCTTGGAGAAGCGACGGAGACACCGTTCCCCCCTGCTTCCGGATGTAAGTCATCGCCGTTTGGTTGTCCATCTCTAGACGCACCACTTGGCCACGAAGCAGATCCAGGAAGCGTTGGAACACCAACCTGACCGCTCTCAGTTCTAGCACATTGATATGCAGTTTGATCTCCTGCTGGGACCATAGTCCCGAGGCAGTGTGATCGTTCAGAACGCCTCCCCAGCCGGAGAGTGACGCGTCTGTTTGAACTGTGAGAGACGGCACGGGAGTGTCGAGGGGGAGCCCCCGGGACAGATTCCCGACCTCGGTCCACCACTGAAGGTGTGCATTGAGCCACTGCGGAGTCTCGAGAACAGTCTCGAGATCTTCCGAGTTCACCCAAAGTCGACGGAGCGCTTGTTGAATGGGTCTCATTCTCAAGCGCGCCCGCCAAACCACATCCACTGTCGCCGCCATGTTGCCCAGTAACTGGAGCCATGTACGAGCAGTGTGACTGGCGGACAGAAGGAACTGGGAAGTAACACTTCTGACCTTGGTAATGCGATCTTGTGACAGAGATACAAGTCCGCTCACCGTGTTGAAATTCGCCCCTAGGAAGACTAGATTCTGAGTAGGGCTCAGATCTGACTTCTTGAGATTGACTATCCACCCTAGAGTGATCAGAATATCTATCACTTGTTGTGTAGCTATCTGACTCAGGGATTGCGATAGAGCTCTTAGTAACCAGTCGTCGAGGTACGGATGGCAGAACCGACCTTTTGACCTGGCCACTTGGGCGGGAATCAACATCAGCTTGGTGAACACCCTCGGGGCCGTAGCGATCCCGAATGGTAGAACCCTGAACTGATAACACCTCCCGTCGAAAGAAAACCTGAGGTATTTCTTGAACTCGGGGTGTATGGGTACGTGGAGATAGGCGTCTTTTAGGTCTATTGACGTTAGCCATTCTCCGGTCTCGACAGCTGAGATCACCGAGCGCAGTGTCTCCATCCTGAAGGACGGTACCTCTATAAGTTTGTTCAGCCTTCTCAGATTGAGAATAGGCCTGAACCCTCCGTCTTTTTTGGTGACTAGGAAATATGTCGAGTAGAAGCCCTCGCTTTCCTGTCCCACGGGAACCGGTTCGATCGCAGCCTTCATAAGAAGTGCGTCGACCTCGGCACGGAGGAATTCCGCCCTCTCCAGGGTAGCAGGCACCGGAGTGTGCTTTATCCCGGAGAAGGGGGGCGGATGATGTTTCCACCGAGGCAAATGGCCATCCCTTAGAGTGGACAGGGTCCAGGGATTGGATGTGACTGTCTCCCATTCCTGCAGGAATAGAGCCAGTCGGCCGCCTACGGGGACATCCGGCTTGAGGCAGCAGACCCCGGCTGTCGGCAGTTCGAAAACATGCGACCGTGGGTCCGCCCGGGGCGCTTCGGGCGCTAATGGGAACCCGATGGGTTCCCGGCCCCGCGAAAAGGCTGCTGGCCTCGACCAGCTGCCCTGCCCCGGCCCCTGCCTCTCTTGCTCCTCCCGGCGCCCTTACCTGAAGGAAGCGGCTGCTTCCAAGCAGGTGCAGACTTCTGACCCGGCGCGTCAGCGTAGGAGGAAGCAAGTGGAGAGGTCCGCTTACGCGGTTTAACGCATGGTACCTCCAACAAGGCCTTAGAATCCTTGATGGAGGCATACAACTGTGCGGCCTCTCGGACCACCTGCTGAGCCCCAGGGAAGAGGGTGGCACCCATCTTATAAGGCAAAGCAAGTAGATCCTGGCGTGTGGAAGCCGAGTATTTGGATACCGACATCCACAGCCTGCGCATGCCCATGACTGCGCACATCATCTGCGAGGCACAGCTACGAATAGCGTCCCTCGCAAGATGACTATGTACCTCCGTCAGTTGCGCGGCCAACTCCGAAGAGTCGGCCGGCCCCTCTCCCGCTAACTCCCTCTGTACGGCCGACAGATAAGCGGAGTGTACGGACACCCGGAGCTGCTGACATGCGTTACGATATTGCTCCTCGAAGCAAACGTAAGCAGCCTTCAGCTCCGTACCGCACGCGGGAAAGGGTGGCAACCGCCGGCCCTGCTTGACCTTAGCCAAGTTGGGGGTCGAAGACCCCCCCAGGGTAACGGAGGTCCAGACGCATTCGTCCACCACCGGTACCTCAAAATCACCATCCTCTGCTAACGGGTACCGCTTAATAAGTTCGGGCAGGTCGAACTTCCTGCGGGCACCCGACAACAGAGGGTTGATGACTTCATGCACCAATGAAGACAGAATACGGAGCCGCACCTGGGGCGCCTTGCTCGGAGCAAAAGCGTCCCCCGGAAGGCGGAACTCAGTCGGATCCGACTGGGGCATGGGCGCAGCCACCTGAGGCAGTACCTGGACAATTTTGTCCCGTACATGCCTCAACGAGGAAACGAAGGAAAATATTCCCGAGGTCTCCGAGTCGTCTCCCCCCTCCTCCATCCACTCCTCCTCTCTCGATTCCGAGCCGAAATTAATCGACTCTTCCCCGAGAGAAGAGGCAGACGAAGTCGGAAGGGGACGCCCGAAGGCCTGGGCCTTCGCATCCCCGGGCTGCACCCGGCCCGAAGCCGAGTCCCGGTCCCGAGGTGCCGGGGGTTCAAGGGAACCCACCTGGCTCTGGGCTAGAAATCCGCTAGAGGAAGCCTCGGCCTCGGAAGAGGCGTCTGGCTCCGCTAGGGAGAACTGTGCGTCGGTAGTGAACGGGCCAGTGCCCGCCACCCCTCCGCTGGGGAGCGACCTCGAGCCGGCGCCGAAGCCCGGTCTGAGTTCGTCCCCGAGACCAAGTGGCCTGCCTCGGCCGACGCCGGGCATATCACAAGGTCTCGAAGCCGCGTCCGGCGCCGACAACGGGGAAGGCTCGGTCCGCAACTCCTCTCGGAGCTGAGACTTTACCTCCTCCATCATCGACGCCATCTGCGACCTCAACAAGGCAGAGATGTCTGCCAAAGACGGTGCAGGAGAGGGTGCAGTGATTGTGACGGGGACCCTAGAGCCTTCTCCCCCGGCCCCCGGGGAGGGAGCGGAGGAGACAGTCTCAGCTGCCTTTTTACCCTTTCTTACTTTTTTTGAGGGGGGCGGGGCGGTCTTTGCCGACCTAATGTCCACCCCCGCCTTCAATAGACCCTTAAAGTGTAAGAGGTCCACATTTCTCTTTTTTTGCGCCCGTGGTGTAAATGCAACACAGATCGGGCATGACCCATCGTCATGCCCGTCTTCGGCCAAACACTTTATGCAGGTATCATGCCTGTCTTGGGGGGGAATCGAAGCCGAGCACCCCGTACACAGTTTGAAGGTCTGTAAAAAAGACCGTAATTTTTGAGTTTGGCGGGAAGGGTAATAAAGTGCGATTGAAAGATCGGAAAGATACGTGCATAAATTGTGTAACTAGAAGCAAAGGCGTAATTTAGAATGCGATTGGTAACGCGATACTAATAGCCAATGTCGTAGTATAATTATAACACCAAAGTGGGCGTGTTACGCGCGAAGGTGTAGAAAACCCGTAAAAAAGGTAAGTGTAATTTAAAATAATTAACACACCACCTTGGGTTTATTTAAAGGAAAAGATTGTAGGCTAAAGCCCGATGATATAGATTAAAAAACCGAAGCCGTTTTTGATGGCCCTGGTGTTACATATATCATACGTGGCACTACAAAATGGACGCTACGACGGCCTTATTTCAAAGGTATCGTACACGTGTCACATAATTACAACTTTATAACTTTACAATGCGAGGTATTACGCCTTTGCATGAAAGAAATGTACCATACATACAGTTTGGTCTGCCATGGTTCTTGTACAAACGATAATCTTGTCTTTATATTGTCTTGAAAAAAACAGCACGTCTGTCTTTGTCAGATGACATAAGGAAAGTGATTTGGGTGAGAGTTGCTTCCCTTGGCGTGACGCGCCGTGGAGGGTGAGGCACCATAAGGGTGGACGTATATCATACAAAAACAAAGTTTTTTGTGTGGTAACAATTTTTATTAAGGAAAATGGTTACAACTATGTCATGTAGATTTTCTTGAGCCAGGAAAATGCAATAAGTGCCCCAAGGAGGATTTAATCTGAAAGAGAATAACGACCACAATGCTAAGATCAGCCTGTGCGACAGGACCAAAGTGTATAAAGCACACTCAAACCTTGACTATTGAATTCTATTAGAGTCAATTCTGGTTAACAAATTCTAATGACTGACTTGTATTTAGGTGGACCCAGCAATAGTCATCCAGCATCCACACTGGCACTGTTGACTGCCTCACCTGTGAAAGCCTGGGGTCGGCTGGATGTCTTCAGGCAGGAACTCATTAAGTTGAGCAAAGTATCCTCCATATGCCGGCATGGGAAGTGGATAGGGGTCAGGGGACCCACTCTGGGAACGCTCCCTGGACCTTGTGGGTGTGTGGCCCAGTCCATGTACTTCCTCCTCTGTGGGTCAAGCATACACAGTCAGGTTGAACAAAGAGTGTACAGAAAGGATAGATCATAAATTGGGGCAGTGTGTCTGATGTGGAGGCAGTACTTACCCTGGGGCAGTGTGTCTGATGTGGAGGCAGTACTTACCCTGGGGCAGTGTGTCTGATGTGGAGGCAGTACTTACCCTGGGGCAGTGTGTCTGATGTGGAGGCAGTACTTACCTTGGGGCAGTGTGTCTGCTGTGGAGGCAGTACTTACCCTGGGGCAGTGTATCTGATGTGGAGGCAGTACTTACCCTGGGGCAGTGTGTCTGATGTGGAGGCAGTACTTACCTTGGGGCAGTGTGTCTGATGTGGAGGCAGTACTTACCTTGGGGCAGTGTGTCTGATGTGGAGGCAGTACTTACCCTGGGGCAGTGTGTCTGATGTGGAGGCAGTACTTACCCTGGGACAGTGTGTCTGATGTGGAGGCAGTACTTACCCTGGGGCAGTGTGTCTGATGTGGAGGCAGTACTTACCCTGGGGCAGTGTGTCTGCTGTGGAGGCAGTACTTACCTTGGGGCAGTGTGTCTGCTGTGGAGGCAGTACTTACCTTGGGGCAGTGTGTCTGATGTGGAGGCAGTACTTACCCTGGGGCAGTGTGTCTGATGTGGAGGCAGTACTCGCAGCACTCTTCAGTGAAGCAGAGGAGTTGGTTCGTGGAGTGCTGCAAATACAAACACAGCTTGTCAAATACAAACACAGCCTGTCAAATACAAACACAGCCTGTCAAATACAAACACAGCCTGTCAAATACAAACACAGCCTGTCAAATACAAACAGAGCCTATCAAAATTAATGGCACAGTAAATAACAGTTCATGAACATCATCTTTACTACATGAGACTTAATGAATAAATAGTGCATAACATAAATCATTTGAAATGTTCCAGAAAATGAGATACATATCATGCTAATCTGTATGCAGAATTACACTTAAATGATGTTGTTAAATTACAAACAGAAAAGTGTATGATTATTCCTCTTTCTTGGTTTCAAAATTAAGAAACACTAAAAGCAAATGCATCAGGAAAGTATCCAAACAATGTATTAGGAGTTTGTGGAGAAAATATTATGAAATGTGCATGTAAAGTTTCAAAGTTTATTTCAGAAGAAAGGCCATTGGCCCACGTACAATAAATTACAAAAATCAATTTTGAGACAGATGTGCATTTTGTCTAACAAATAGAGAGTTTATATAAACTTTGCACAATTAATCAACATCAATTGCTTATTGCATGACACTAGAGAGTACAATTTTCTTCAACATGGGTTATGACAATAATATTTTGGGAAATATCTGTTTCTTAAATGCTTATAATATGGGCATACTAACATGAAATGGAACTCATCTTCAACAGCTTGCATGTCACAATAATTACAAAGTCTTTGAAAATATTCCACACCACAGTGTCAACCAATATTTTTCATCAAGGGTAGCTCACCAGACCGTAACAGAAAAATAACATGTCTATAACCTTGGCTAGATAAATTTGTTAAATAGAATTCCAGGTTCAAAAGTAACTTAAATTTGTTATAGATTATTAATTTATGAGTGTCACAAACTTTACTATACCATTCTTGTTGATAACAATCTTTCAGTCTTTGTACAAAGATATCAATAAATATTTTACAATCACCAACTTCTTGCGAAAACTAAACAAATTCCCATCCATAATCAAATAACCTTTGTTTATCATATGTGACCCATGTAATGTGACCAGCAGCATCTAGAGACTTCAATGGTATATAACATTGCTTTGAGTATCTAGTATGAGGTAAATATAATAAATGTAACCAGTATTTAATACACCTTTTATGGCAATCAACAACAATCTCCTAATACTGCTGCACTTCTTATAATGTGCATGTACATGTACTATGATACCATACTGTTTTATGCATTTGGGGTCAGATGACCTTGAAACAACAAAGAATTGAATAGAAAATATTCCAGCTGGGTCAAGTTGGTCACCAAACCAGATACTGCACACACATGTCTATCAATTTATCATTATTACCCACTTAAAGATATATATACATGTCAGAGCCTTCGCAGAGCCATGTGTAGTCAGACGAACTCACGCTTCACTAGGTAGCTCCTCATTGGTGCTGTGTCTTGGTGTGGAGCACACCCTTCTCTAACTGACAGCCGGTAATACTCACGCTTCACTGGGCAGATCCTCATTGGTGCTGTGTCTTGGTGTGGAGCACAACCTCCTCTAACTGACAGCCGGTAATACTCACGCTTCACTGGGCAGATCCTCATTGGTGCTGTGTCTTGGTGTGGAGCACACCCTTCTCTAACTGACAGCCGGTAATACTCACGCTTCACTGGGCAGATCCTCATTGGTGCTGTGTCTCTTGGTGTGGAGCACACCCTTCTCTGACTGACAGCCGGTAATACTCACGCTTCACTGGGCAGATCCTCATTGGTGCTGTGTCTCTTGGTGTGGAGCACACCCTTCTCTGACTGACAGCCGGTAATACTCACGCTTCACTGGGCAGATCCTCATTAGTGCTGTGTCTCTTGGTGTGGAGTACACCCTTCTCTGACTGACAGCCGGTAATACTCACGCTTCACTGGGCAGATCCTCATTGGTGCTGTGTCTCTTGGTGTGGAGTACACCCTTCTCCAGCTGACAGTCCGTAGTCTGACACACAAGCTTCTCGTCATCAGTGGTGTTCGGAGCGCCACCTACTTTACGCTGAGCAGACAGGCGGTAGTATGGAGGAGTCTGGGTCCTCTCGATGTTCATGTTCAGAGTCTCCACAGTCTGGGACAAATCAACAACGTTACATGTTGGTAACATGCCAACAAATGAATAACATCTTCTGTATTTACAAAGCATGATATTTTGGTGTATATTCCTACTGTTTCATGTCACAGTCAGCAATATTAACTCCATAAAGCAGCATCCTGCAAACAACCAGTTTGGTCGAACTAATGGTCGACTGCAGGACGAACAATCCATGACGTCAGGGTAAACTGACACAGAGCCACTGTAGCCACCTAAAGAACTGAATCGTTCAACAAGCATGGGTACTTGGTTCTGCCCATGAATACCGACAGGTACTTGGTAACAACGGAGATACAAGCATCCTGACTATATCTATACTTCCTGGACTAAACATGAGGAACAGTAGCAGCAAAAGATACCAAGTTCCAGCTAAATATTAATTCTGTTTGTTTACCAACTGACACACTGACAGATAGGCAAGGAATCTAACCTGTAGCTCATTCATCAGCTCGTCCACCAACTTCTCGGGCTTTGCTCGGCCAAGGTAGCTCACCACCCTCTTGACCTGCAACACATAGGTAAACCAGTCAGCCAATCATTCAGCATTTACAACTATGACATCTCAAGACCAGACCACATTTCATCCTCTATATCTCCAGAGCTCGCTCATCTCTGTATCAATTCCCATGATTCTCGAAATCTTAAATTACATGCCCTTGATTTTCATTAGCCAATTTGATTTGCTATGCTTCTCAGTCACCTCAAAATTCTTTATGATGGAAAGAATTTCTTCATGTCCAACTCCTTACCCATTTCCTTTTCACTCATCTCGATGTTTGATTGGTCGATAACATGTTAATGAAAACCAAGGGTGATCCAGGGCTTAGTGCAGGTTTACCAAAATGTTAGAGAAGGATAGATGGAGGATAGGTCCCAGGATAGATGGAGGATAGGTCCCAGGATAGATGGAGGATAGGTCCCAGGATAGATAGAGGATAGGTCCCAGGATAGATGGAGGATAGGTCCCAGGATAGATGAGGATAGGTCCCAGGATAGATGGAGGATAGATGGAGGATAGGTCCCAGGATAGATATAGGATAGGTTCCAGGATAGATGGAGGATAGGTTCCAGGATAGATGGAGGAAAGGTCCCAGGATAGATAGAGAATAGGTCCCAGAATAGGTCCCAGGATAGATGGAGGATAGGTCCCAGGATAGATGGAGGATAGGTCCCAGGATAGATGGAGGATAGATGGAGGATAGGTCCCAGGATAGATATAGGATAGGTTCCAGGATAGATTGAGGATAGGTCCCAGGATAGATAGAGGATAGGTCCCAGAATAGGTCCCAGGATAGATAGAGGATAGGTCCCAGGATATATAGAGGATAGGTCCCAGGATAGATAGAGGATAGGTCCCAGGATATATAGAGGATAGGTCCCAGGATATATAGAGGATAGGTCCCAGGATAGATACAGGATAGGTCCCAGGATAGATAGAGGATAGGTCCCAGGATAGGTCCCAGGATATATAGAGGATAGGTCCCAGGATAGATGGAGGATAGGTCCAGGGGTTAGTGTTGGTTTACAGAAATGTGAGTCCAGGATAGATAGAGGATAGGTCCCAGGATAGATAGAGGATAGGTCCCAGGATAGGTCCCAGGATAGATAGAGGATAGGTCCCAGGAAAGATAGAGGATAGGTCCCAGGATAGATAGAGGATAGATCCCAGGATAGATAGAGGATAGGTCCCAGGATAGATAGAGGATAGGTCCAGGGGTTAGTGTTGGTTTACAGAAATGTGAGTCCAGGATAGATAGAGAGGATCACCAGGTGTATGCATCACATGGCCTGATTGTTCAGTCACATGTGTTGCAATGTAAGATGGTTCTCTGAGATGGATCTCTCTTGTAGTGTTTTGTTCATGGTAGTTTACAGTACAGTATTGTGAAATAGTCACACTGTAGTTCATGAAAGTTTCACATTTATCAAAGGCCATTCAGCATGTTCAGTAAAATAAACAGGACTAAACTGTTGTTGTGTTCATTATCACAGTGTGGACATCCACCCTTTCTCGACCAGGGCCCACTTGCACAAAGCGATATTAGAGCTACGACTATTGTAAGCCTATGTTAAAGTACGGGAGTTACAATCATCTTAGCGCTAGGATCGATTTGTGCAAGTCAACCCTGGTCCATAAAGGCTGTTCATACCTGGGGTTATCCTTGTGTGAACTATCTTTGCTTAGCAATATATCTCCATGGTTGTTGAGCACACATTTTATAACACACATTGTTGGGGCCTACCTTTATCACCTACCTTTGTATAAGGTGATTTATATTACTGTCAAGCACACATCAACTCACTGTCACAAAAACTTTACTTACAAATGAAAGCAGGTGTGTGGGTGCGACATTAGTGATGACGACGAGGTACCGGATGACCACCTTCAGGTTGTTCTGCCAGCACACCATGAGAGCCGCCCACAGCGCCTCGATCTCCACCGGATGCTCATCGCCAAACTACAACAGACAGAATACACTTCACAACCAACAGATGAAGCATTCAGTGCTGTCACTGTTACAAAATGTCAGCTCGAAGCAAATCTCACGAGTGAAACTGTCGGTATGAAAGAAGCATAATCCAGTTGATACACTGACCAGCCTTTAGGGATTTAAGTTACCTGTTACAAATCGTAATAGACATTTTACCTTTAGTGAAACCCGCAAGAACGGCTTTGGTGACAAACCAAGGATCATAATCAGAGTCAAAGGGGAATCAAACCCATAACAGCAGATCCTGCAATAGTTGAGGGACACAACACTGTACAGCCACTTTAAGCCACTTTAAGCACCTTAAAGCCATAGGGTCGCATGTGCCCAACATTGGACAGTGAAGAAAGGAAAGTTTGCTTGTTTGTTTGTTGTTTAATATAACACTCTTCAAAATGTAACAGCCATATGATGGAGGCATGTAAATAACCAAGTGTGGACCAGACAATCCAGTGATTGAGACTGTGAGTATCAATTGCCATATTTGGGGTAGAGTGACACACAATTAACCAAGTTACCAAGCATGAACCATCCAATCCATTTGGTCATCTCTTACGACAAGCACAGGTTGCTGGGGATCTTTAGTAACTGGGAATCCCCATGGGGTTTGGGTCAGATAGAGTTATCACCTTGACTGTGATGAAGAAGAGGTTGTTTAGGACCATCTCTGTGGCCTGAGTGGACCCCCATCCCTCTCCCTTCAGGGGGCAGAAGATGGACTCCGTTTGGCTGTCCTGGAGTCGGTTCAGGAAGTTGGAGATGGGGTTGGCAGGGGGCACTGCTGGATCAACCAGTTCCATGTTGTGTAACCATGGCAACAGATACTTCAGCAACGTTTGTCGCACTGAGGGCTTTGCTGTTTGAAACCTGTGTGTGATTTCTGAAAAAAAGAACAGAAAATTCTATAGTAAACAAAATATTTAGTATGTCAATGGGAAATTGTCTACCATCATAACAATTTTGGTTTTGGTCTGCTGTATTCTGGCTAGCTGTTCAGACACTCACCTGAGAACATGGGCCCGGTGAGACCTGTGTGTATTCTGGCTAGCTGTTAAGACACTCACCTGCAAACATGGGCATGGTGAGATCCGGGTGTATTCTGGCTAGCTGTTCAGACACTCACCTGAGAACATGGGCATGGTGAGATCCGGGTGTATTCTGGTTAGCTGTTAAGACACTCACCTGAGAACATGAGCATGGTGAGATCCGGGTGTATTCTGGCTAGCTGTTCAGACACTCACCTGAGAACATGGGCCCGGGGAAGCCTGTGTGTATTCTGGCTAGCTGTTAAGACACTCACCCGAGAACATAGGCATGGTGAGATCCGGGTGTATCCTGGCTAGCTGTTAAGACACTCACCCGAGAACATGGGCATGGTGAGATCTGGGTGTATTCTGGCTAGCTGTTAAGACACTCACCCGAGAACATGGGCATGGTGAGATCCGGGTGTATTCTGGCTAGCTGTTCAGACACTCACCTGAGAACATGGGCATGGTGAGATCCGGGTGTATTCTGGCCAGCTGTTAAGACACTCACCTGAGAACATGGGCATGATGAGATCCGGGTGTATTCTGGCTAGCTGTTAAGACACTCACCTGCAAACATGGGCATGGTGAGATCCGGGTGTATTCTGGCTAGCTGTTCAGACACTCACCTGAGAACATGGGCATGGTGAGATCCGGGTGTATTCTGGCTAGCTGTTCAGACACTCACCTGAGAACATGGGCCCGGTGAGGCCTGTGTGTATTCTGGCTAGCTGTTTTACAGTTTAGACACTCACCTGAGAACATGGGCATGATGAGATCCGGGTGTATTCTGGCTAGCTGTTCAGACACTCACCTAAGAACATGGGCATGGTGAGATCCGGGTGTATTCTGGCTGGCTGTTAAGACACTCACCTGCAAACATGGGCATGGTGAGATCCGGGTGTATTCTGGCTAGCTGTTCAGACACTCACCCGAGAACATGGGCATGGTGAGATCCGGGTGTATTCTGGCTAGCTGTTCAGACAGGTACATCTGAGAATGGCAGTAGGATACAGCCAGAAGGATGTCATTGAGGGGCAGCTGAGGTTGGTGGATCTCCTCTGAGCTGTCCGTGAACACCGGCTCCTCCTGGAAGAAGCGGGTGTCCAGAAGGTGGAGCAGCTGTAGAGCTGTGTCGTGAGTCTGGATGCGTGGGTTGCCCACATTTAACACAGCCAGGTTAAGCATCGCTACATGGTCACAGGGGTACTCTCGTCTGTAAGACAAGAAAACACAATAGGACAAGTATCACTTGTTGTAACTTGGTTGTGGTTTTTCTTGTATCACAAATAATACAGCAGGCTTAAGAATAGATTCTCACAAAGTCAGTCATAATTGTTTCTCCTGCAAACAACACTGTCAGGATTGTATGGAATCATTATGCAATATCCATCATCAATTAGTAATCCTGACATATGGTTAATATCTTGTTCAAAGAGCGATATGTTGTCTGCTCTAACATATCTTTATAAGCAATTACCCATGTATATAAGACTGAATACATTACACAAATCACAAATGAAAACCTTTAGCATCTAGAACGGTTGAGAGCTGATTTGAGGATCTTAAGTCACAGTGTCAAAGTCCCACCTGGTTTGGAAGACAGCGGCAAGGGCATTGAAGCAACCATCGGCCACTTCATTGGAGCCTGTGTAGCACCTGTCGATGACCCAGTCCAGCAGCCCCTGGACATCAGGGTTGAAGTCCAGCAGGAGGTACACCGTCTCCTTCGCTAGGTAGTAGATCTGAAATACAGTCCGAGATGCTGGAGCACGGATCTCCATCCCCCTGCAACAGCTGCAGCAGCTGCTGATACAGTCTCAGATGCTGGAGCACAGATCTCCATCCCCCTGAAGCACCTACTGCAGCTGCTGATACAATCCCCTCGTTACAGATTCCTGGTGCCAGACTAGGACACATGACAACCATTTTTACCACAAGCCAACTTTAAACAACCATAGGCTCAGTTGAAAACTTGTCATAATATCTATTCTGCTATCATATCATCAGCTATTGTATATTCTGTTTTAAGAAAATACTAGAACCTCTTCCTACACGAATGGCTATCGACTTTAAATGTTTTCCATTATCATCATCTCAGCTGTCAAAATCAGGATTATTTAACCAATGTAACTAAGCAGTTGTATTAACCTAACTACAAACGCCAAGCACACTGAAAATCAATGTTCTGAAACAAGCTCACTAAAGCTGACTGAAACAATTCTGGGAAGAAATAGTCTACAGTTTATTACTCAAGTTGAGGCAATAATTGTCAGCAAAAAAAATATGCCAAGCTACTAAAACAAATGGTGCACAAACATATATGTAGCTCACCTAACTCAACACAGAGTGGCTAGGTGTATGATGGGAATATTGTTGTAGCAATGAGTGAGTGAGTTAAAATTTATAGTCACATCAGCAATATTTCAGCCATATCGTGACTGTTGTAGCACTGAATGATGAGTGATCGGATCAATTGAATAACAAACACCCTAACTGTATCCTACATGACTTCTACATTCAGCTGATTCACTTCATTGTCAAAACGTGGACAGCGGAAACTGGAGATGTCGGCTTGTCTGTGTTAAGAGTATCTAACCTTATCTGAGACAGGTATTTCCAACATTAATATGATCTAACTGTTGAAATGTAAAACAGTGGTCAGTGTGCATTATATTGCTCTAGGAACACAAATTAACTACCACAACCACATTTCCACGTAACTGAGGGTTTTAGGAAATCATTGACAATGTTAAAAGTTTCGATTAAAATTGTTACATTATCGAGTGTATCTATTTTATATACTTATCCAATATTTTACAAAGTTAAATACAATGGATTATATTTTATACTTATCCTGCATTACATACTGCACATTGCTCTTACTAACGAAGTACTAACTGGAAATGAATGACGATCTAGTAGTGTCTTCAGCACTCTTTTGCCCAACATGACCTCCATCACCTCCGTGGGAGAATGTAACTATAGATTATAGGTTTCGGGATAAATTTGTATGTGACTGTTCATAATTATGAGGCATTTATGCACTAATACCTAAGTGTGCTGTACTGTACACAAATCCGTGTATGGTTTCTGCATATTGGTGTCATTCAAAAACAGAATTCCACTGTGACACTCTTCACACTGGGAAACCCTTATCATGAACTTTAGGGATTATATTTCCAATTCAACAAAACTCATATCAAAACACAGACACTGGAAAACTAAAACATATATAAAAAGCCAATCCATCTCTTACTGCTGAGTTTGAGTGGGTGATTATTGCCACATCAGCAATCTTGCAGCTATTTGCGAGCAAGCTGAGTCAGTTTAGTAACTTCACAAAACGGATGTTGATGATTACAGACAAGCACCATCATCAAGTTCAGCCTGATCCTTAGGACCAAGAGAACAAAACATGTTAATTTTGACCTGCTTGTAGCATTATTTACAAAATAGAATGTTCAGTCAGCACACAAACTCAGCAAAATATAGCATGCAAATTGAACAGTATCTAACTGAACAACTGCTGAACCACACTCAATGAACAATAAAAAACAACCATCACACTCTGTGTCACAATACCTAACATTTTGATGGGGTGGGACAAACAGCACGTCAAAATACTTGATACTCAGTTAATATATTCTACTCACTATCAAACAATATTAAAAAAAAAACATATTATGTACATGACGTACCTTTATATTCTTAAAAAAAAGTCAGATCAACATGCACCTTGAAAAGTCACAAAGGAGAGACATGTTTAACCCATAACATATTTAATACAAAAGCCTCATGGAGCCAGTATGACATCAGGCTATGAGTGATTAATACCATGTACATATATCTTATTCCACTTCTAGGTTGATCAGACTAGGAAGATGATTGGCTGTAAATGCATGGCTGGGGAATTACAGACTATCATCAAGAGGTATACATTTTCACAGCATCATTCTAGCTTAGAGGAGCAGAATTTGGAGATGATGTTTCAATGATAACATGCTGAATGGGTTCAGATTACAAGAGTGTTTTAATGGATTTTGTGATTGTGGTTTGGCGCATATGGAAGCGTTTGTACCTGGAGGAAGTTCAACATTACATAAGCTATTTCACATTCAATTTTAATAGTGACAATGATAATAACATTCAAGACGTTGGTCGCTATATAAAAAGATATGGTATGAATCCTTCGTGATTGTTTATAAAATAAAACAAATGCAAATGAAATCATGACAAGCATAATACTGCAGAACAAAGGCTGGTAGACACTGTTAAACACACCCTTGGCAAATTAACAGTGATCTTCAAAATATAATTATATAGAGATCAGACCTATAAAAATGATAAATGTCTACAGTCTTTTATTTCAGCAAACCATCAAATTATTTTTATCATTATTTATCTATTAAAAGGAAAATGTGAATCAGTTTAAATGAAATCTTCAAAAGTGTCTTTAACAGTGCTTCTCAGACTAACAAAAGAAGGGAAATACTGGCCACAGACTGACAACACTGAAATTAAAGTGGTTACTCAGATATCTAGCCTCATCTCTCTCAATCACTTCTATACCCATAGTTACATGATATTATCTTCCCAACAGAAGTTGTAGAAGTCGCCTGTTTGTCTACATCAAGATTCAGATAGAACTACACACCATCTCCTTGACATCATCTCATTAGAACTGCAAGACTGGCTACCTATAGTTAACTGCTGTTTCAAAGTACAGTCGACAACATGGTCTTAGTCCACATTAAGGTGATACATACATGACATTCTTATCAACACAGGCAGTGATCTTTACAGGATGCTATGATGACGAATCAGAGGAAACAGCAGGGTTACAAGAGCCCCAGCAGTGAGGCTTCCATGACTCCTACCATTTTCATAATGCCAATTCCTTTTCGTACTATCACAAATTAAGGTAATGACACAACATTAACCATAGCCACATTACCAATTTTTCCACATCAAGTAAATTTTGTCTCCTAAGGTTTCCTAGTGCTTAAAAATAGTGTCTTTATCTCTGTAGTGCCTAACCCTAACCAACACTGATCACCTCCACCCCTACCTTGTTCTGTAGGGGTCACACCCGCCCCTACCCTACACTGACAGTAAAAGACACACCCACCCCTACCCTACACTGACAGTAAAAGACACACCCACCCCTACCCTACACTGACAGTAGGAGTCACACCCACCCCTACCCTACACTGACAGTAAAAGACACACCCACCCCTACCCTACACTGACAGTAAAAGGCACACCCACCCTTACGCTACACTGACAGTAGGAGTCACACCGACCCCTACCCTAAACTGACAGTAAGAGACACACCCACCCTTACCCTAAACTGACAGTAAGAGTCACACCCACCCTTACCCTAAACTGACAGTAAGAGACACACCCACCCATACCCTACACTGACAGTAAGAGTCACACCCACCCTTACCCTAAACTGACAGTAAGTGACACACCCACCCTTACCCTACACTGACAGTAAGAGTCACACCCACCCCTACCCTACACCGAGGGTAAGAGTCACACCCACCCCTACCCTACACCGAGTGTAAGAGTCACACCCACCCCTACCCTACACCGAGTGTAAGAGTCACACCCACCCCTACCCTACACCAAGAGTAACACCCAACCCTACTCTACACCGAGGGTAAGAACACCAACACCTACCCTACATTTACTACATCAACTGTAAGAGACACTACCACCCCTACCCTAATCTACACTGACCATGCTGACTGGAAGACACACACGCCCCTACCCTACCCTACACCCACTGTAAGAGTCACACCCACTACCCTACACCGACTGTAAGAGTCACACCCACTACCCTACACCGACTGTAAGAGTCACACCCACTACCCTACACCGACTGTAAGAGTCACACCCACTACCCTACACCGACTGTAAGAGTCACACCCACTACCCTACACCGACTGTAAGAATCACACCCACTACCCTACACCGACTGTAAGAGTCACACCCACTACCCTACACCGACTGTAAGAGACACCCACTACCCTACACCGACTGTAAGAGTCACACACCCTACCCTACACTGACTGTAAGAGTCACACCCCCTACCCTACACCAACTGTATGAGTCACACCCACCCCTAACCCTACACCAAGGGTAAGCGTCACACCAAGACCTAACCCACACTGACCATGCTGACTGGAAGACACACACACCCTTACCCTACACTGACCATGCTCTGTAAGAGACACACCCACCCCTACCATACACTGACCATGCTGACTGTGAGAGACACACCAACCCACCCTTACCCTACACTGACCATGCTGACTGTGAGAGACACACCAACCCACCCTTACCCTACACTGACCATGCTGACTGTGAGGGACACACCCACCCCTACCATACACTGACAGAAAGAGACACACCCACCCCTACCCTACACTGACCATGCAGACTGTGAGAGACACACCCACCCCTACCCTACACTGACCATGCTGACTGTGAGGGACACACCCACCCATACCCTACACTGACCATGCTGACTGCGAGAGACACACCCACTCCTACCCTACACTGACCATGCTGACTGTGAGAGACACACCCACCCTTATCCCTACACTGACCATGCTGACTGTGAGAGTCTCACACACCCCTACACTGACCACGCCTACTGTAAGAGTCTCACACACCCCTACACTGACCATGCTGACTGTGAGAGTCTCACACACCCCTACACTGACCATGCCGACTCTTAGAGTCTCATTGTTGGCAAGAGAACGCAGTGAGGCTAGATACCAGAGTGAGGGATCCAAGATGGCTGCCAATGAGATTGCACTACATGCAGTAGCGACTGAGAGACGGTGGTGACCACTTACCTTCGGCTTCATCTGACATCAGAGAGAGACAAGAGATGGTCATGAGAGACACAATATCAACTAGAGCTCTGACAGAACCATATGGCTGGCTCATGTCTACCAGCTGCACAGAGAGGGACACATGTCATCCCAGATGAAATGAATGTCACCCAACCTTTGAAGAAGGATTATCCCCTATCACAGACCCTGCGCCGTCTGTGACCTTATTTGAAGGGCTGTCAGGTCAAAGCTCTGACAGTCACATCAATAAGGTACTAGATCCCACTTAGACAAACTACTAACAACCTGACCCTCCCCCATGCTATTCCTGAACAGTGGCCCTAGCATTATGGCTGTCAAATAGCTGGTCTTGAAAACTCTTGTATGTAACATACTGTCAGAAAACAGTATTTTACAATTTGTTTTCTTTCTATTTTGAACGCCTTCATATATATGTTTGTATTGTTTCATATGATGGCACAAAGTACCACACTGCATGAAACCCTTCTGTGATGAGTTATCACCTTGCTGTGACCTTCACAGGCATGTTAGGGAAGAGGTTTAACAGCAGCATCACACAGGCACTAGCGAGGTGGACTTAATTGGCAATATTTCAGCTATATGGACTCAACAATAATGGGCTTCACACATTGTAATCATGTGGGGAGTCAAACCCGTGCCTACGGCATGATGAGTGAATGCCTTAACCACAGGTCTACCTCATCAACACTTACAACGTTTGAACAAGCCAAACAACAGACATCCCTTACCAGATGAGTGAGCAAGTTGAGATTAATGCCACTTTGAACAGTATTTCAGTTTTATCATGGCATGTTAGCCTAATGTTGGCGGAAAGTCCGAAGTGACATATCCCCCAAACATCAACACTGAATCTACATGTGTCCTTCAGATTAAGCTCCATTTCCCTTTACATTATTTGATTGACAGACAAGTGGAAACAATACACCTGCAGCTTGGCACACAGAGTTCATTCCATCCATATGGTTCTGACGGTTCATTCTATGTCATTCTACACAGATTCATTTCTTTCATGCTAAAAGTTAAGAAAGAACTTTGCACTACAAGAAATCAGATTTGTTTTCTTTCAGATAATGTCAATTAGAGTTCCAGACTGCTCAAGGTCCTCAATGCATGAAAATGTCAAAAGTTAAGAAAGTGACTATTTTGAAATTTGTTTGCACAGGACTACAGGAGTTGACCTCCTTCATGCACACAGAGAACAAAGTGTAGACACATTCTACAAGTCTCATCTACATCTAACAGATATGTGGACAGACGGGCGACCATCTTTGTCCACAGTGCACTAGAGACAGCAGGAATGTAGAGTCAGACTCAGTCCTGGGTCAGAGTAACTGGTGCATTTCAAATATTCAATAACAAATGCTCTAAGATTTACAGTAAAGCACAAGTAGGATGGATATAAAACAGGGAGGACAAAGAATAAGTCTGTTTTTCATGAAGTTCACCTCGGACCCCAGACTTCTTGCTATAACATCAAGTCTCGGGTCCAAGGTGAAGTTCCTGGAACACAGAACATCCTTGTAGGCTTTTAACTCTCTGTCATCCCTGATAGTTATTACATGAATACTTAAGCATATTCTTATCAGGTCTATCAGCTATTTATGTATGATAATGTTAAAGGATTAATGTGAAACAGTGAAATGTATTTGATAAAGCTGAAGCTGAATTCAATGATAGATGTTGAAACTGTATGGAGAGTTTCACCAATGTACAACTTCATATACTTAACGATAAAGAGGGGCAACTCAGACCAACCTTCTCATCATGCGAGCTGAGCAGAGTGTCCAGCCAGGAGTAGATGTAGCCATCATCTCCAAGGCCGGTCAGGTCAAACACAGGACCACAGCACAACACGGCCGACATGGCGCGGACAGCCGACAGCTCCTGCTCGTTCCAAGCTTCCTCCTTTGACAATCTGGCACAGAACAGTTGAGTATCATTACACAGGGAGTGGAGCCATTAGAGACTCCATCAAACACTAAAGATATTCTTAAGATGAATGAGTGATTTGGGCATTTGTTTTCTTTGTTGTTTAATGCTACATATCTAGGCTATATAACAGCTGAGTGTAAATAATCAAGTCTGGACCAGACAAACCAGTGATCAACATTTTGATCATCGAATTTCGCAATTGGGATATGATGACATGCATCAACCATGTCAGCGAGCCTGACCACTCAATCCTGTTAGTGCCTCACAAGGGTTGCTGAAGACCTATTCTAACCTGGATCTTCATGGTAAGAGTAACGCCTCTTAGAACTGTATTTCAGTTACATCAGTAATATGTCAGTATCATGTGGGAGAAAGCCCCAAGTGATGCAGATTTTACCTGGTTACCAGATTAGTTTAACCCATGAACATGTCATGGTGCTTACAGGCCAAGGATAAAATATAGTTAGCCTTGGATTCAAACCATCATTCAGCTTATCCTGGCATGGATAGCGGTCACATCTCAATCTTACCTTCTATCCAGTGCTCCGAACGTGTGACTGAAGTGACCACTCCAGCTGGCAAACAGGTGGAACAACCCGTACCTCAGGTCCCGGGACAACAGAGTCTTCCTCAGTTCCACTACAACGTGACACACATACATCATTACTGAAGGATAATAATGATATATGACATTAATCATAAATCTTTACATTACGGACACAGTAACAACCCGATCCATTTGGTCGCCTCTTACGACCAGCATAGATTTCTGGGGACCTATTCTAACCCGGATTCCCTGCGGTACGGCCATTATAGGTTGCTTGGGACCTATTCAAACCCACATTCCCCACAGTACAACCAGCATAGGTTGCTGAGGACACATTATAACCCGGACTCCACATGGTATGACCAGCATAGGTTGCTGGGGACACATTCTAACCCAGAGTCCCTGTGGTAGAACAAGCATACAGGTAGATGGGGACCTATTTGAATCCCGACTCCCACTGCTACAATCAGCATAGAGGTTACTGGGGATGTATTTAAAATAGGAATCCCCTTGGTACGACCAGCATATAGGTTGCTGGGGATGTATTTAAAATAGGAATCCCCATGTTACGACCAGCATATAGGTTGCTGGGAATGTATTTTAACCAGGAATCCCCATGGTATGACTAGTATATAGGTTGTCATGGACCTATTTTAACCAGGACTCCCCATGGTAAGATGGGAGTCAGTTGCTTAAGACCTATTTTAACCAGGAATCCCCATTGAATAACAAGCATACATGTTGTCACGGACCTATTTTAACCAGGAATCACCATGGTATGACCAGCGTATAGGTTGTCATGGACCTATTCTAACCAGGAATCCCCATGGTCAGATGGGAGTTGGATGCTTAGGACCTATTTTAACCAGGAATCCCCATGGAACAACAAGCATACAGGTTGTCTTGGACCTATTTTAACCAGGAATCCCCATGGAACAACAAGCATACATGTTGTCATGGACCTATTTTAACCAGGAATCCCCATGGAACAACAAGCATACAGGTTGTCTTGGACCTATTTTAACCAGGAATCCCCATGGAACAACAAGCATACAGGTTGTCTTGGACCTATTTTAACCAGGAATCCCCATGGAACAACAAGCATACATGTTGTCACGGACCTATTTTAACCAGGAATCACCATGGTATGACCAGCGTATAGGTTGTCATGGACCTATTCTAACCCGGAATCCCCATGGTCAGATGGGAGTTGGATGCTTAGGACCTATTTTAACCAGGAATCCCCATGGAACAACAAGCATACAGGTTGTCTTGGACCTATTTTAACCAGGAATCCCCATGGAACAACAAGCATACAGGTTGTCTTGGACCTATTTTAACCAGGAATCCCCATGGAACAACAAGCATACAGGTTGTCTTGGACCTATTTTAACCAGGAATCCCCATGGAACAACAAGCATACATGTTGTCACGGACCTATTTTAACCAGGAATCACCATGGTATGACCAGCGTATAGGTTGTCATGGACCTATTCTAACCCGGAATCCCCATGGTCAGATGGGAGTTGGATGCTTAGGACCTATTTTAACCAGGAATCCCCATGGAACAACAAGCATACAGGTTGTCTTGGACCTATTTTAACCAGGAATCCCCATGGAACAACAAGCATACAGGTTGTCTTGGACCTATTTTAACCAGGAATCCCCATGGAACAACAAGCATACAGGTTGTCTTGGACCTATTTTAACCAGGAATCCCCATGGAACAACAAGCATACATGTTGTCACGGACCTATTTTAACCAGGAATCACCATGGTATGACCAGCGTATAGGTTGTCATGGACCTATTCTAACCCGGAATCCCCATGGTCAGATGGGAGTTGGATGCTTAGGACCTATTTTAACCAGGAATCCCCATGGAACAACAAGCATACAGGTTGTCTTGGACCTATTTTAACCAGGAATCCCCATGGAACAACAAGCATACAGGTTGTCTTGGACCTATTTTAACCAGGAATCCCCATGGAACAACAAGCATACAGGTTGTCTTGGACCTATTTTAACCAGGAATCCCCATGGAACAACAAGCATACAGGTTGTCTTGGACCTATTTTAACCAGGAATCCCCATGGAACAACAAGCATACATGTTGTCACGGACCTATTTTAACCAGGAATCACCATGGTATGACCAGCGTATAGGTTGTCATGGACCTATTCTAACCCGGAATCCCCATGGTCAGATGGGAGTTGGATGCTTAGGACCTATTTTAACCAGGAATCCCCATGGAACAACAAGCATACAGGTTGTCTTGGACCTATTTTAACCAGGAATCCCCATGGAACAACAAGCATACAGGTTGTCTTGGACCTAGCTATTTTAACCCCGGAATCCCCTGGGGTCTGTGCCATCTTACATGGAGTGTTACAAATGAGATTCTGTATGAAGCCACTGAAGTGCAGCCTGATCTCCTGCAGTATGGGCAGGTCTCGGTCATTCTCTCCCTCCAGGTACTGGCGTGCTCCGTCAATGTAGTCCACGAACATCCCACTCAGACACCCACGGTCCTTGTCGATGATGCCGGACTCACTGTGTAAAGAAACATTTGTATGAACTCTATTTACACTGTGAACACATTCAGCAGGAGTACTGTAATTAGGTCAAAATTAGATGGATTTCGCATGTGTTACAGAAGCTGTTGAAAAACACTAATGATGTTTTAATATTTCTTAAATAAATAAGCTCTGGCGTACCTCTGTGCAAAAGTTTTGTTTTCTGCCATCAGCTCAAATATATGTGCCAGCTGTACACGCAGAACATCTCTCTTGCGGCGACGGCGCAGGTTGTCCTGCTTCTTATCTATCGCCTCCTTCAGGAAGGGCAGTAACTCTTCCGCCAGTTCCCTGTAAGATTATGGCCATGTTAATGCTATAAATAATATTTCGAGTATTGACATTGTCATCATTTTCCTACCTGTTGCTGGTCAAACTAAAGGGAAGTACCTCTCATCTGAAGTTGATTACATTTATATCTCCATAAACATAATAACAAACTGAAGTCAATTCTTAGAAAAACAAAAAGTCAATTCTTAATTCTTCCACCAAGGATTGGCACTCACTTAAAGACGACAGGGTTACAGTATCCCAGCCCATTGACCACGGTGTCCCTCATGTCGGAGTTCTCACACTTCATCAGCGGCACCAGGAGACGGAACAGGTTGGTGGCGGTGCTGTTGCCACTGTTCTGGCGGGACTCCCCCTTGTCGGACCCCGTCGCACTCTCTGGGGAGGAGCTTCTGCAACATTGATTGTTTTGACTGATTGTTTTTTGTTTAACACCACTCAGCAATCGTTCACCTATATCTTGGCAGTCTGTAAATAATCCAGACAGTACAATACAGTGATTAACATAATGAGCATTGATCCACACACATGAGAAACGCTGATATACAATCAACCATGTTAGAGAGCCTGACCACCCAATCCGCTTAGTCGCCTCTTACAACAAACGCAGGTTGCTATTCTACCCCGGAATCCACTGCTGAACAAGCAGCATGCATACAATACAACAGTAACACTCTCACTCACATCTTCATGTACATGTCAAGTTGCTGTTACATTCAGAGGCTGAAAAACTGTTCATTAACTGAATACAAATCTCTCTGAATATATTTCATAATAAACCTTTCAAATGTTTCTACTAAAAATGTCAACGCCACATTCAAATCTCTGGCATTGAGAGATTCCTTCCAGTGGCTCAGGAGGAAACTTGGCTTCCTTTGGTTGTATTCATTTCATATCAAGACAGGAAATTTCCCTAAATCACGACCAGATGTCTTATCCTAGATGTGTGGATGAAAATTGATAGGGTATGACTGTCCCCTCAACACCACCGACACTAGCTCTGGTGATGAACATTTGTAGGGTATGACTGTCCCCTCAACAGCACCTACCCTAGCTCTGGTGAGGAACATCGGTGGGGAATGACTGTTCCTTGTTGGGCCACCTACCCTAGCTCTGGTGAAGAACATCGGTGTGGTATGACTGTCCCCTCAACAGCACCTACCCTAGCTCTGGTGAAGAACATCGGTGTGGTATGACTGTCCCCTCAACAACAGCACCTACCCTAGCTCTGGTGAAGAACATCGGTGTGGTATGACTGTTCCCTGCTGGGCCACCTACCCTAGCTCTGGTGAAAAACATCAGTGTGGTATGACTGTCCCCTCAACAGCACCTACCCTAGCTCTGGTGAAGAACATCGGTGTGGTATGACTGTCCCATCAACAGCACCTACCCTAGCTCTGGTGAAGAACATCGGTGTGGTATGACTGTCCCCTCAACAACAGCACCTACCCTAGCTCTGGTGAAGAACATCGGTGTGGTATGACTGTTCCCTGCTGGGCCACCTACCCTAGCTCTGGTGAGGAACATCGTTGGGGAATGACTGTTCCCTGTTGGGCCACCTACCCTAGCTCTGGTGAAGAACATCGGTGTGGTATGACTGTTCCCTAGTGGGCCACCTACCCTAGCTCTGGTGAGGAACATCTATGGGGTATGACTGTTCCCTGCTGGGCCACCTACCCTAACTCTGGTGAGAAACATCGGTGTGGTATGACTGTTCCCTAGTGGGCCACCTACCCTAAATCTGGTGAGGAACATCGGTGGGGTATGACTGTCCCCTCAACACCACCTACCCTAGCTCTGGTGAGGAACATCGGTGTGGTATGACTGTTCCCTCAACACCACCTACCCTAGCTCTGGCGAGGAACATCGGTGGGGTATGACTGTCCCCTCAACACCACCTACCCTAGCTCTGGTGAAGAACATCGGTGGGGAATGACTGTCCCCTCAACAGCACCTACCCTAGCTCTGGTGAAGAACATCGGTGGGGAATGACTGTTCCCTGCTAGGCCACCTACCCTAGCTCTGGTGAAGAACATCGGTGGGGAATGACTGTTCCCTGCTAGGCCACCTACCCTAGCTCTGGTGAGGAACATCGGTGGGGTATGACTGTTCCCTCAACACCACCTACCCTAGCTCTGGTGAGGAACATCGGTGTGGTATGACTGTTCCCTCAACACCACCTACCCTAGCTCTGGTGAGGAACATCGGTGGGGTATGACTGTTCCCTCAACACCACCTACCCTAGCTCTGGTGAGGAACATCGGTGGGGTATGACTGTCCCCTGCTGGGCTATGCTACAGGCCAGGACGACATAGTTCTGCCACAGCTGCATGTGTACGTCTCGCTCGGTGGTCACCTTCTTACTGCCTGACCGCAGGATGGACGATGCGCGATTTTCATTAGTCTGAGTACTGGAAACAGCAACAAGGACACAGTTGGTAATGAATTAATGGAATATAACCCTACTGAAACTGCAATGTGGATCAATCTCATTAATATCAGATCTTCCACTCAGGGTTACATGATGGGACTTTCAATGGACGGTTTATCAGATGTTCCAGCAGAGACATAAAGCCTCGAAGTAAAAGATCTGATTTTAATGAGATTGCATTTGGATAGGCAGACAATAAGACTCTTAAATGTATTCCTAGACCCTTTACGTGTCCCCAACACAATGACAGTTGACAGTTAGGACTGTGGTAATAAACAATACTAACTTTGAATGTCCACTCTGCTGAACAAGTTACTAAAAAGCATAGAGACAAACCATAAAATTAAAGGAGTCTTTGAGACTGATGATAAACCTAGTACAGGATATATCTGGACTTACTTTGGATCCACAAGCGGGAAGAGAGAGTTGAGTTTGTTGTAAACGAAGGGCCAGGCATGAGCCAGGGCGTGGGGACAGTTGGTCAGAGCATAGTCTTTGGAGGTGATGCCGGCAATGAAGCGGATCCAGACGTCGATACGATGGAAGCTGTAGTTGATCTGGTTGCCATCCTGGGTCGAACCTCCATTAGCAGGAACCCAGCAGGAAGCGGCTCGCTCAACCACCCAGGCCAGGTCCAGGTTAGACAGGGATAGCACCACCGGCTGCACAATACAGGGAAAGGGGTATTATATAGTACAGCTCTATGGTGGACAGTCACAGCACATGGGCTGCACAACACAGGGACAGGGGTATTATATAGTACAGCTCTATGGTGGACAGTCACAGCACATGGGCTGCACAACACAGGGACAGAGGTATTATATAGTACAGCTCTATGGTGGACAGTCACAGCACATGGGCTGCACAACACAGGGACAGAGGTATTATATAGTACAGTTCTATGGTGGACAGTCACAGCACACGGGCTGCACAACACAGGGACAGAGGTATTATATAGTACAGCTCTATGGTGGACAGAGACAGGACATTGCCTGCACAGCACATAGTACAGATGTAGGGAGATTTGGCTAATCCAATTCCTGACAAGACTCAACACTAAACAGAGACGGTATCACAAGATGGACATCAGTGTCATGTTACTGAACTCTTTGTCCCAAAGGCAACATGAAGTAGAGTCTGCAACATGTGAGGCATGTATATCAGGGCATAAGTAGAGGTATATCCTGTATATCCTGTATATCCTGTATATCCTGTATTATTTGCCAGTCCAGACATCAGGTTGTGGGTTGTGTGCTCACCTTCTCCTGGGCCGGCAGGAAGACTTGCAGCTTCTCCAGGATGGCAGGGCAGGCCTTGTCTATAACGTCTATCAGACACGGTGTGCACATCTACAATAGAACCTCATGCAGCTGCCATATCAAACAAACCACAAACCGAAGAATACAACCAAATGTGTTGGAAGTGGTTCAACTACAAGTATAAATATGACAAAGACTATAACCTTGGTTTTATTCATTCAACTCCCAGTAAAATGAAGCCTTGAAAATAAAGTTCAAAAATAAAAATAATTAGTAACATGTTAACAGGAAGACAAGAGTGTGTTCCCTTGTGATTACTATCTCTACTATTCTCTAAGCAGGAACACTGGGGTTTTTTTCAGGTTTTCACGGGGTTTCACACAAGTGCTGGTCTACTGGTACAAGACAAGTCAAAAGTTGCAAGGAGAACATGTAGCAATGTCACATGACAACTAGTCCTAATTGACCAATGAACAAGTCTGATTTAGCTCATGGCTTGTGCACTTGAGAACAGCCTGGAAACAACCTGTGTTTTCAATATTAAGGGGGTACTTGGGTCCATGAGGTTTTCTCCTATAGTATTTGAATTTTCAGGCCCTTATTTTTTATCCCTTAACCTTAATTTCATTTCATGCTTAATTTTGTTCAGTTTCAGAATAAAGATTCCATTCAGCATACACCTGCTGATGGCACAGGAAGATCATTTCAGGAGTCAAGTTCAGAAAACTGAAGATGTTTTATCTATCATGTCTCCAGAGAAACATGTATTCAGTATGTGCCTGCTGTACTACAAGACAAGAGCAAGTCTACACAGCCAGTCCACCAACCTGAGAAACACGGTAGGAGTTGAAGATGTTGCGGACTTCCTTGAGTAGATGGACGGAGAGTTTGCGTGTGACGACTCTGCAGCTGCACATCATGACGAGGGCTAGCCCCTCCACCTCATGCAGCACCCCCAGACTCATCACCTGACTGGCCAGGTTGTTGGAGGTCTGCTGGTCCCCTGGGGGCTTGTCCTGCTGCAACACACAATGTACAAAGGTTCAAAGTAAGGCTTGATGTCACTGTCAACAGTATTAAGTTCCAACATGGCATGTTATCTTCGATCCATGTGGGAAGAAAGACTTAAGTGATGCAGAATGGGTACAGTGATGAGGGACACTTTTGATATTGTGGTGCTGTGTTGGGTATCCATTCAAACTGCAGCATGTCATCTCAGGGCTAGCACTATAAAACCACCATGAGTCAGGACTAGTACAAGCAAGCTACACATTCACCAACACCCACACACCCACACACCCACCCACACCCACACACCCACACCCACACCCACACCCACACCCACACCCACCCACACCCACACCCACACCCACACCCACAAACCCCAACCCACACCCACACACTCACACACGTCGCTATGTAAGTGCAATAATCTTGAACACGACGTTAAACCCCATTTCACCTCACCTCACCGCCCATCCCCACACTAGTGGTCACCTTCTGAGCGTGCATGTCTTTGCCGGCCTGAGGGTTGGACTTCCACTGCACCAGCAGCTGCATCATCATCCGTAGTACACCGTCCACCAGGTGGGTGTTGGTGTCGGAGATGTCCTTGTGCACAAACTGCACAAATCCTGCACAACACAGAAACAATGTTCTACAAAGAGGCACATGGCTAAACTACAAGTAGTGCATATACACACTGTTAATCTGCACACAAGCAAGGTAACTGTTTACGCTGCTGTCAGCACAGAGTGAGTGAGTGAATGTTTATTGTCATGGTCACATTTTGCATAGTGAGTGATTGAGTGAGTGAGTAGTGAGTGAGTGAGTGAGTGAGTGAGTGAGTGAGTGAGTGAGTGAGTGAGTGAGTGAGTGAGTGAGTGAGTGAGTGAGTGAGTGAGTGAGTGAGTGAGTGAGTGAGTGAGTGAGTGAGTGAGTGAGTGAGTGAGTGAGTATACACCTTGAGTATTGCTTTTAGCAATATTCAAGCAATATCACAGCAGGGGACACCAGAAATGGGCTTCACACATTGTACCCATGTCGGGAATCGAACCCGGGTCTTCGGCGTGAGAAGCAAAACACTTTAACCACTAGGCTACCCGACCGCCCCCCATTTTGCATAGAATCAGGAGGTTAGCTCCTCCACAACTTGCTTTTGCGGAGAAAACAAAAGTATGACAAGGCACGTGCTGTCCGAGTATGTGCAAAACGAGGCAAATCGGACTCACTTGAGTTCAGGTCAGATTGGTTTGATATCTCAACTTGATAGGACATACATTTGTCAGATTGGCATGATAAATTGATATGTCATGGCAATAGGACATACATTCAACAAATTTGTTTTATATCTCATCAAGGTTGGATGGAGGTAGAACATTCCTTTTGATAGGTCGTCGCAATAGGGCACATCATAGCTTGCTCTAATGGAGCTTAGACTATTGATAGACTGATAAACTTTGAAAATCATATTTAGTTTATTTTGTCATGCTTTTAAGAAGAGATTCACATTTAGTTTCCACATTTATTATCTGAATTACGGCATCAATATCAAGAGAGTCACGTTTAGTTCCCCGCATACAAGAGAAAGAGAAATTCACATTTTAGTTAATAGTTAATATTCAACTGCGCAACATTTACTCACCACACAAAAAGCCCTAAACAGGGATTGATATCACTGACAGATTATGTTTTTCAATATTCTTTCTTTACCAACATTACTAGTTGTCATGGTCCAGTCAGTGTATAGTCAGTCATCAGCTTGTCATATATGTAAACAGCAGTCAGTGTACAGTAAAAACAAAGTCATCAAACAAGCACAAGAACCATCCTGCTCAGCCACATTGGCCGACCTAACTCTGCCCGCCCCTCTCACCATGTATAACATGCTCCTTCCACGCCGGGGACTCCAGCATCAGGTTCTGTAGACCCTGGAAGGCCAGCCTGTAATGAAGACAATACCCATGAAACAACCTGAAGACCTCAAGCCTTGTAAAACTGAAATCCATGAAATATATGACAGCATCTAGATCAGGAACACTTAGGGTGTTACAGTTTCAACAGGTCTTTCCAAAGTGTAACCATGGTAACAGATTTATTACTTCAGAATCATCCACATAGGATGGTGACCCCAGTGACTTACCCCTTAAGTTCCTCGTCCACATGGACAGTGACCCCAGTGACTTACCCCTTACCCCTTGAGTTCCTCATCCACAGTGACTTACCCCTTGAATTCCTTGTCCACATGGACGGTAACCCCAGTGACTTACCCCTTGAGTTCCTCGTCCACATGGACTGTGATCCCAGTGACTTACCCCTTGAGTTCCTCGTCCACATGGACGGTAACCCCAGTGACTTACCCCTTGAGTTCCTCGTCCACATGGACTGTGACCCCAGTGACTTACCCCTTGAGTTCCTTGTCCACATAGACGGTGACCCCAGTGACTTACCCCTTGAGTTCCTCGTCCACATAGACGGTGACCCCAGTGAGTTCCCCCTTGAGTTCCTTGTCCACATGGACGGTGACCCCAGTGAGTTCCCCCTTGAGTTCCTCGTCCACATGGACGGTGACCCCAGTGACTTACCCCTTACCCCTTAAGTTCCTCGTCCACAGTGACTTAGCCCTTGAGTTCCTCGTCCACATGGACGGTGACCCCAGTGACTTACCCCTTGAGTTCCTTGTCCACATGGACGGTGACCCCAGTGACTTACCCCTTACCCCTTAAGTTCCTCGTCCACAGTGACTTACCCCTTGAGTTCCTCGTCCACATGGACGGTGACCCCAGTGACTTACCCCATGAGTTCCCCGTCCACATGGACTGTGACCCCAGTGACTTACCCCTTGAGTTCCTTGTCCACATAGACGGTGACCCCAGTGACTTACCCCTTGAGTTCCCCGTCCACATGGACGGTGACCCCAGTGACTTACCCCTTACCCCTTAAGTTCCTCGTCCACAGTGACTTACCCCTTGAGTTCCTCGTCCACATGGACTGTGACCCCAGTGACTTACCCCTTGAGTTCCTCGTCCACATGGACGGTGACCCCAGTGACTTACCCCTTGAGTTCCTCGTCCACATGGACGGTAACCCCAGTGACTTACCCTTTGAGTTCCTCGTCCACATGGACGGTGACCCCAGTGACTTACCCCTTGAGTTCCCCGTCCACATGGACTGTGACCCCAGCGACTTACCCCTTGAGTTCCTCATCAACATGGACGGTGACCCGAGTGACTTACCCCTTGAGTTCCTCGTCCACATGGACAGTAAGCCTTGTGAGCACCTCCACTATTTCCTGGCTACTCATTCCGTCTGGGATCAACCGTGGGATGGCAGCAATGCATGTCCGAAACAGGTCAATCTTAGGCTTACGATCACCGCTGTAATCAAAAACATCAATCAGTTCAACTTTTAGTTAAGTTCTGTAGTTTCCATTACATGTTTGACTCAATGCATATCCTCTGTCCAGCCTTTAAGCTAGACCTTGGTTATCACTGGATGAAAGTTAAATTTGTTTGGTCCTTCCAGTAAGCAATGGTTAAAGGCAATCTACTGAAATTGATCTCTTCTTCTTAATCATCATCAATATAGTTCTCCACACAAGAAATTGAACATGACTCATTTTTGAAATCTTTGATTTTACCAATAAGATCTGCACCAAAGAGGGTCCAGTCAGACTCAAATTGTACATGAAATATCTATCAACACTTGATACCAGCAAATACATGCATACAATTCCTGTAGAAGACTTACACAATCATTTCATCGGGTTCCTTGTTGGCATTCTCTGCCTTGGTTAGAAGGAGAGGTCGACCAACTTGGAGGTCAAGGGCTCTCAACATGGCATCAAATGTCTTACGGATGTGTGGATAGAACTGTGACAGGCCGATGGACTTGGCCATGGGGTCAGACAGCATCTTGTTCAGGAACTGTCTCTTGACCCTCACAGTGCTACCTGATGGGAGGGTCCCTGTCGACTGCGGCATCGGTGGGTCGCCATCTTTCTGCTGGAGACTGTCAGCAATCACCAGGAAGGCTCGTAAACCTATGCTCATTCTCTGGAGACAGAAACACAACCTATTTCATACACCTGTCCATAATTATTCAAAGGTCAGACAATATCTCAGGTCTATGAAAAATTGGTAGGTTTATTTGCTTGGAAATAAAGGAGTGATGTCATCATATACTAAAAAATCGAAGTATCGGTAACAAAGAATGTTGATGCTGTATCGATTGTTCATCAAAGTGACAGGCAGGAGAGAAAGCTCAAACACTTCTACAAAAGGTCCCAGGTGACACTATATAATGTTTGCTGCCAGGTGACAAGTGAAAGATAAATAAACCAAAACAAAACCAAAGTCAGCACAAAGCGCCATTTCTAAATCTTCAAGCCAGTCAATCTCATTAAAATCAGACCTTAGTTCTCGCTACCGCTAAACAAAGATCTGAAGACATCCCATTAGGGGTCACGTCAGAACGACCTTTCATCCGACTAATCAGACATTCGCTTACCAGATTATGAATGTAACAGTCGGAATGTGACTTCTAATCATGCAACCTCGAAAACTTTAACACGGGGTATTCTGAACGATAGTTACGGGTTAAACGACAGAATCCATACAGTCCAGACCATCTATTAGCCATTCCAGAATGTTCTTTTGTTCAGGTTTCAAATTTGCAATCGAGACTTTGTCAAAATATGTTTCGAAGCGTAGTCGCCAATTTGAAATTAGTGCCGTAAAGCACGAGAAAGTTGAAATTAGTGCCGTAAAGCATGAGAAAGCTCCCTTCTGATTGGTCAATCCACTGGCCGGTCAAAGTTTGCGCAAGGTCGATCTGACGTGACCCGTAATGGGATGTCCTCAGATGTTTGTTTAGCGGAAGCGAGAACTAAAATTTGATTTTAATGAGATTGCAAGCCAGTAGTTGTAACATTCCGAGTTGCTATCAAGCAGGTAGTGGTGAAACCCATACCTCTGGGGTGAGAAACTTGAAGTTCCTTCCAACACACAGAAGGTCAAAGATGATGTCCCGCATGGCAAAGTCAAGTCTCTCCTGCAGGAAGAAATGCATATTATGTGTTGATGTTCTTAGCCAAAGCCAATCCATCTACACCATGTGTACACTTAACGATTTATTTGCCATATGAGAAGAGATAATCACTATGTAAATAAAACTGCAATTTTAATTTGAGTACAAAACCATTTCCAAATGGATCATAATGTAATTACTTTTTAATGTTTCTGCCAAAATGCAAATACACTAAATGATATTAGGGTGTGTAGATAGGTGCAAGGTAATGGCATGTCATAGGACTCCTCCAATTAACCTAGTCGTATCAAGGCGTAACATGGATGCATTCAGAAGTAGTTAACTAATCCTACAACTTACTTTGGCAATGAACTGGATGATCTTGACAAAGATGTTGAGGGGAGTCTCCTTGGGTGTGACCATCTTGGACCCCTTGGGGAACAGACTGTTGACGATGCTTTGTAGTCTGCTCTGTGTGGCCGTGTTACTTTCACACTTGATCCTCACCATGTATACCCTGACAACACAACATTCCACCTTTAGTTTGTTATAACATCACCCTGACAACACAACATTCCACCTTTAGTTTGTTATAACATCACCCTAGCAACACAACATTATACCTTTAGTTTGTTATAACATCACCCTAGCAACACAGCATTCCACCTTTAGTTTGTTATAACATCACCCTGACAACACAACATTCCACCTTTAGTTTGTTATAACATCACCCTGACAACACAGCATTCCACCTTTAGTTTGTTATAACATCACCCTAGCAACACAGCATTCCACTTTAGTTTGTTATAACATCACCCTAGCAACACAGCATTCCACCTTTAGTTTGTTATAACATCACCCTAGCAACACAGACATCACCATGGGAACACAGCATTCCACCCTCAATAGCTAATAACATCACCCTAGCAACATAGCATTCCACCCTCAGTAGGTAATAACATCACCCAAGCAACACAGCATTCCACCTTTAGTTTGTTAAAACATCACCCTAGCAACACAGCATTCCACCTTTAGTTTGTTACAACATCACCCTAGCAACACAGCTTTCCACCCTCAGTAGGTAATAACATCACCCTAGCAACACAGCTTTCCACCCTCAGTAGGTAATAACATCACCCTAGCAATACAGCATTCCACCTTCAGTAGGTTATAACATCACCCTAGCAACACAGCATTCGCCCTCAGTAGGTAATAACATCACCCAAGCAACACAGCATTCCACCTTCAGTAGGTTATAACATCACCCTAGCAACACAACATTCCACCTTTAGTTTGTTATAACATCACCCTAGCAACACAGCATTCCACCTTTAGTTTGTTATAACATCACCCTAGCAACACAGCATTCCACCTTTAGTTTGTTACAACATCACCCTAGCAACACAGCTTTCCACCCTCAGTAGGTAATAATATCACCCTAGCAACACAGCAATCGGCCCTCAGTAGGTAATAACATCACCCTAGCAATACAGCATTACGCCTTCAGTAGGTAATAGCATCACCCTAGCAACACAGCATTCTGCCCTCAGTAGGTAATAGCATCACGCTAGCAACACAGGATTCGGCCCTCAGTAGGTAATAATATCACCCTAGCAACACAGCATTTGGCCCTCAGTAGGTAATAACATCACCCTAACAACACAGCATTCCGCCCTCAGTAGGTAATAACATCACCCTAGCAACACAGAATTGCGCCTTCTAAAGGTAATGACATCACCCTAGCAACACAGCATTCGGCCCTCAGTAGGTAATAATATCACCCTAGCAACACAGCAATCCGCCCTCAGTAGGTAATAACATCACCCTAGCAACACAGCATTCCACCTTCAGTAGGTTATAACATCACCCTAGCAACACAACATTCCACCCTCAGTAGGTAATAATATCACCCTAGCAACACAGCATTCGGCCCTCAGTAGGTAATAACATCACCCTAACAACACAGCATTCCGCCCTCAGTAGGTAATAACATCACCCTAGCAACACAGAATTGCGCCTTCTAAAGGTAATGACATCACCCTAGCAACACAGCATTCGGCCCTCAGTAGGTAATAATATCACCCTAGCAACACAGCAATCCGCCCTCAGTAGGTAATAACATCACCCTAGCAACACAGCATTCCACCTTCAGTAGGTTATAACATCACCCTAGCAACACAACATTCCACCCTCAGTAGGTAATAATATCACCCTAGCAACACAGAATTCGGCCCTCAGTAGGTAATAACATCACCCTAACAACACAGCATTCCGCCCTCAGTAGGTAATAACATCACCCTAACAACACAGCATTCCGCCCTCAATAGGTAATAACATAACCTTAGCAACACAGAATTGCGCCTTCTGAAGGTAATGACATCACCCTAGCAACACAGCATACCAGCACAACATGAACACAAAGTCATCACATCAGCTGTAACATATTGCTGACAGTGCAGTGTGGAGGTTACAATGACCTCAAGTGGGCACCTACCAGAGCAGTCTGTAGAGAGACTCGAGGGCCACTCGGGACATCTTGGTGTCCTTATTCTTCAGCTGAGACAGACACATGGTGAGGAAGTAGGGCCAGTTGTTGAGGAAGAACTGTTTGTGACTGACACACAGCAGGCAGGTCACCAGCGGGAACAGGTGCTGAAACACAACAGGGGACTGACACACAGAAAGACAACAGCTCCAAGACTAAGTCTTCCAAGAAGAACATATTTCATGATCAATCCGAAGAGGTGTTTCACAAACTGTCTCAGACAGATTGAATGCACCTGCAACATTGAGACACAAGAGGTATACATGATAAAAATGACACAATGCATTTTCAATAATTATTTTTTTATTTTACGATTATTATTATGCATGTTTGTTTGTTTGTTTGTTTGTTTGTTTATTGTTTAACGCCGCACTCACAACATTCCAGCTATATGACAGAGAGCTGTAAATAATTGAGCCTGGAACAGTCTGATCCAGACTGGATCAATCCAGTGATTGAGGTCATGAGCATCGATCCACGCAATTGGGATTTATGACATGCATCAGCCAAGTCAGTGAGCCTGACCATCCGATCCTGTCTAGTAGCATAGTAGCTTTTTACTGCACGCATCGGTTGCTGAAGACCTATTCTACCCCAGATCTTCATGGGTCGCGATTATTATGAGTAATGTCATTAACAATTGTGAAAAGGTCACATTACAAAGGACTGTTCGATAGTCATTCACCAACCACATCATGTTAGATCCATTACTGTTGCACAAGAATAATGTAGACATTGAACTCTATTGTGCAGGGATTTCCTGACTATTACTATTGTGTTGAATATGACATTGTGTTTCTATGGCAACAGATTCACTCACCAGTGTGTGTTTCCTCTTGGTGGTCATGTCTATAGACAGAGTGTACAGCAACTCTACAAAGTTCTTCAGCACTGGCACATTCACCTCATTCTTGGCAGTCTGAAGATGAACAGTGAGTGTGTGACAGCCACAATATATCAAGAGTTTAGATGGAATGGAACCCCAGTGTTTGGGATGACAGGTTCATGCTTTAACCACCAGGCTACCGCACCACCCCATTCACCATAGCATCACATGGTTACAGATAAAGGGCTTTACATAAATGAGTAAAATCAAACTATGAGTGCTGCCTCTCCACTCCGAACCCTGGAGCCAGCCATTGTAACTACACATGTCCACTACATGACACTCACAGCAGCTACAGGCAGAAGGATCTCCACAAACAGTCCTGCCAGGGCATGTCTGATGTCCCTGTCCTTCACCTCCACGAAGTAGTGGCCCAGTTCCTGCAGGAATGACACACACGCTTCGAAGTCCTCTATAGGGTGCATCTAGAACAAAGGAAGGCCTTGGTATCAAAAACAACAAATACTGCCAAAACACTCCACAACTATCATATTGGTTATTAGTGGAGCCATTTCGTGAAAAATTGTGCACTTTGAGATAAATGCATGACACTTGGCTCAGTTGTAGGTAATGACATTCTAAATATTTTCATCCTCGCTCAGTTGGTGTGGGAAGGTCTGTTTCGGACACCAGACTTCGTCCCCAACAGTGGCCAGCTTGAAATGCAGCTCTTTTGACATGTTGGTACAAAGCAGCTGATGTAGGAGGAAAGGAATCAATTGATCTACCATTCTTAGTGAATAATACATGTATTCTGTGAATAATGCTCTAACAATTTCTCAGGTATCGTTAATTAGGAGATAAACATACTGTTTTCAATGTAGAGCTAGGTTACCTGTAGATTTAACCCCGCTAAATTGAATTTGGAACCGAACGCGCAGCGTGAGGTTTCAAATGTTTAATTTAGTGCGGTTAAATCTACAGGTAACCTAGCTCTACATTGAAAACACAGTATGTTTAACTCCATTCTATCATGACTAAATAAAACGCGAACTCTTTGGTGTTAGCAAATATACTGAGTGAAGCGGCATAGATTGAGTTCAGTGTTTTGAGTGGGTAATCGATCTGAATTACGGAATCACCAAACAAAATATGGTGCTGTATATACTCAAGCAGTTTGTTTAGACCGTAATACTTCACTCGAACATATGACAGGCATTGAAAGCATATAAGCACGGCAACTTGGTAAGCTAACATGAGGTGGGTATCCCTAAAGAAAACAAAGCAAGCTTTGCAAGGCTTTCGCTCTACATCGCACGTCACCATTACGACGTCATATCGCTCATTGTGACGCAAAAGATATGACGTCACAGTCGTATATAGAAAAGCACCAAAATTTCAAGCTCTCTGTTGTCTCCAAAACGTAAATACATTCCCTTTGTTGATTTCTGTCGTGTTTTTCTGCACGAAATGTATTGCCACACATCCTTTGAATATTGTAGTAACCGCATCTGTGCATTTTGTAACCTGTAATTGTAGATATAATTATTTAAATATGCCTACCGACAATGACAATAGTACTATTCTATTAATATTAGCTTCCGCGGTGATGCGGCCGTCAAACCAACTGTTTCAATCAGAGGGGGTTTATTGTGATTTAATAGCCTCTGATTGACCAATCAGAATCAAGTAAATTCCAAATTCATGGTAGAATTGGGCTTAATTGAGTCCCATGAGAAGGCTGATGATGCTCTGGGCTGTGTAGGGAGCCTTACCTTAACCCTGAAGAACTTGAGTCCCATCAGAAGGCTGATGATGCTCTGGGCTGTGTAGGGAGTTTGGTCTCTCAGCTTGAGCTCCTTCAACTCACTAAGGAATGTCTTCCTCACTGCCTGGAATCTGCCAATACATCGGTCTACATTCACAACAGATGGCAAGTATGGTCCACACACTAGGCAATATCAACAATTCAGTCACATTAATGCCTCTTTCAAAAACGGGGACTTCAGAACTACTTGAAGATATTTCAAAATTTGGTTCATATTTATAGACATAATACTTGACTGAGCATCAGAAGATTTTTCATTTCAGAAGAACCTTTAGGAACAGGCCTTTATTCAAGGCAGGTACCTTTTCATCGAGGTGTTACCATCGACATGATCAAGTTCCTGCAAACATGCTATCCCTTCACATCTGTAGGGTGACATGCTCTCAATTCATTCTTACACCAGAACTTTTGAAATGGGAATACTGTAAATCTTGAAATTAATGTGAGCGTGAATTACATGCGAAAAATGCGACTGGTCTTTGCTCCCATTAACTAACTATGCATTTATGTCTCCAAAATGACTATCAACAATAAGACAGCCTCACGGCACACTTTGGATAGTGGAAATACCAACTTGAATACAAACACAAACACAGTTTATTGAGCAGCAGCTGTGACAAGCATATATCAATGTCATTCAAAGAATAGGAATTACACAATGGGCATCGGGTGAGTTATCACTGATGGGGGCAAGAGTTCTACCCACTTGTGTCAAGCTCTGCATACCAATCAGTGAACTGTTGTTTTTTTCACATATTGCATTGCCTTTGAATTTCCTTAATGCCAGTCAACAGAGTAAATATATAAACTGTTTATTGTTTTTACGGGAGTGCTCTACTCAGCACTAATAAGCAGTGCTATTTGCTGTTTGATTGGATTAGTGAGTGAGTGAGTGAGTGAGTGAGTGAGTATGGTTTTACGCCGCTTTTAGCAATATTCCAGCAATATCATGGCGGGGGACACCAGAAATGGGCTTCACACATTGTACCCATGTCGGGAATCGAACCCGGGTCTTCGGCGTGATGAGCGAAAGCTTTAACCACTAGGCTACCCGACCGCCCCTTGATTGGATTAAGGTAAGGAGTGAGTGAGTGAGTGAGTTTGGTTTTACGCCGCTTTTAGCAATATTCCAGCAATATCACGGCGGGGTACACCAGAAATGGGCTTCACACATTGTACCCATGTCGGGATTCGAACCCGGGTCGTCGGCGTGACAAGCGAACGCTTTAACCACTAGGCTACCCGACCGCCCCTTGATTGGATTAAGGTAAGGATATGTATCATTCCACTGGGGTTGGGGTGAGGGGAGTCGCATTGATATTGAGTTGTATTATTGGCCATGGGTCAGCAGTCGTATTAATGTGGAGACGCATTTATTTCAAGATTTACAGTGTTAAGTAATCATACCTTTTGAACAGGCATTTACGAATGACAGCAGTGATTCAAGTCAGATGTTCATTTACAGAACTCAAAGTACAAAAAGAACAAAGATGAGCAAATCTTCCTTCTTACATACCTGGACTGTGCTAGCACTCCGACCACCTCAGAATAGAGGTCTGCGATAGTGTTCACATTGGCTGCATTGGGGTTGGTCTGCAGACTGAAGGAAAACAGATTGTGTCAGTTTGTCTGTTTGCTTGTGTGTTTGTTGTCAGCAATAACCCCTCTATATGAGGGCGGCCTGTAAATAATCTGGACCAGACAATCCGGTGATTGATGATATGAGCACACTCAAAGTCACTGAAGTTGACCACGCCATCCATGAAGTTGCCTCATACAACTAGCACAGATTGCAGGGACCAATTCTAACCAACAGCATTATCATGACTAGACACATGATGTTACAAAAACTCCCCCTCTCTGCACAAGCTGAGAGAGATCCATCAAGGTGAAATTTCCTCAACTGTAACTTAAGGCAATATTTCCACCTCTTGTTCAATTCAACAGATACAACATAAACATGACAAACATACCTCACTTAAGCACTGGAATAGTATCACCTCTAAAAATCATCAACATAGTTTTGAGCAATATTTAATGCAGCAGGATCTCAGCCATGATTGAAAGATTTCCAATATATTGGCATGTTCCCACAAATTGCCTGACCAAGCTGGTAACCTACCCATCTCTGTACTTGAAGTGCTTGAACGCCTGTTTGATGATGTGGCTCACCAGGTCGTCATGACCTGGGTGGTATGTAAACTGCAAACCCAATAGAATAAAGTCAAATATGGTCTACATTATCCACACCGCAAGTAGGACTAGTCTTTTTAAAATTTTAAACTCATCAAGGTAATATCACATGAACTATTCATGTGATTGACAATACCGGTATACTGAAAGATCCCACCACATAACAATCCTATCAACATCAGCAGTGTTTGATTAAATGTAACAAATAATAGTTGAGGTTAAATTGGGCTTGGCGCCTGGCCAAAGATTATTGCACTTATATAGCGATGTGCATGCACATGTGTGTGTAACTGTGGCTGCTTGTACTAGTCTGGACTGATGCCGATTTATAGTGCGAGAGATACCATGCCGCAGTTTAACATGAATACCCCACTCAGACACCATATACCGACTCCGAGCCAACCAGTCCTTGTTTTTAACCCCTTAATGCCAAGCACCAGACAGGGTAACAACAAGTAATATCTTTTAACGTCTTTTGGTATGACGCGGCCGGGGATCGAAACCTGTACCTTCTGCTCTCCGGGTGGATGCTCTACCACTAGACCACAGAGGCGGTCGTAACAAATTATAGGAATCATTACATTAGTCAACTGCTATGTCAAGTGTTTATCAATGGTACAGAAAATCTCAATACTGCATACTGAGAGTTGAACCTACCTTAGAGAGCACTTCGATCAGGACCAGGCAGTACACAAACTCCACAGCAAGCTGAAATCAACATGGTGAGGTGAGGTGAAATGGGGTTTAATGTCGCGTCCAAGATTATTGCACTTATATAGCAACGTGCATGCCGGAATGATGCCGATTTACAGTGCTGGCCCATTGACATACCATGTCGCAGTTTAACATGAATACTCCACTCAGATCCTGAGTATACTGACTCCGAGCCGACTAGTGCTTGTTTCAGCCCTTTAATGCTGAGCACCAGACAGGGTAACAACAACTACCATCTGTTAACGTCTTTTGGTATGACATGGCCGGGGGTCGAACTCCAGACCTTCTGCTCTCCGGGCGGACGCTCTACCACTAGACCACGGAGGCGGTCAAAATCAACATGGCATTACAAATTCATGAACCTGTACAATAGCAAACATTTAAAACATATCGCGATCACATGAAGTGTATGATTGCTGATTATTCATTCTGCTGAGCATCATGTATTCACTTCCTTTCACTCGTGTAGCTAATCTTCAGGATGTCTCAGGACATTTATTGTTGTGATTATCACTGTGGTACGTTGATCAGATTCTAAAAGTACAAAGAATAGTCTTGGAAAACTTACATCTCTCCTTTCACACAGGAAGTCTTTGCTCCTGGAAGAATAAGTATGTTTATCGTGTATCATGGGTTGGTATTATGTATTATGTGTTCTAGAAGCGCAACTTTCAAGGCTTTACCTAATCTCAACTAAAACAATACAAAAACTCAATAATAGAAATACAGTCAACTATGTTTATAACGAACATGCTTATAACGAACTGACTCATATAACAAACATATTTTTTAGTCCCAACCATATGTTGTATATATGCTGTATGTATGCTCATAACGAACTACGGTTATTACATCAGTTAAGTGATGCATAAAAGATTATGGATTTCATGAAATTGATAACGCTACATCCATCATAAAGTTCTGTACTCCTATCATTGACAGTGATTTTCCTACATGGGGAGGATTGCAACACCAGACAGTTGTAGATGCAACAGTAGTAAAGCATACAAACAGGAGTCGAGTCTGGTACAGACAAACCATTGAGACATAAAATGAAATCCAAGATAATAAAAACGAACAATTTCAATGTAATTCCCTTAATATATTGTAAAGAGAGTAGTGCTATACAACTGATGAAGGTCGCAACGCTACCCACACAGAATGCCCTACCCACACAGAATGCCCTACCCACACAGAATGCCCGACCCACACAGACTGCCCTACCCACTAAGACTTCCCCACCCACTAAGACTGCCCCACCCACTAAGACTTCCCCACCCACTAAGACTGCCCCACCCACACAGACTGCCCGACCCACACAGAATGCCCTACCTACACAGAATGCCCCACCCACACAGACTGCCCTACCCACTAAGACTTCCCCACCCACTAAGACTGCCCCACCCACACAGACTGCCCTACCCACACAGACTGCCTTACCCACACAGACTGCCCTACCCACACAGACTGCCCTACCCACACAGACTGCCCTACCCACAAAGACTTCCCCACCCACTAAGACTGCCCTACCCACACAGACTGCCCTACCCACACAGACTTCCCCACCCACTAAGACTTCCCCACTCACACAGACAGCCCTACCCACACACAGACTGCCCTACCCACACAGACTGCCCCACCCACACACAGACTGCCCTACCCACACACTGCCCTACCCACACACAGACTGCCCTACCCACACAGACAGCCCTACCCACACACAGACTGCCCTACTCACACAGACTTCCCCACCCACTAAGACTTCCCCACTCACACAGACTGCCCTACCCACACACAGACTGCCCTACCCACACAGACTTCCCCACCCACACACACTGCCCTACCCACACACACTGCCCTACCCCTTGTGTCTGTGACATATCCAGCTTCATGGCCTCCTTGCCATTAATGGAGGCCCCCCATCCACCCACCACCACCTAGTCACCCTCAACCACACATCCATCCTCCCTGTCACTCCCCTCCCCCTGCCTTACCCCTTGCTCCTGTGTCGCTGTCTAGAGTCCTGCTGCATTGCCTCATCGCCACGAGTCTGTCTGTCGTACCAGACAAACAGAGTCCGCAGGATGGACGGCAGACTCTGTTCAGCAACACAGCCCAGAGCACCGAGGATCTGAAGTGAAGTGAAGTGGAATGGAGTTAAGATTATTGCACTTATATAGTGATGTGCATGCATGTGTGTGGCTGCTTGTCCTAGTCCGGACTGATGCCGATTTATAGTGCTAGCTCACTGAGATACCATGACTCAGTTTAACATGAATACCCAACTCAGACACAGTATACTGACTCCAAGACAACCAGTCTTTGTTTTAGCCCCTTAATGCCAAGCGCCAGGCAGGGTAACAACAAGTACCATCTTTTAATGTCTTTTGGTCGAACCCCGGACCTTTGCTCTCCGGGCGGACGCTCTACCACTAGACCAAGGAGGCAGTCACAGAGGATCTGGAGTACAGGGATAGTGGTCAAAATCCATCATTAAAAAATAAATGGAGGACAACAGATCCTTTTTATCATGATGCTGATACTTTGACAAAACTTTTCGATAAACTATCAAATGTATACAACATGTAGTAAAATAGACAACTCACAAGTCCTGGGGATCATATCAAAATAGTAAGTTATCTGTAGTTTGACATGAGCTACAGATCATTATGCCAATAAGATTCTCCAAACGTTTACTCCTTAAACATCATCATGATCATATAATGAAATAGACAGAGTTCCAAGTTATCCTCAATTCTCAACATTGATGAGCATGTGGTTGGGTACTACAACTGAAACAGGATGATGTTCAATTGCACAATCAGAGTCAGAAAACCAATCACAGTTTCCATCAAACTAATGGTAAAAGTGGTAGCCCTCAAAGAAATATCACTGGTCCATCCTAATTGGTTCTAGTCTCGGACTAGTGGACATGTTTATTTCAAATCCTGAATTAATCACAGAGATTCCCACCCTGCCACACCCACCTGGTCAAACAAGGCATCCTCACCCCTCCTTAGTGAGTTGGACAGTGGACGTTCCTGGAAACAAAAAAATCATGAAACACAAGAACAGTCGATTTATCAGGCAGACGATGACCACACTGCCACTTCTCCCAGAAATTCTCAACAGAAATGTTTCCTGGATGTTATTTCCTAGCCATGCTAATTCAGTCACAGAAACATATAAAAAGGTGGACAAAATCCCATTCTCATTCTTATCAATATGATAGTTAACATTCAGCCCAAAGTAATTCTATCATAACTGAAAACATCCCCTTATTAGAAAACATACAACTTTATGGATAACAACTGTTTTATTGTATATAGTGACATTTCGATGTTTCTAACTACAGTAAACTACGGTATAACGAACTCAAAGGGACCACTAATTTTAGTTTGTTTTAACTGTAGTTCGTTATAATCATACATACAGCAAAATAAACTCATATGGGACAACACCCTAAAGTTCGTTACATCTGCCAGTTTGCTATAAACGTGTTTGTCATAAAAGTAGTTTACTGTACATCGAACGGTCACTCACTATATGCAAATAACCAGAAGTTGTTATCCCTAGAGATGTACATTTCCTATTTACCCACCGCCTTCTAGACATGCTAGAATGTCAATCAAACAATCCCCTTATCACAATTATACTCAATTAAATTAAACTTCCTATGTTCATGATCTGTAGAATACTGTTTAACTTACCAGGGGCTCCGCAAGAACCTGTTCAATCTTCTTCTCCGACAGGCGACAGAACTCCAGAAAGAGGCTGCGAAGAATATACTCCCCAGGTTTGCCTTCCTCTGTACTAGTGTTGTTAGGTCGCCATGGAAACTTCAGCAGCAAGTCAGATTCCATTGGTGGCCGGGCACCATCTAGGAATGAAAACGTATCTATGTTTACAAAACTAAACTTTCTCATCATACCTATACAACAATAACCATGGCAACCAGGACAACTGTTATGCAGACAGACTCTGTTTGCAAACACGCTATATTGTGGTATGACAAGGCTACCCACAGTGGTATGTGGAGACTATCATCAGACTCTGTTTGCATACATGATCCACCTCGGTATGCAGAGATCAACTCAACTAACACATGAATAACCTAACATAATCTCTTAATCTTAATATGAGATTATGACTCATACAAATACATTGATGGATGGGACAACTAAAACAGTTAGACAAGACAATTATATCCAGCTGCTAACTCAACTGGGACACGAGTTATGTAATTATAACTCCTCACTGATGAAGCGTTATCTAATAAAGTGCCTGTACTGCTTGTTGCAAGTTTCTCTGTTATAGCTCTCAAGCTTAGACACCCAATCAGCCATAACTTAATAAGCTCACTGTAATTATATCATAAGCAATTTTGATAAATGATGTATTCAGCATGTTCACTTAATCTGTGGAATGTTTGACATTTCATCCTGCAGGCTTCCTCATCACCAATACATGTATTAGCTGCAACAAACAACGACTGATCAGGAATGCTGGCCTGCTGTTTCCGGATCATTTGTTGTGACTGGAGTAACCAGTTGTCCCTCATGGAGTGAGTGAGTGAGTGATATCATCCCGTAGCCATGGTAATGTTTCAAGTAATCAATCCATGACCAAGTTCTTTACTTTGTCGTGGATTGATTACTTGACGATTACTGAACTTACCGTCTGTCTGATGACCCAGACAGACGGTAAGTTCAATACTCGTCAAGTAATCAATCCATGACAAAGAACCAGTGATTGATAGTGTGAGCAATGACCCAGACAGACAGAGTGAATGAGTGAGTTTCACACTGCTTCCAATACACTGTGTCACACCATGGCAGCGATAGAAATTGCCCAAACAACTGCCCAACAGTTAACATGGTTAAGGTATCATGAGGACTAGTAGAAATTGGCTATATTTAAGGGTTTTGTTATGTGTTATCATTATAAACTATTACTTTCTAACACTGCATGGCCTGAGAGCTTGTACTTGGGGAGGAAAGCCAGTGTGACGTAACTGATGATGATCATGATTGCTACTTGGGTGAAACACACAAGAACTGACAGACCAAGGTGCATCATGGGTAACAATCTGGAATTCTACCATCACACTTAGGAATGCTTCATTCTAGATGTCAAAATAACATCAAAATCAGTGAAAAAATTGTGTGAAAAGTCTTGTTAAATTTTAGGTATCTTTCAGACTTTTCACACAAACACTTGTGTGTACACAGATCTATCAATAGCCTACATACTCTACAGTTATACTGCCTGTTATTAGGTCCATCTCCAAATTCAAACACAGCAGATATGAAAGATGCAACCTTGCACAGAGAATTAACATGATTAACACCACTTGGCCAACCATGCCCTCATAATGGACACTGACTACACATTGTGGAGTACAAAACAAGGAAACTACCATGACAACCAGATATGTTGAAAGATTTTCCCTTAAAGGAAATATATTTTGCACAGACATCACATCACCTTTGACCTAAAACTCCTATTCATAAGGATATTAGTTGTTTACAATCTAATCGCTACCTGGCTACATGAACATGATGAATGCCAAATAGAATCAGTGTGGACAAAGGTTCTCGTTGACCCGGGTTGTTTTCTCTCAAGGATAGGCCTACATTGAACATGTTGAAACATACAAATAAATTTATCACTACTAAATATACATGTGCCTACATGAATAAGCTCAGGGATTTAGGCAAACCAGAGGTCGATAATTGTCCTTAATTCTGTAGCAAATGACAGTAGAAATACCAAATTTGAATCTAATTTCCTAATTCTCAGAATTTACGAAAAGAGGAACATTTTATAAAATTGAATTTTGAACAATATCACAATTTTTTTCCAAATTTGCTAGACAAAGGCACTTAGTTTGGAATCCAAGCTAAATCCCTGGTTATACTTTACAGAAACAAGACACAAAGCGCAGTACATGTAACATCTAGTGTTACACTGAATACCATGCAGCCTGCCGTAGCATTAAACATCCATCATTCACACACACACAGATTAACAAGGCATAGTCTTACTGCACTTTGGCAAACTGTTTTTCCTTCGTCTACAAAGAAGTTTTGCTGCCATGGCTGCATGTGTGAGTACATGTGTTGTGTGCCTAGGTGATGGTCATGTCATTCTGCCAACTACCACACTGATGTGACTGTAATAATCGAACAGTCACATAAACCAGTCTGCCTGGGGGTTCTCCATGGGTGGGGCATCTGCTCTACATTCAGTAAGTAATGCTTGAACCAACCCACGGACCTATATAACATATTATACAAGTCTGTCACCAAACTAACTATGAAACAAGCTCTAGATTATTTGTCCACATATATTTTACACATTGATCTTTTTGGATAGGTGTGGTGTTTCCAGCCCATTTGATTATTTCAAATATCATTATCTTCTTACCTAAACAGATGCTATCTCCATGACCTTTTGTGTATTTCATAAGTATATATATATAATATTTAATTAATTTCAAATGTGCACTCAATGTAAAGATATACAATACACTTTCAATCCAGGTTCTATTTTCAAAAGTAATCTTTATAAAGTTTCACAATAACCCAGCCTGATACCAACTCAGGTTATAGCAGAAATGTTACCACCTAACCACATATCACAAAAACAGCAAAATCTGTTTGCATAACAAAACTACTGTACAAGAGCGAGCCTTAATCAACCAGTCAATTGAGTACATCACAAACTGATGGACAGCATCTACTAGGGCTGGGACGGGTAACTAGGGTACTTGTGTCAGGTGGGTACTGAGAACTACAAGGACCCCTGGTTGGTCATGTGATATATTCTTTAATGACAAAAATGATCTTGAACTATATCGTTACATCATAAGTCACCAATGTTGGCATTTCTTTCTGACTATGCACCCAGACGTTTATATGTTTGAATAAAGATAAAACTTCAGTCAACTTCAGTGTATGCATGACCAAATCATTTTATACGTGTATCTAAATACATTTTGTCCAGGGCTACAGTCATACTATTCCCAATCGGACATTTTGTACCTATCTCTTGAGACCTACAGTGGGTACCCAGGTAGGGTTGGGTAATAGGTAGGTGGGTACCCGGGTAGTAAATGTGGACTCGTTCCAACCCTAGCATCTACACTTGTTAAACTGGGTCAAATGTAACATGAAAAACATATGTTCTAAAATGTTAACACTGTGTGCCTGTGCCCCCTCATGGGGAGCCTCCCACCACCTGTGCTCCATCTGTTTCATGGTCACTCTTAAAGCAAGAGCTCACTGCACTCCGATTCACAGTCCCAACAAAAGCTAACTCACCACCTATGCCATACTGGTTTTCAATCAATATCAGCAGAATCTGGATACATTCTATATCAGTGTGAAACCAGTGACAGCATACGCATGATACAGGTGAAGACAGAGCACATGGACATTTGTGTTTTAAAGGTAAGAGCTAACCAGGTGAACATCTTTAACATTGTTTAACCTGAATTTTATCTGAATCTTATCTGAAAATTCTTCACCATGCAATACCATTAATGTTGTGGCAGACACCATCAGGCATAATTCTAGGGTGGGGGCCACAAATAGTGATCTGGTTGTTACACAGTGAGATCAGGATGATTGTGCCTCGTTGTGCCGATAGTGGGGATTGTTGCTCATGCTGTCAACCCCTGGTTTGTCTGAACAGGATTTGATAAACAGGCTGCCAACATGACATTGCTTGACTATTGTTGACTCTCTCACTACAATCACTCATGATATACCTGCTATTGTTCCTCAAGCAGACTTGAGGCCATGTGAAAACCTGAAATACTGAATGTCTGTACTTAGGAAAATGTCATACAAATGCTCATGATGGTAATACTTGAATTATGATTCCAAGTTAATTAAATTGTGATTAAATTCCACAAATGAACTTTAACTCATCTCATGGTCTTATGTCAAAAAGATTATCATGATAATGGTTGGTAACCAGGGAAATAAGACAAAACGCTTTTGAAAAATAACTATTGTCTGGGTACATGGATGTTCAGGCATGTCAAACTACAGGTCAGTCATCACTGGCAGAGATTTCATTAAGTTATTTTTTCATGCAAATTTTGACAAAATTTAGGGTAAACATTGTGTCTGTCATACATAAATTTGCAAACAATAAAACGTATATCTGAGAGGTACGAATGATCAGCTGATTGTTTGTTTACTGCCGCACAAAAGCAATATTCTAGCTACATGATGGCAGTTTGTAAATAATCAAGTCTGGGCCAGACAATCCAGTGATTGATATCATAAGCATCGATACACACAATTGGGATACAATGAAAAGCATCAACCAGGTCAGTGAGCCTGACAGTGACCGCCCGAATCCTGTTAGTGACCTCTTACAGCAAGCATGGATTGCTGGAGACCTATTCTACCTCAGATCTTCACAGGTATATCAGCTGATAATATGGATCTGTTCTCGCATTGTGATACATGTAGGCTTGCAGCAAGCAGGCATATGTTACCTTGATATGTCATGACCTACATCAGTGCATACTGTACAGTCATGGGAGTTCTCGTGTTCTCAATGGCTGTTTGTTGAGCAACACATGTAAACTACAACACATTGATTCAGATATTACATTCTGCCCCATGTCACACTGACATCCAATCTCATTCAAATCAGATCATAGTTCTCGCTACCGCTAAACAAAGATCTGAGAACACCCGCTTACAGGTCACGTCAGACCGACCTTGAGTTAACTTTGACCGACCAATGGAATGACTGACAAGTAGTCGACATTAGCTAATCAGAAGGCAGCTTTCTCGTGCTTTATCATGTTTGTGGCACTAATTTCAAATTGGTGACTACACTTCAAAACATATTTTGACAAATTCTTGATTAAACATTTGAAACCTGAACAAAAGAACAGATGGTCTAGATTGTATGGATTCAGTCGTTGAGTCTAACTATCGTTCGGAATACCCTGTATTAATGTTTTCGAGGTTGCATGGTAAGAAATCACATTCCGACTGTCACTTTCATGATCTGGTAAGCGACGCTCTGATTGGTTGGATGAAAGGTTGTTCTAACGTGATCCCTAATGGGATGTTCTCAGATCTTTGTTTAGCGATAACTAAGATCCAATTTTAATGAGTGAGTGAGTTTGGTTTTACGCGGCTTTTAGCAATATTCCAGCAATATCACGGCGGGGGACACCAGAAATGGCCTTCACACATTGTACCCATGTCGGGAATCGAACCCGGGTCTTCAGCGTGTCCGATTTTAGTGAGATTGAACTGACATCAGACATAAACATGATTTATCACCATTGAATTTTTCTAATTTCTATCAACCGATCAGTACATTCTTATTATTGAAATAATATTTAGGGTTTAGGAATTAAATTTCAGGGTTTACAGGTTTTTTGCAAACTAATACATGATAAGTATGCAACATGTGTGCACTGGATTAAAAAAGTATTTTGTCCAGCCAAACAAATGTTTCAATTTGATCATGCTTATTTGGCATACAGTTGTATTGGGTATGTCAGTTGAGCTGACATCATGGACATCATGGTCATGGTTGAGTGGCAAAAATGAATGACAAGTTTGTTTGGGACTTATTTACTTCTATTAGTGATGGCATTGTTCTATTAATGTGGTGTTTACAGAGAGTATATAAATGTATTGGATCAATTATCATGATTATTATTAAAAACATAAACATTTCCTTTCTGTTAGATTTTTGAAGCTGTATTTTGCTATTTTTCTGATCCACCAAATAATGTCCTCAGGCAAATGAAAATAAATTCCCTGGCTAGTGTTATCATTCAACACGTTCAGGTACAATCATTTACAAATACACAAATCTGGAGGTGTTCAGTATTCAGCAACATGACTAAGCAGGGTACGAACCATGCATAGTCGACACTTAGTTAGCATGCTGATATGCCCTGCATTTCAAATTTTCATATCATGCTGTTTCCATGGCAACAACAGAAAACTGTGTAAAAAAATGTAGGTCAGCTTATTTACACAACCAGCACGTAATGGTGGCATACATTTGTTGTTGTGAGAAAATTTATTTCTCACATAAAAAGAGGAACTTAGAAGTTGTGGTATTTTAAAGTTAAACACATATCATGCATATCAGAGACAAAAACCTACACTGAAACGTCGCTCTTAATTGTAATAAAGAAGTTGTTCATCCATAAATCCTACCTTTCTTAGTATTCCAACTTCTAAATGCCTATCAAAGAAGTTATAAGACAGAGGCCTGTAAATAATCAAGTCTGGTGAGGTGAAGTGAAATGGGGTTTAACGTCGCGTCCAAGATTATTGCACTTATAAAGAGACGTGCATGTACGTGTGTGTGTTTGTGTGGCTGCTTGTACTAGTCCGGACTGATGCCGATTTATAGTGCTAGCTCACTGAGATACCATGCCGCAGTTTAACATGAATACCCCACTCAGACACACTATACTGACTCCAAGCCGACCAGTCCTTGTTTTAGCCCCTTAATGCTGAGCGCCAGACAGGGCAACAACAAGTACCATTTTTTAACGTCTTTTGGTATGACTCGGCCGGGGATCGAACCCCGGACCTTCCGCTCTCCTGGCGGACGCTCTACCACTAGACCACGGAGGCGGTCTAATCAAGTCTGGATCAGAGAAACCAGTGATCGATACAGTGAGCGACAATCCACGCTTGGAGTATGATCATACACATTCAACCAAGTCACTGAGTCTGACCACCCAATCTATTTTGTTGCCTCATACGACCAGCATAGTAATCACAATTTTAACCTGGAATGTGAACATGGTGCATTTCTGAGTCAATATATTACACAAGGGTACTGTAGCATGTGTTACTTTCTGATTGTTGTTGAATACAAATACAAAGGATACTGTTATAAGTAGAGCATATCATGGACCAGTTCAGAGCTTTTCAACCTTATGTGTTTCGTGTTCATGTAAGAAGTGTAGCACTATTCATGCTAATTTAATGTATGAGTGGAGGAAGTTTGAGTCAGTTGGGTTTAATGCCAATTTGAACTGTATTCCAGTTATATCAAGGCGAGCCTGGGTCTGCTTAGAGTGAAAAGAAACGCCAAAGTGATGCAGGTCACAGACATTAACTAACCACTTTGGATGGTCATGGAGCTGACAGACCTAGAAACATAATCAGGCTTAACCAGGATACAAACCCACAATCATCATGATCACAGGTTTCTAGGGTGTCCAAGGGACACAACTCAAAACAGCGAATTGCGGTGTCTTTGACATGTTAGACAACTGGGACGCAAATGCCCGCTTGACAGTCTGAAACTTGGACACGTTGGATAGACTCATTTTAGATTAGACAACTATTTAAACGGAACCATGGTGCTTTCACAAATAATTAGTTCTCATTTAGATTTTTTTCAGCAAAGGGATCCAAGGGCTAAGGATAGAGTTGGGGGTAACCAAGACATTTTAGTACAAATAGCCTGCTGGCCCTGAGATGATCAACAACACGGAACTACGAAAAAATGTGCAATTTTCAATCAAAACTTAAAAAGATAGACCTGTTATACCATATTCATATATTAACTGCAAATAGCGTGTTTCATGTATTTGGGGTCATCATGGTCATATGATACATTATCATGATTATAACATCTTCTGAAAGAATTCATGTTATTTTAGCAAATACAGTAACTGGAAGTACTGCAATGTTGCTATTAATGAAATTGACTATGCATTCTTTGAGGTATTAAACAGTATTCGTAAAAAAAAATTATGAATTGATCATGTCAGTTTATTGGAGTATGAACCTTCACAGAGTGAGGGGCAATCTGTATGAACGACAACGCTTGCGAGGTTCATTCTCCCAAAGAACTCTTTTAAAGTGAAAGTCAGTTCTTAAGTCTAGCCACAATATGATATATACAATATGAGCCTGATGAGAAAGAGTTGTAGAAACTACAGGAGTGAATTAAGTCACAATTTCTTTACAACTACAACATGTACAAGATAACACACTGATAGGTCCACCAACCTCTGTCATTTGGAGCTGATTGTTGCATCTTCAGTCTGCGTAGAGAAATTTTCGGTTCACTAAGTTGATGCAGAAGACAAATCAGCTGAACTCTATCGACATATCATTTTGAACACTTAAATGACAGGGCTCTGACAATCACATTCTCAGTTTGACAGCTCCAAGAAAGTGCTCGCTGCTGCTCCTATTTCACAGAGTAATAAACGTTACATTCGCTAATCTATGTCTGATTAACATCCATGACACTATGAAATATAAATGAGCTCCACATTAACGTACAGAGTTGTAAGAAATACAATTAATCATCATTCAAGTTATCTCCGTAGAATTATATACAGATAACCCATTTCCTGTTGATATTTGACACGCATGCGCAAACGTCATTTCCGTTCCTTCTTCGGAGACATATTAACCGGACTCACTCGGCAAACTTTATACAGTCTTTTTCATGTCCATCGCTAACAATCGTTTATGTTCAACAGAGCATGGTGAACACAGAATGCAATAATTTGAGGTTGTTTGCAATTTGCAATTTCTTACAAGCATTAGGATATAAAAAAGATGTTAGGGAGAACAGTGTCTAAAAGCAATGAGAATATACATTTTTCTTAATTCAGAATATGTTTTATGTACACTCCTAGCTCGGTGTATAACATGTATCTTGCATATTGATGTTTCTTATGCCTATGTACATGCCACGTTTGTGGGGCCTACCTTTGCTCTCTGGAGCATTCAATACCTACAACGTATGTTTCAAACTTCCTTCATCCACACAGGGGGTAGTCGTCTAAGGCGCCGCGATTCGCTGTGCAGAGTTGCGTCCCTTGGGCACGCCAGAAACCTATGATTGTGGGTTCGAATCCCGGTTCGCCCCAATTATGTTTCTAGGTTTGTCAGCACCACACCCGTGCTCGTTGGTTTCACCGAAGTGGTAAACGTCTCAGACCTGCATCACTTCGGGCTTTTCTCCCACATTAAGCTGGCACGCCGTGATATAACTGAAATACTGTTAAAAGCGGCGTTAAACCCAACTCACTCACTCACTCCTTCATCCACAACGACCAATCACCTGAAATGAGATATTTCGCACCCCAAATCGTAATTTCGTAACTCTTGTGCAATAAGCAATAAATTCGTTTTATAAAATCGTGATTTACACACAGATCTTAACAACATATATTCTACCATGAATTTGGAAAATACTCGATTTAGATAGGTCAATCAGAGGCATCAAATCACACCAAAAAAACCTGATTGGAACAGCCGATTTGACGGCTATATCACCGCAGAAGCTATAACATTCACAGAATAGTACTTTTTTCAGTCATCGTAGGTAGGCATATTAAAACAATTCTATCTACAGTACAATTATAGGCTACAAAACGCAAAGCTATATTCAAAGGATGTTTGGCAATATATTTCGTACAAATCTACAAAGAAAATATATTTTCAGTTTTGGGGACAACCGTGACCTTGGAATTTGGATATTTTTCTATAAACGACTGTGACGTCATATCTTCAGCGTCACAATGTGCGATATGACTAGATAGCGACTATGATATAGCATACACCATGGATCCTAAATATAGAAAATAAATATAAAGACCTAAATATCGTATTAGTGAGCATCCGCCCGGAGAGCGGAAGGTCCGGGGTTCGATCCCCGGCAGCGTCATACCAAAAGACGTTAAGAGATGGTAGCCTGCAACCTCGGGTTATCGCGGTACCACGGGTCCGAGTATACTTGTTGTTACCCTGTCTGGCGTTCGGCATTAAGGGGCAAAACCAAGGACTGCATGGTCGTGCTCGGAGTCAGTATCCTGTGTCTGAGTGGGGTATTCATGTTAACCTGCGGCAGTGGGCTAGCACTATAAATCGGCATAAGTCCGGACTAGTACAAGCAGCCACGCACCCACACGTGCATGCACGTCGCTTTATAAGTGCAATTATCTTGCACGTGAAGTTAACCCTCACCTCACCTCACCTATCGTATTAGTGTCCATGTAGATCTATGTACACGAATAAAAGATGTTTGGAAAGCATAAACGAATATTTAGAAACACGGGTGCCGAAATACGAAATAGGGTTACGAAGTTTCTTAATTATTTATAGGGTTACGAATTTTCTAGGGGTACGAATTCGTTTGGGTCACGAAATTATCGCAATCCCAGCCACAGGCACAAACAGGAATTGTCCGTATTTTACAGGCAAATGAACTTCCGTTATAAGATCGCGGCGAAATTGAACATATTTGGTCTTCTCTTCAGATAGAAAAGCTGCAACTACGTACTATCTAAAATGGCGAAGAAGATGAACGGAGTGCAGGATGTTGATATATTCAAAGCAGAACGGGAGGGAAAATTGAGAGAAGTTGGTAACCAAGCGGTATGGTCTTTGTCATCGTGCAAACCAGGTAGGCCCATGGAGCTGTGAACACTGCGATATAGGCCTAGTTAGCGGAGAGTTGGCATGCTATAATATCGGGAGTATGGCCAGATTGTAAGAAGTCTGAGATGAACACTAGAACCAATACATTTGCGAAGCTTGTTATTGGAGGATGCTGCAGATCAGCCTGTTTGAACTGCTCAGACATGAACTCTTCCGAAATCAGCATAAACTAACATTGCGCATTCAATTGACATAAAATAACAGTGATTTATTACTTGCCCTTGAAGAGATCACCCGTTTACATACAGCTGTATTACACATTGTGTAATACCAAAACGCGTGCTTATGTACTCTCGGAACACGTTTCACGAACAAATATTGAAAGCTCTCAACATCCCTTGGCTTATTCAACGACATTGCGTGTAGAATTGATAGATCACTGAGAGGAGCTTATGCACACTCGATGACCCCAGCAACCTTGTTGCTAGGCTGAAATCACATGGCATTGTTTTGCCAATGGATCTTGCAACAAAATTCCACAGATTACGTCATCGGGTATTGTGACGTTATTGTAAACTTTCAGGTGCAAGGCCCGTTCCACAAGGCGATCGTATTGTAGCGCAACGACAGTCGTTAGTCTGTTAAAGTATGTGAGTCGCGATAGTCTTAGCCCTAATGGGATGTCTTCAGATCTTTGTTTAGCGGTAGCGAGAACTAAGGTCTGGTTTTAATGAGATTGCTTCAAAAACATTCCAGAAACTGTCATACTACCCCACCAGTGGAAGACCTAAACACATGGCCTAAATACACTACAGTGGAATCCCCCTTCACAGCAGTACACATCATGCTGCAAAAGAAACAATTTATATAAGTAGACATTCGATTGAGCCTTCTGGTTTTGCTACATAAGCATGATAAGGCTTGTACCCATGTTTAAAAAATGACTACTCAGTGGCTACCTTGAAAGGGCCAGTATGTTGACAGTCTGAAGCATTGTTTGCAAACAATAACCCCAAAGCTAACTTGGTCCTGCGTGCCATATTCCGTGGGAGAAGTTTCTGCTCCAGTGACCACACCACAGGAGTAGGCTTTACCGGACTTTGTGCTTGTTGTTTACAAACGCACTTATTCTGAAAAAATGCCTAATGAGAGCCTTTTGGTACATGTACATATTGTTTTGCATAATTATATCGATATGGTACTACAACTGTGACAGAGATGCATGACAATATGGCTTTACACATCAAAGTGACTGTATCATGACCTCTCCGAAGGGCTTTGATGACAGCATGTAGAGCCATACTTCCAGTGTAAACAGAGGATAAATACGAAAATGGAAAGAGTTTTTCACATTTGAAACAGATGAAAAACATAATGCATATCTTAATGGACTGTGTAAGGTGTGACGATGTGGCAGAGGTACTAGGCTGGCCCTAGGTAGGAGAGTGTTCTTCAACATGATTATCTTCATATGACCAAGGCATTTAGGTTGTAATCTAGGCTTTGATCTAATCCAATCAAGCTGGCAATTTGTATTTTGTAACTTATCCGTAAGAAATGCAAAGAAGCTTTCTCTTCAATTTTCCTCTAATAAAAACATGACCAAAGCCAGTTATTCTGCACAGCACTTGGGTTGTCGGCTTCGCTGTGCGGAGGCCTGTTGTTTTTGTTTGTAAATTGAATCATGCATGAACTAAAGGTGTGACGCCACCCAGAGCCATCGGGGGATGGGTCCTCTTGCACTGTAACCACCTCTTTGGTCTAGTGGTAGAGTGCCTGGCCATGTCATACAAAAAGATGGTACTTGTTGTTACCCTGCCTGGCACTAAGCATTAAGGGTCTAAAATAAGGACTGGTTGGCTTGGAGTCAGTATACTGTGTCTGAGTGGGGTATTCCTGTTAAATGGGCTTGGTTTCTCAGTCGGCTAGCACTATAAAATTGGCATTAGTCCGTACTAGTGCAAGCAGCCATACACACAACACACACATACATACCCAAGTGCACGCATTTCGCTGTATACATGGTATAAGTGGAATAATCTTGAACGTGATCTCACCGCACCTCACCTCTCACACTTAGCCAGGAAAACTGCACTGCAATATTTTCTGTTTTCAGTAACATAAAAATTTGACATTTTCTGTGGGCCTATGCAAAAAACATAATCAAATGGACAGCTGTGATCATTTTGCAGGATTTGGAGTAGATCAGCTTAGGGATGAATCCTACGAGACCTTTTGGCAGTCAGATGGACCTCAGCCACACCTTGTGAACATCCAATTCAAGAAGAAAACAACAATACAAGATATCTGTCTGTATGCGGATTATAAGGCAGATGAAAGCTACACTCCTAACAGGTACACTGTCTATCATGTTTATGTAAATGTTGTTTTGCTTCAAGCTGTGTAAAAGTGTCATCGCTCCCTTACATTGGCAAACAAGCATTGGTTCACAGTGGAGACCAAACTCAATCAACTAAACATGAACCTTGCAGTCAACTAAACATGAACCTTGCAATCAACTAAATATGAATATTGCAATCACCTAAACATGAACCTTGCAATCAACTAAACATGAACCTTGCAATCAACTAAATATGAACCTTGCAATCACCTAAACATGAACCTTGCAATCAACTAAACATGAACCTTGCAATCAACTAAACATGAACCTTGCAATCAAATATACATGAACCTTGCAATCAACTAAACATGAACCTTGCAATCAACTAAACATGAACCTTGCAATCAACTATACATGAACCTTGCAATCAACTAAACATGAACCTTGCAATCAACTAAACGTGTACCTTGCAATCATTTAAACGTGAACCTTGCAATCAACTAAACATGAACCTTGCAATCACCCAAACATGAACCTTGCAATCAACTATACATGAACCTTGCAATCAACTATACATGAACCTTGCAATCAACTAAACATGTACCTTGCAATTACCTAAACGTGTACCTTCCAATCAAATAAACATGAACCTTGCAATCAACTAAACATGAACCTTGCAATCACCCAAACATGAACCTTGCAATCAACTATACATGAACCTTGCAATCAACTATACATGAACCTTGCAATCAACTAAACATGTACCTTGCAATTACCTAAACGTGTACCTTCCAATCAAATAAACATGAACCTTGCAATCAACTAAACATGAACCTTGCAATCAACTAAACGTGTACCTTGCAATCAACTAAACGTGTACCTTGCAATCAACTAAACATGAACCTTGCAATCAACTATACATGAACCTTGCAATCAACCAAACATGAACCTTGCAATCAACTATACATGAACCTTGCAATCAACTAAACATGAACCTTGCAATCAACTAAACATGAACCTTGCAATCAACTAAACGTGTACCTTGCAATCATTTAAACGTGAACCTTGCAATCAACTAAACATGAACCTTGCAATCAACTAAACATGAACCTTGCAATCAACTATACATGAACCTTGCAATCAACTATACATGAACCTTGCAATCAACTAAACATGAACCTTGCAATCAACTATACATGAACCTTGCAATCAACTATACATGAACCTTGCAATCAACTAAACGTTAACAATGCAATCATCTAAACATGAACCTTGCCTTTTGAGCTATTGAGTTTTCACCCTGGGGTTTCTATTTTAATTTGGTTATTACATTTTCATTTGGTAACCAATATTTATTCACTCATCTATGCATCACCCTATTGTGTTTTTCCCAAAATAAGTGAACATTTTAAGATTTAAAAAAAATGAAATTATGTTTAGATGTATATAACTTCTAAATATATAGGCTTGACTCAGTTAGTAAATTCGTCACGATATGGCTGAAATATTGCCGATGTGACGTTAAATTTTTAACTCACTCACTCACGGTAAGTAAATTAATTCGGAATTGTGTTTTGGAAATTACCTCCTTTGTTCGCATGCTGAAAAAGCTTCATAAGTTATTTACGTGAGCTGTTTTTATACATTTGAGTTTTTCATTTGATGCATGCATTTCTGTACACAAATTAATTGAAAGTGACTAGGTTTTGAGGCAATAATTGGGTGGTCAGTGTCACTGACTTGGTTGATGTATGTGATATCCCAATTGCGCTGATCGATGCTGATGTCAATCACTGGATTATTGACAGTCTGCAGTCATGAGGTTGGAATCCTTCTGAGTGCAGTGTAAATATGACCCTTTTCCCCTCACCTGACAGCAATGTAGAGAAGAAGTGTTTGTCCACTCCATGTGCCCAGTACCCCACGTACAGTGAGTGCAGTGTAAATGTGACCCTTTTCCCCCTCACCTCACAGCAATGTAGAGAAGTGTTTGTCCACTCCATGTGCCCATATTACTGTAAATTTAAAAAAAAAAAATGCCACTTGGGTAAGTAAGAACGTTAACCTGGTTATAAAACATATAATACATTTTTTAATTGCCAGTTATTTTTTTTTATACAAGTAGATATATGGGGACGTAAGTTACTTTAATGTAGAATATGTCGCTGAACAAACCTGGACAAAATTGTCACCAGCAGTTTCTACAGTTGGAAATGTGACTCCACTCTCAGCCAGGTCATCCAGAATGCTGTTGGAAGATTTAATTTCTTCCACAAATTGCCGTCTTTTATCATGTTTATGTCACAATGAATGTTGGACTTATGATAGTCGATCAGTTAGTAAAACAAATGTGTGTAACCTCCCTTACACTAAGCTAAACTTTCATTGGTCTAAATGAAAACTGGTTCTGCGATCTGAATACCGTTGTAACATTAGTAGATGATAGACAGGATAACCAGTTTGACAAGATAAAATTTCATTGGTCAGTTACTCACAATTTGCCATTGCCACGTGTGCGCACTCTCATTCTTACATTTTTTAAAGAAAATCAAAATTCTTCAGTCTGAAATAATATGTTTTTTAAAGAAATTAACAGCTAAAATGACATAGTCAACAAAATTATGTTTGGTCCATTCTGATCGCACAATATTGAAACATTGACGGGAGGTTTATTTTATATCTGAGACAGGTCACCTGAGACAACAACCATTTTGTTTTCTTCAATGACAGTACAGTTCCTTTCCAGGTAGGAGCCCCAAAATCATTGACAGCTTTACTTGTGGTCCGGAAAACAATTTCCTCTACCCTAGTTCATTCTGGAGCCATGCAAACACATTTAACTGACTTCAGGTGCACACATCAGCAATAGCGACAGTTCCAGTGACAGAAATAGCAGAACTGGATGACCCTGTCGCCAAGCTAGTGTCAACAGATATCTAATGTGTAGAGGTTCTTGATGAAAGTTTCCGTTTCTTTTATTGGTCAGATTATGTAACATTGAGAAGCCTGTGACCTATTTAGTCTGCTGTTTGAAAAGTTGGCTTATTTTTCCGACATGTAAACTCACAGTGTATCTGCTCTAATAACAGTTCACACCTAACAGTTCTAGTACCAATTTTCTAGTTAAGTTGAACGGTTACACAACCCAAACTGAGCAAATCCTACATGCAGCAGGGCCTTGTTCCTCAAAGTGATGTTAGCACCAAGGTGATCTTAAGTCCCATACTTTAACATAGGCTTACGATCATCGTAGCGCTAAGATCGCTTTGAGGAACAGGGCACTGTTAATGTCATTATTCGGGACATTTAGGTGTCTTTTTCTTTTCATATATCATGATGAAGGCAAGGCAGTTTAATCTGGTTTGAGGTTGTTGAAGGCAGATATAATCCAAACTGAAGACATCCGACTGGAAATGGATGATTATATGTAAATTGTAATGATTCTTTCTGGAAATGACCGGCTGCTTCTTATGTTTCATGTACTTCCAAACATTTTTCTAGTTTTCAAAAACATGAAGGTGAGCTACATAATCTTTTTCACCGAGTTATTTCATGAAAGTTTTGGCTTCACTTGTTTAGTCCCTCAGAAACATACCAACTCATCAATAATGCTGTGTGGTGGAATTGTTTCAGAATATCCATCCGAGCTGGCAACCACTTCAACGACCTGACGGAGGTGGAGCAGGTGGAGATGAGTGAGCCGGTGGGCTGGGTGTGTGTCCCACTCAAAGACGTCAATGACAAACCCATCCGGACGTTCATGATCCAGGTCACTGTCCTGTCCAATCACCAAAATGGTCGAGATACACACATACGGCGGATAAAGATCCGTTCTCCCACCCACTGTTCAGACAACGCCATGGTGAGGGCACCCAACTTCACCACGTTAGAGTTCACTCAGTTTGCACACACGAGATAGTGATGACTGATTTGTCCTCGAGTTAGTTCAATCCATGTGATACAAGGTTGTCAGGGTTATGCGGAACAGTGCCAGCCTACCCAATAACCCAAGACAGAACTCTCAGCAGCCCTGGTACCTTTATCTGGAAACTCACTATTACTGATGGGAAGAAGTCAGTTCAGGGCCAGCTGCACTACCAGGTCATGACTTCAGGTACACTCACTGCTGGTGTGGTGAGTTCCATCTTTCTGAGGCAAGGGAGTTACCTGACTGTAAAAGTCCAGTTTCCACCCTTGCCAAACTAGACTGGAATTCAGGAGTTATATTTTGGCTGGACTATATGGAGTCTATGTACATGTATATGCTAATCAAAATCATGCAACAAACTAGACATCCGGTTCATGAACAACATGGAATTCAACGTGCAGATATCAATCAACTGCAGGATTTGCATGTGTACCGTCAACTTGGCATCAACAGATATTTTACAAATCTTTTCATGTTTTTAACCTAGGTGCTCAAATGATTTGATGCACTTTGCGAGGTAAGACCTGTTTTACTATAATATTTATCTTGATTATAGATCAGATTATCTTAACTGGGCGCCACCATTTTGTTTGCAGCAAATGCATGTGATATGAGAGGTGGAATCTGACACAACTGGTAATAGCCACTGGTGGCGCTACAATCAAGCCACAAACTTCCAGCCTAGTTCGTCAGGGGTCGAAAATAGACTTTTAAAGTCAGTTAACTCCCATGCCTCGGGAAGATGGGTCAATTCTAGAGCTGTCAATTCTGGTGTGGTCAGCTCTTGAGGCCAGGTTCTAATAGAACATGGATATCATGGACCACATTATGACGTAACTGTATATTAGCATCAGTTTGACAATGCAGAACAAACAACATCACCAACAAAAAGTAAAGAATGAGATGAACTGCATGTCAAACTTCTTGATTGAAGCACTTTGTATTCTGGCATGGAAGTCAGTATGTAACTCTTCTTTGACATTGCTAACAATTGTTAGCTGCAGAAAGGATTGTGGGAATGTCTATGCTACATGAACAAAAATAGTCCCATCAGCATCACTGGACATATCTGCATTGGTTTTAATATGACTTATGTATTGTGTGATGTAGTCCATGCTTGTCGTAAGAGGCGACTAACCAGATCGGGTGGTCAGGCTCGCTGACTTGCCTGATGCATTGATGTCATTGTATCCCAATTGCATGGATCGATGTTCGGGATGTCAATCACTGGATTGTCTGGTCCAGACTCGATTATTTACAGACCGCCGTTATATAGCTGGAATATTGCTGAGTGCAGCGTTCAACAACAAATAAACAAACACCATGTCTGTGTTTCATGTAGACATGAGTACAAGAGAAATAAACATATATATTTCTTCATGCACATGTTGTTTTTTTTGCTAATTATTACCGTATTTCTTTGTTAATCAGGGTTATAACATTACTTCAGATGAATCAATTTGTGGAGAAATGTCCTTCAGATCGATGTAATGGATGAATATTGGTAGTTTCAACAGTTACGAGGGGCGCTCAATATGTTTTGCTACTTGGGCATTTGTGTTTACACAAACGATGTCAACTTGTGGCAGGTGTGACATTAGTCATAACATCATTAGATGTGATGGCGTCATTCACCTTAGGGTGGTCACAATCATGGATTCTCTCAAGCATGAACAACGCGCTGTAATAAAGTTCCTTAAAAATCCATGATCGCATGTGTAAAGTAATGGTTAAGGATGCTCCTGGCTATTCCACAGTTTGCCGTTGGTCTCTACAGTTTAAAGGGGGTAGGGAGTCCATAGACGATGACCCAAAGTCAGGCAGGCCTTCAGATGCCACCCAATCGGAAACTATTGCTGCTATTGAAAGAATAATTTTATCTGTCTGACGAGTGAAAGTATCTGAACTTTCAAGGGAATTCCAAATATCAGTTGGAACTGTTGGAACCATTATTCATGAGCATATTGGTATGTCCAAGGTATCTGCAAGTTGGGTACCTAGAAAAATCAGAGCTCATGATCGCCATCAGAGAACTGAAAGTTGTCCAGACCTCTGTACTGCTGATGAAACCGGATTTCTAGTCTAGTGATGTCGCCTAGTGTCTGCTTCCACAGGTAACACGAGTAAGGCTCGCTCCACAGGTAACATGATAAGGCTCGCTCCACAGGTAACATGATAAGGCTGGCTCCACAGGTAACATGAGTAAGGCTGGCTCCACAGGTAACACATGTAAGGCTGGCTCAACATTAAACACGAGTAAGGCTGGCTCCATAGGGAACACGAGTCAGGCTGGCTCCACAGGTAACACGAGTAAGGCTGGCTCCACAGGTAACACGAGTAAGGCTGGCTCCACAGGTAACACGAGTAAGGCTGGCTCCACAGGTAACACGAGTAAGGCTGGCTTAACAGGTAACACAAGTAAGGCTGGCTCCACAGGTAACATAAGGCTGGCTCCACAGGTACCATCAGTAAGGCTGGCTCGACATGTAACACGTGTAAGGCTCGCTCCACAGGTAACATGAGTAAGGCTGGCTCGACATGTAACACGAGTAGGGCTGCTTCCACAGGTAACACGTGTAAGGCTGGCTCAACATTGAACACGAGTAAGGCTCACTCCACAGGTAACACGTGTAAGGCTGGCTCCACAGGTAACACGAGTAAGGCTGGCTCGACATGTAACACGAGTAAGGCTGGCTTAACAGGTAACACATGTAAGGCTGGCTCGACATGTAACATGAGTAAGGCTAGCTCGACATGTAACACGAGTAAGGCTGGCTCGACATGTAACATGAGTAAGGCTGGCTCCACATGAAACATGAGTAAGGCTGGCTCCACAGGTAACATGAGTATGGCTGGCTCCACAGGTAACACGAGTAAGGCTGGCTCCACAGATAACACGAGTAAGGCTGGCTCGACATGTAACACGAGAAAGGCTGGCTTTACAGGTAACACAAGTAAGGCTGGCTCGACATGTAACATGAGTAAGGCTAGCTCGACATGTAACAAGAGTAAGGCTGGCTCGACATGTAACATGAGTAAGGCTGGCTCCACATGTAACACAAGTAAGGCTGGCTCCACAGGTAACATGAGTAACGCTGGCTCCACAGGTAACATGAATATGGCTGGCTCCACAGGTAACACGAGTAAGGCTCGCTCCACAGGTAACACGAGTAAGGCTGGCTTAACAGGTAACACGTGTAAGGCTTGCTCCACAGGTAACATGAGTAAGGATGGCTCCACAGGTAACATGAGTAAGGCAGCGTCCACAGGTAACACGTGTAAGGCTCGCTCCACAGGTAACACGAGTAAGGCTGGCTTAACAGGTAACACGTGTAAAGCTTGCTCCACAGGTAACATGAGTAAGGCTGCGTCCACAGGTAACACGTGTAAGGCTCGCTCCACAGGTAACACGAGTAAGGCTGGCTTAACAGGTAACACGTGTAAGGCTCGCTCCACAGGTAACACGAGTAAGGCTGGCTCCACAGGTAACACGAGTAAGGCTGCTTGAAAATATGCTCTAAAAAACAACACCAAAACAAATGAACAGATTGTATTGTCCCATCATCAGATGTCCATAGAGTTCAAGGAAACTACTAACAATAAAGTACAAAAATACAGAAATATGCAATGAGGATGGACAGATATATGTTATAACATCTCCTACAAGCTATGTGCACAAAACAAAATTAATTATCTCTAATATTAGTAAATACTTCTGTCCGTAATCATTTTTTTTCCACAGTGTAACCGTTTAATATTTTTCAACAAAACTTGGCAGATATATCAAACAGATCCTGAAGTGGTACCTCTTGCTACTACATCCATTAATAGTCTGTATGTGAAGGCGGACGAGCCATCCCTAAAACACGGCACATTAGAGGATCTTTATTATATTTAAGGATCTAAATTACAACCAATAACTCGAATCCAGCATATGTTTTTAATCCCCTTTACGAAAATCTACGAAAATCACATGGAATAAGACAATAATCTTATATTTCTGCTGCTAAACTAAATTTGAAAATATCGCTCCCACTGAACTTTTGTCTTCTCCGACATGGCAGTTGATAAAGCCAGAGGACCTAACCTTAACTAGACGAAAGAAATCTGAAACAAATGAACTAGTTAATCAACACCAATTTCATGAATTAAGAAACACATATGATAATACTACTTACAAATCAATCTTTACAGATGGATCCAAGGATGGTGACACTGTTGCCAGCGCCACTGTCCAGGACTATCCAGGACTATCACATCCAGATTACCTGATAACTCTTCTATTTTCACAGCGGAAGCCAATGCCATTCTAATAGCTCTCAAATATATCTGTAAACAGTCAAAATATCAGAAGTTTATCATATTTTCTGATTCTCTTTCGTCATGTCAACATGTCATATCAACATCCACTTTTAATCGAAATTGTTGAATTGTATAATGCTCTTGTTACTGGCCAATACGACATCGTTTTGTGTTGGTTACCCAGCCATACTGGAATCATTTGTCACGCCATGGCTGATGCTGCTGCAAAGGCAGCACACAACAAATCCGTGACACCACTTCTCACCCCATACACTGATTATAAACCCGTGGATAGATCTTACACCCATGATCTAATGGAATTGGGACACCCTTGTAGGTATCAATAAATCACATGAAATTAAACCAAATATCGTTTACACCTGGGGGCACGGGTCGCCCCGCCGTCAAAGGCGCCGCGATTAGCTGTGCAGAGTTGCGTCCCTTGGGCACGCCAGAATCCTATGACTGCGGGTCGAATCCCGGTTCGCCCCGATTATGTTTCTAGGTTTGTCAGCACCATACCCGTGCTCGTGGGTTTCACCGAAGTGGTACACGTCTGCATCACTTCGGGTTTCCCCCCACATTAAGCTGACACGCCGTGATATAACAGGAATACAGCGGCGTTAAACCCAACTCAGTCACTCACTCACTCGTATACACCTTCCTGGGTTGTCAGTCCAGATTTGATGAGGTCAATTAGCGACGATGTCGTATTGGCCATTCAAGAAATACAAGATCTAGAAAAAGCATATGACACAAAATGGAAATACGGTATTTTTCAAGATTTATATGACTTCTGATTGAGAGGCTCTTTGCCTCAATTTATATCCCGTTTTTTTATCAGACAGACAATTTCAAGTTCGTGTGGGATTTACCCTGTCTGGTCATTATAATCAGGATCAGGATGTTCCACAAGGCAGTATTTTGTCTGTCGCGTTGTTTAGTATTTAGATTCATTCCCTTGGGAAATTCAAGAGTAATATACCCAGTATTATTATTCTGTACTGTGAATAGAATATTTCAATGTTGATAGAAGTGTACGTTAAATCTTCGAGAGCATCCTTGTGCCCACCACATTGACTGTATACAGAATACTCATAAAAGAATAATTATATTCTTTACAATGTAATTAATAAACATTGTGTTGTTAAATTATGTTTATAATTTAAATAATTAAAACTGTGTGGTTGGTGGTATTGAAAGTGATCCACAATCCGTTACCCAAAGCTTTACCTCAATAAATTCATTGCACATTCTACATTTCATATTTACATTTTGATGCAAAATCTCAAATTGACGGTTTCGAGTGCGAAGTGACTGGCCCTGAGCAGCAAACAGAAAGCCCCCTGTTACACTTTTCAGGCCAGCTGACCTCATTCAAGGACTCCGCTGGGTTGTTGATCTTCTCAACACACTGCCCATAGACTCGATGCAGTGGTCGTTCAGACATCCTCTCCATGGAAAAAACTTATTCTTTGCCGATTTGATATGGCACTTCGCTTGGTTGGTTCATTAAAGAAAACTGTGGAATTGTTTTCATCAGACAAATAAATGTGTGCAAAAGTGCACAATACATTTCTATCAAGAAGAGCCCCCACGTTAATCAAACCACGCCCTCCCATTATGATTGGTGGCTATAAGTGATTATTATTATTTTCCCCCGCCCACCAAAGTTGCCTTTTGCTATTTAGAAATTTTAGAAATATTTATTTCTTACGTTTCCAT